GCTTTCGTGGCAAGGATGGTGTCAAGAAGTACCTGATAGAGAATGAAAGCGTAATGGAGGAAATTATGATGAAGCTCAGGGAAAAGCTGATGAATAGGGAGTCAAATGATGAAACAGATGATGTGGACGGAGACACAACTGAAGATCGATATTAGTGATGAAGAAGTAGCTGCAGTGGAGGCATAAGCAAAAATTACATTTATGTTTTTCCTCTTTTTTTTTTTCTTTTTTTCTTTTTGGCTGTTTTCTTTTGGGATTCATTGCTTCTTAACACCCAGTCACCAGCTGTGAAATAAATTAATTCATCGCCTATGTTGTGCACAATACACACACACGTACACACACTCTCACGTGTGTGTGTGTGAATGCTGATCTTGGTTATATTGGATTTGAAGAAAGATTAGGACAGCATTTTAAGGGCTGCGCCTTTAATGGTTAATTATGGGTTGGTGTACTTTTCAAAAGTTTTTTGACTTTTTTATTCTTGAATACATGATTAATAATCCCAGAGTCGGAAACTTCAATGGTTAGTGGTTCTTTGTATCATTCCAATTTTTTATCGTATGTCCGAGTAACAAGATTCAAATTCATGTCATGTGCTTCAATGTTTTTCGTATATTATGTCACTGTCTGTTCATATCATTCAGACACACTCGTCAATTGTTTGTTCCGTCATTATCTTCTCTACACATCTCATTTGAAAATTGATTGAAAATTGAAAGTGACTTGCGTACACACACAAAGAGAGATATGTACACACACTTGTATTCTTCTTTTCTTACCTGCTTCCTAAGCGCAGGGCAAGTTTTGGTTGCTCTCCCCCAACTTGCTACCTGCTTCTAGGCGCTTTCCTTGCAATCTTTTTCTTCTAGTATTGATATTGGATATTCAGCAGATACACACACTCAGTATTATTTTGAGAGAGAGTTTTGAAATCTTAGTTTCAAGAAGTGGGTTCCACTACATTATGAAGTTTGAGTAAATCTGGAAAGATACAAGGATTGGAGACTAAGAAAACAAGAAGAAAATTCTTGGAACTCAGTTGAGGTTTAGTAGATACCTCTACTTTTGCGCCCATCATTTATGGGAGCGACTTTTGAATTTCTATGCATCATTATTCAATGGTAAAATTTCGTTGCGTCAACGGTTGAACGGTGTGATTGATAATATTTTATTATATTTATATAAATGAAATCAAAAGAGTCGTTAGAATTGGAAATAGATAATTTTTAATAGTTTTTCTCACTTGAATAATCTTTTTCTCATGTAAGATAATCTTTCAGAATTACAAAAGTGTCATTTTATCATTTCTTCAACTACCATCACTCAATTATACAAATTATGTGAAAAGATTCGATTGAAAATAGATAATCTTTAATAGTTTTTCTCACGTGAATAATCTTTTTCTCATGTAAGATAATCTTCAACAGTTATAGAAGTGCCATGTTATTATTTCTTAAATTTTTCATTACTCAGTTATACAAATTATGTACTATTGAAAATGGATGATCTCTAATAACATTTAACATAAATTTTTCATTACTCAGTTTATACAAATTATGTACTATTGGAAATGGATAATCTCTAATAACTTTTAACAGTTATAGAAGTGTCATGTTATTTTTTGTTCAAATACCCATCACTCAATTTGTGCAAATGGTATCAGAAGATTCGTCATGTACAGTTAAAAATGGATAATCTTCAATAACTTTTATCACGTAACATACAAAAGTATCATATTATTATTTGTTCAACCGCCCAACAAATATAAAAAAATACTTCATCATTTGTTCAATTAGTCACAATGTATAATCAGTTGATGACAATGGTAACATGACATGACTGATGCATTAAAATTTTATCAACAACTCAACTCCAACAACAATATAATGACACGTATTATGTAACTGTTAAATGTACAATATAAAATGACACGTATTATGTAACCGTTGAATGTAACCGTTGAATGATGCCTCCAGCTATTGTTGAGTGAGAAAAATTATTGGAGATGTCTTTTCTCACCCCCAATTAATTGAAACATTAGGTTCCATTTTCAATGGTCAGTCACGCGTTCAAATAAAATTGCTGCTACCAATGTGATCAGACTCTCAAATGGGACAATATGGTTAGAGGAAAACTAATGTACTAAAATGCGGTCACCATTGCACCTAAGATTTTTATTTTTATTTTGTTTATTATTATTATTATTATTATGTTGTTTACTGCCGAAAATACTCTGTTTTTTGTGTTATTGAAATTTATTTCCATTGACTATTCACCGTATTGATTTTTTTAGAACACTTTTTATTTTTATTTTTTATTTTTTATCCTGGCACAAAATTTTGTCACAACACTTATTAACCCAAATAATTACAATGAATGTTGCCAAAACTATTTTTTAACTATCTGCTAAACAGATTTAAATGACTGTTATATAAATCATGCAATATATATATTTTTCTTTTATATTAATAAATTCGGCTCTAACGCATTATTATTTTTTTTTGGATTGCGGTTGCAAAGCAATTGAGAATAAATGGACAGGGACGAGCGGAGCGGACCAAACAATCATGATCGTTATAGCTGAACCACCCACTACGAGGTCTTAAAAATTCAATAGACAACTTGAATACAATTAGGATGTACATATATATATATATATATATATATATATATATATATATATATACACACACACACACACACATACATACATATATATTTGCTTTTCTCTATTAGTTGTAGTTATATGGATGTAGGGTATACTAAATGCATTTTGCTTCAACCAAAAATAAATAAAGGGATCATGATTTTTCACTTAAACAAATAAACTTAACTGCTCTGAATATTATACATATATATATATGAAAGCTCCTTGTATGGATTGTAGTTTAAAGACAAAATATGAACTAAATTAAGATAAAAATAGTTAGCATCAGTTATTTTGGACACACTAGGCCAAGATACTATGCCCCTTTATCTCACATTTTACTTAGGTAATTAAATATTCATGTTTTATTTTATTTTATTTTATTATTATTATTTTTTTAAATCGCCAGATTGAGTCTATATTAGTCAAAACCGTCGTCTCCATACACTTTGGTTTCCATGGGGAATTCAAGAATTAGTATTCATTCAAATTGTTAAAAAAATTAAAAGAAACATTACGCTCTGCGTCCCTAAATAAAAATCCATATTTAGAAATTATAGTTTTTATGAGGATATGCAATTAATACATTGTCCTTTTTTTTAATTATCAAATTATCTTTTTTTTATTTAAATATATATAGTTACAAAAATTAAAATTTTTTAAAAAGATAAAGGATAATGATGAAAATATAATGAAAAGATACTTTGACTTTTTAAAGAGAATAATTAATTTGGAATATATAAAAAGAGAAAAATAAACTACTAATTTAAAACCAAGACAGTACTTAGCTTAAAAAAAAGGGAAAATTACATATACATGGAGTCAAAGTTCCATATTTACTTAGAGACTGAGTCAAAGTTTCATATTTCTCTAAAATGGATTGCTGAGGTGGCACATGGTTTTTTACTGTTTAGAAAATTATGGTGCCTAAAATGCCCTTCCCTAACAAAAAAGTAGTACCTTCAGTGCAAAAAAGTAGTACCTTCAGTTCAAAAAAGTAGTACCTTCGGAAAAAAAGTAGTACCTTCGCGGGTGTTTAAAAAACATGGTACCTGGACGCCAAAAAGTAGTACCTTCAGTTCAAAAAAGTAGTACCTTCGAAGAAAAAGTAGTACCTTCGTGGAAGGGTATTTTAGGCACCACAATTTCTAAACAGTAAAAAACCATGTGCCACCTCAGCAATCCATTTTAGAGAAATATGGAACTTTGACTCAGCCTCTAAGTAAATATGGAACTTTGACTCCATTTATATGTAATTTTCCCTAAAAAAAAAAGTAGATAATATGGAGAAATGTGTAGACAATACATAGTACATTAAATTATGAAAACTACGTTGATTTGGTGAGTATAAACCTTGAAAAGTTGGTTTTTTTTTTCCTGACGTTGGACCTCTTTGAATTCTTCTGCATGTGATATATCAATCGTTGTCTGTCAACATCTCAGTCAATAAGGGCAACACATTGAATATTTCATACACAATATAAAGTACTTAATTATGCAATGGCATACTATTACGGATGATGGTGTTTAATCACAACGAAGAGCATAGAAGTTCGATTTTTATTACGAACAAAAATATTTGATTTTTTATTGGTTGAGTTATAATTCTCACTTTCTTATATTTTCGATTAAAGAATCTTCAACTCTTAATTTTTATATAATACTTAGGACCGGCTCGAGCCTTAAGCCTCTTCTCACTCGTTTCGATTTTATATTAGACTTCAAATATTTATATCCTAAAATAACTTCTTTTTTTCTCTTTTATGGTTCGTTAAATTCTAATTCATACCTATATTTAATATTTGCCCCAAAGAATTACATCATGACTTTTTTTCTCTCCCTTTTTCACTCTCATTCACGTTTTATAATAAATCCTAACCAATATAAAAATTTAATATTAGGTCCAAAAATCTTTCTCTCTCTCTCTCATTCATTTACGTTTTTTTACGTCAGCAATAAAAACAATTTTGGATAAGTTACATCAACAGTAAATATTAAATATCTATTTAATGTTATTGTTTGGAAAAATGGCGAAAACTTTCCATATTCTCTCTCTCTCTTTTTTTTTTAATGTTTTATCTTCTTCTTTTCAATAAGTCTTCTCCTCCTACTCTCATTACAAGTTTACAGTTGTTATAAATGCATTTTTATTTTATTAAAAAATTTGTAGAAGTATTAAATTTGTATTTTTTAAATTAGGTTCAATAGTTCTTTTCTTTTAATTATTTTTTAAGTTTATTAACTTTTGTTATTATAAATTTGTGTGTATATATATTTGTATATTTTGTTTTGAGTTGTGACTAATTTTATTATAAATTTGTGTGTATTTATATTTGTATATTTTGTTTTTGAGTTGTGACTAATTTTATTAATATTGTTGAAAAAGTTATTTTTTTTTTTATTCAGGAAAAAAAAAAAAAAACTATTTTTTATTTTTTGCCTAAGACTCCAAATTAAATTGAGCGGCTCCTAAATTAATACTGAGAAGAGTTTTGTTGAATGGAACCGATCACACACAAAAATACCTACCATTTTTTTTTTTTGGTAACATTATTTATGTGTATCTAAGTATACAATATTGCTTTTGCATATACATGCTATCAAAATTGGGCAAACGAACACAACATGTTGTATGATGTATAACAAAATTGGGAAAACCACCATGAACTACAGTGGGGTGCCGCCGCAGATTGTAATTTCTCTCAACTATGTGTATGACACATTGACACGTAATGGCTGATGGCGGGATTGGGGTATTAGTCACTGTGCCAAGTCACCAACAACTCGTCTCACTGCTTCTTGGAAGGCAGACTCGTCCCATTCACCATTCTACAAGAAAGAAGTGATCAAATTTATAATTAGAATCAGAATCAATCAATGCCTTTCCTCACTTTATGCCCTCTTTCCTTCTTATTTCCTAATTAGTGACACATGCATGTACTAGACTAAACACATCAATTGAAAGTGAAATATACTAAAACTAGCAAGGTGTACATATTGATTGATGATGTGCTATTTGCAACGTGGATTAACATATGTGGAACGGTCTGTGCATAAGAAAGGTTGAGATCATTCATAATTTATATGAAATTATCTCTACCTTCTATATACGCACAGAATATCCTGTATGACAGATACAGAATATAATCATCTTTCGTGATAACCGATAACCCTAAATTCTAATTTAAAAATAAATAAATAAATAAAAATTCTCCCCTTAAAGAACTACTTCTATTAAATACGATGCATCATGCATGGTTGTGTGTATTGTGACTACATGCATATGAATCTATAAATATGTCTACATTTTGAGGATGGCTATAAGAAGTGGATGCTAGCTGAAATCAAAATGTGGGTTGTCGATCTTGATCACAATTACAATCATACTAGCCTCTTTGTCCATTAATATATATATATATATATATATATATATATAAATTGCCACTCATTTTTTGTAATATATATCAGATTTTTGGTACATATATATCTTTCCTAACAAAAGAACTTTCATCTATGCTAAACTTCATTTTAGCCTAGAAACACCATCCACCATGCTATTCAATTGTGTGAAAGATGGGTTGTTTAGGTATATAATACTACTGATAACAAAAACCATACCTCAATTCTCAATCTGAACGTTGCCTGATTGACAGGATTTGATTCTACTATCTGTGCTTCGGCTTCTACAGACATTAAGCTTACATTGTTAACCTGTTTCAAGAACTCGAGTATGCGAACTGCCAGATCCAACAAACTACATTCTCCTCTTACAATCACTTGCAAGTCTACCATTCTTGCTTCTGATGTTGATTCAGCTACATTGGTTATCCGAACCTCGAGTCTTTGGTTGGATGATGAGCCCCTGATCACTACTCCTCTATTGTAATTAGCATCTCTTGGAGCCAAAAGTTGCGCCTCCAACAACTGGTTTCGTTGAGTAAGCTCTGCAACTTGAGCTTTCAAAGAGCTCATATACTCCGTTGTGCTTGTAAGCACTGAGGCCTTGTCTTTCTATACAATATATCCAAAAAAAATTGAAGTGAAATTAGGATTTATTAGCTAGTATATATACATATATATTATAGTAATAGTAATTAATATATAAGAAAATGTTAAATGTATTGTATTCCCTTGTGATATACTATTATACACACACATCTAATTGCATGAAAACCTCCCACAACCATGGATGGAATGTTATGTCTTAGGACAGTAATTAAGTTTCTTTTATCAAAAGAAAGCTATAACACACATCTAAAATTGCATGAAAACCACAACCATTCACGGACTGTTGTGTCTTTAGGACAGTACGTATATATATAATTAAGTTTTTTCCAAAAGAAAAGATATATATGTGTGTGTTATCGTTATGTACCTTGGATCCTGGAGGAAGTAGTGATCTCAATGTTTGGAAGCTTTCATTAAGTTTTTCACGCCTCCTTCGCTCAGACATCATATGATGCAACTGAGTGCTCGTAGGGTTACTTGCCCTCACATTTTCTTGGGGTCGCATTGAATTTAAGCTTCTAAAGAAGGAGATGGCTCGTTTATGCAGATTTTTTCTTCGAACTCTGGCTGATAATTGGGTCGAGGGGGCTAAAGCCGATCTATAATGCTTGAATGCGCTGGCCTTTTGGCTTATTTGGTAATTGGGAGGTAAGTTTTGTTGTGGGGGTTGATGTGATGAAGAAGAAGAAGAAGGAGAAGATAAAACTGTGAGAATGGCTTGTGTCATTGCTGCATTTTCGCTCTCTATTGTTGGGAATTGAATGTTTCGGATTTGGCTCAAGGTTAGAATGGCTTGTTGGAATGGAATAGGTGTGGCTGATGATGATGGTATCAATGGTTGTAGTAGCATAGCACTTGTGGTTGATGATGGTCTCAATGGTTGAACAAAAGGAGGACCTTCTAATGGGATTACTTCTGGATTAGTGTAGGAAGTGCTTGGAATGTTGAATAGTAGAGGTGAGCACTCGGGGCTTTCAAAGGATAGCGATCTCAACGACGATGAAGATGATGAAGGCCTGTTCTGATCAACTGGGAAGGCGGGAAGCTCTGCAGCCGGTGTTTGTTGTAAGAAATCTTCCGGAAACCAGTTCATGATCTCCATCTTCAAGTTAGGCTGAAAACCCTAATTGAATTTCATGAATAATTTCGATACTATATACATATATATACCTCTAACTAGCTAGATTATATAATTAAGACTAAATAAGATCTTACCTGAGGTTCATTAGAGAAGCCTAGCTCGATTTCTCCAAGCTTGCACCCCATAAATATTGCAGTCTGTAATCAAAATTCAGAAATAGCTAGATCGCTTCATTTAATTCTCATGCTTACATTTATCAAAGTACAAAACATTGTTCTTCAACCAACCTTAATTTTGGCTTCCTGTTACACACACACAAAAGAATTATAGTTAGCTACTTAGCTTTACTACGTACCCTTTACAGAAATTAACATTAACTAAATGCTTGTAGTGACTCTTTGTCTCTATTACTTAGTATATGACAATCCATCATTAATTACCTGATAGAATCGCAATTGTGCATCTACAGATGCTAACCTTTGAAGGTCTGAGTCCTTCAGCTCCAAGTAGGGAAAACTATTTTTAAAAGCTAATCCCGGAACACGGCTGCGAAAAAAAAAAAATTTAATGATCATATAATTACCGGGAAAATAATAATAATAATAATAATGATCATATATTAGGGTTTTGCTAAATTTGATGTACATTTCTAACACATATGTCTTGTAAAATGTGAAGCATATTACTCATTTTCAACGGGGATAATGGTGTGCTTGTATTCGTCGAAGGAATTTGGTTGGTTGTTTCCTTCATGATAGAATCCACCCATTAAGAACAAAACGCTGCAGAGATCAATTCGAAATGAAAATATTAAATCTTTTGCATAATTAAATATATATGCATCTATCTAGCTAGGTATAAGTACTGTTTTCTGTGGTATATATCTACATGCATATATACATATAAAAATAGATGCAGATGTAGAGAGAGAGAGTATGATATACTTAGATGGTTGGGGCAAGTATGATCGCATGCAAATATAGGTGCAGCCAAAAGATTGCATTATGTGGTGGAGAAAACTGGCGCGGCCTCCTTCATCAAGTAGGAAGATGGAGTCCATAAGCTTAGGGCTTCGAGAGGCTTGGCCTCCTTATGCTTGCTGCATGAGTGCCCTCTTTGGATCCATCTCTATCCTCCTTTTATACCCTCTCATCTTCAACAAATTTATGATTTCACACTTGTGCAGTAGTATTATATCAAGAACTAGAGAGAGAGAGCTAGAGAGAGATAGATGGTCCTGAAACTAGTCAGTTTAAAATTGGGGAAGACGAGGTCCATAATTCATGAGTTGGTGTAGAAGGTGAGATTTGAAAAGTTGCATATAGTGTGTGTGTGTGTGAGAGAGAGAGAGAGAAGAGAGATTTGAAAAGTATAAGAGAATGACAGGTCCCACTGCAATTGTGAGAGAAAAATATTAGGAGCCCACAGAGAGATGTTTGGGACAGTGTGAACGTGAAAATTAGTAGAGAGAGAGAGAGAGAAAAATTATTATTATTATTTACTTATAAAGAATTGAAGCTTGAAAAGTAGTCAGTCTTTAGCAAGGGAAAGGGAAAGGGAAAGGGAAGATAGAGGGAGGCTGAGCTAAGCAAGCTGGATGAATCGATGTGGTCTGAAAAGTAATGGTCAAAGTCCACCCTAGCGAGGGTTTGAAAAGAGTCAAGAGGGGAAGGCCAAGTAACATATATGGTCCTTCCTCGCAATCTTCACTTTTTTTTTTTTTTTTTTTTTCATAATTATCACTCTTTGTTTTCTTTTCTCGAATATTGTATGTCTCTCTAAATTTCTTAATGTGCCCCCTTACCTCCCTCGCTTACCTCCCTCCCTCGTTTAATTCAATTTTTATTTTGTATTTTTTTCCTAATCGGGCCAGATATGATGGAGTACCCGATATTGTAATCACTGTTAATCAATACTCAATGAATATACAGTGCATACACGGTGCAGTGTTTCGAATTTCACAGATGTTTGAATTCCAACTAACAATATATAATTTCAATTCGATTAATTCTTAACAAATTAGTATTTGCAATTTATAAGAGGACATTCTTACATACATAAGAAATTCTTGATTAATAATAAAATAAATAAATTACTTTGGAAACTTCTATATGTTTACAACTAATCTAAAGATTTGTCTCAAAAAAAAAAAAACCAATAGAAGACAATTATGCACAAGACAATTCTTAACAAATGCATAATAAATTATGCATTTGATTGCCACTTGATCTTATGACACTTTCTCTTATCAAGTAGAGGACAATTGCTAAAAGTGGCAATCAAATATGTAGGCCAGGTGAGAGGTCCTATAGAGTTTTTTTTGTAAGTACTTTCGTTTTCCACTATTAGGTGAGGTACTTGTAACTGACCTTGAATTTTATTGCAAGTGTGAACGTTGTTTTATTTAATATCAAGAAGAGTTGAATACCTATCTTTATTTTACCTTCTTCTAGATATTTAATTTGCATATATATATATTGAGATAAGTCATTAATTTTTTATGTGAATTGGATTGATTGATGAGTTTGGATCTAGTTGAATGTTAGTTAATTCTCTTATATGTCTAGTAATTTAATTTTTGATTGTTATCTATATGAAAATTGGCAAATTAACATAAAAATTACAATAAGCAACTCTTTTAAAATATTGACATCACCTGTACAAATTTGCGTATGTCAATGCCAGACAACCTAGGTCGAATATGATTTCTGAAAATATTCAAATAACTCTTTTTGTTACTTGGAAGGATTGAATTTTTTTACTTTTTTTTACTTGGAATGATTGGATTTTGGATTGGAATTTAAATCTTTACCCAAAAAAACATGATTAATCTATCTAAACCTACATTATTATTAGAAATTATATAGCATTAAAAAGTAGGTAGTCAAAGTCTAACACGATTATAATTAAATTGAATTTGGAGCCTAGCACTCTAACATAATCGGACTAACCTCGTTTAAGTTTCATTGGTTAATTGCGTGGAGATTTGAATTGCAGGTTGGGTCCACCAATTAATGGACGCCATTTTACGGCATGCAAGGGATATTAATTGTACTAATACAATTACAGTACTGCCCCTCTCTTAGTCTCTTTCTATATATAGTATATATATATTGTATCTTTGTATAACTGTAGTGCTTGACACTGACAACCAACTTTTTTTCAATACATAACAAAAGTAAAGAGTTGTATTTTGCCCGACCACACCGAGACTGACTGTGAGCGCGGAAGGGGAATTGAGTCTAGTTGTGGAAAATACTCTCGAGCCCGATAATCCCGACATCCATTCTGAGTGTGGGAGGGGGTGCAGACCGAATCTCCTCCCACATTGATGACTGGTATTGGGGTTGTCGGACTTTGCAGCATTATTCATAATAATATTAAAACGATACTTAGTTCTCATTAATAAAAATTTACATTATATTTATCTGGATTAATAATAAATAAATGAATTATTTTTCATTATCAAATCTAATATGATGAGGTAGATACCTACCTACTTATTAAATCAGAGATGGTAAGTCACCATTTATAATTTGGTAATGAAAATAAAATATATTAATTTATTATTAGTCTAGGAAGTGAGTACGAAGAAACTAAGTATTGTCCATAATATTACTAAGAGTAGTAATATTTTGGTTGAATAATTAAGTAGAATTCATGAACCAATACTGGTCATAATGCAAGAGATAAAGAAATAAATTGTTCCATTTTTTAATATTTGGCATTTATTGACCAATTAAAATTTAAAAAATTATACTCCCTCCATCTCAGTTTAGTTGTCCATCTTATTTTTTTGGGTTGTCCCAAAATACTTTTTCACTTATTAAGTTTAAACAACATATTTCACATCTTTCCATAAAATATCCTTAAAATTTTTTAAAATTTTAAACTTGATTTTATATATATATATATATATATATACTTGAAAGGATAGCTTTGTAACTTTTAAAGGGGACAATGCAATAATTACATGTCCTTCTTAAAAAGTTTTACTCCCTAATGGAGACATCTAATATGAGACAAATAGAGTACCTAACTCCTTAGTCTTAAAATCATTTTCCTATTATTGGTGTTCTTAGCGTGTTGAAAAGTAATTAAATGTAACATGTTGATAAATGTACACTACCACTGCAAGGATTACAACACAACATCTCGAAGATGCAAGTATATGTATGAAATTAGTGTGTTCATTACTTCATTCCATATACGGACCATATATTGAAAACCCCGACCAACTGAAGATCCACTTGGGTCGTGCTGCCCCAAGATAAATGTGTGTACATAAAATATGTACAGAGGGGAAATAACGATAAAAAGTAGGGATGGCAACGTGACGGAATTGGGGCGTAGGGCAAGTTTGATTAAACCTTACTTTGTACCAATTGTTTAAAAATGATAGGAATTACAATCTTTCATTTTAAGTGTTCCACTACTAATTGTGAATCAAATTACATTTACGTATATGTTTGGTATGTGTATGGTATATGTACTAAGGGACTTGTGTAATCAGTGATATCTCATCTGCCTTGCAAAGTAAATGGTAAGAGTTCGAATCTCCAAATGAACAAAGTAGATGCGTGAGTGTTGTGTGTCGAAATATGGCCCACTTATTTTCTATTTAAAATCCTATGGGTTCAAGCCTGGGTCTAACAACATTGGGCCCAACTATCAACGGACCAGTGGCCTAGCGGTATCAGCCTCTTACTTTTCAATGAGAGGTCAGGGATTCAAGTCTCAGAAGAGATGTGTGTGTGAGTACCAACTAGGGAAAAAAAAAATGCCCAACTCAGTCCTTTTTCCCTTCTTCCTAACAATCATTCCCTCTCGCATCATATATATCTATATCTATACTATTATTAAATTTGTAAAGTGTTTCAGTATTTCAGTATTTATTTTTTAATATAAAAAAATATTTATTAATTGATATAAAACTCTAAAAATTACTTAATAAAAGTCAAATTACCTAATAAAATTTAAATTACAAATTACCTAATAAATCTATACTATTATTAAAAGAGTTTCTATAAAATAAAATAAAATAAAATTTAATTAGACAAGAATAATTCTACCACAAATTACCTATTTTATTTTCAATAAAACTATATCACATTAGACAAAGATATATTTACTAATAGTTTTTTACCATGCACTTTTTACCACGGTTTTAAAATAACCGTGGTAGAAAATATATATTTTACCACGGTTATTTTAAAACGGTGGTAGAAGATCCTTTCTACCACGGTTAATGAAAAATCGTGATAGTAATTATATTTTTTACCACGGTTATAAAACAGCTGTGGCAAAAAGTACATTTATTTCACTACGGTTTTCCATTAACCGTGGTAGAAAGTGAAATTTTTTCACTCAAATTCTTTTCTACCACTCTTTCTACCACGGTTAATACAAAACCGTGGTAGTAATTTATTCTACTACGGTGCAGGCACCGTGGCAGAAAGTGAATTTAGTTTCTCACTAGTTTTTTAATATATATATATATATATATATATATATATATATATATTATATACAAAAATATATATAGTCACACACGTACAGACCACACACGCATACAATTTTAGGGCAAATCATTCTAAATATATCATACTCAGATGATTGATCAATCAATGAAAAACCTTATTTTGTTTTTTTTTCAAGTGACCATTATTACTTTCTAAACATTGTTGATATGAATTCATTTAATATATGACAATATCATACAACGAAAATTATAAACAATTAAAAAATATATAAAATAAAAAATTTGATAAATTACAAAATATTCACCATGTGCGTTCACGTACCTTTTCCTAATGTGTATGTGTATATATATATATTTTGTTGGTGTAAAGGAACAACTAATATCTCAATAGAATCAATAATACCTTTGAGTAACGGGGTAACTCTGGCGAATTGAGGGTTTAATCAATGTCCAACTCAAGTTATAAACTCAAGTTCTCTAATCTAAGTCCAACTCAATTAAATATTTTTTTTTTTCGAATGAATTTTATATTAGATTACTCTCCAGTATAAATTTTCTAAAAAATTTAACTAAATTTATTTTAAAAAATTGAAAACAAAGCCTTAGAAAATAAAAAATATATATACAAAATAAAGTTTGAATTTGTCCGGCCTTAAGTCTAGTCCTAATTAAATTAGGTTGAGATTTTTTAATCTGAACTTAACTCTAATTGTAGATAATTCTAAAAATTATTGTTAAAATTCGTAAAAAATGGGACTAGACTGGAATTGAAGTTTCGTCTCTTATGTATACTTACAGGTCCTCCGGTCCAATATCTCGAACCCAATGGCAATTTTAATGGACCCATTTGCTACTGTAATCCATGAAGCAATGGTTACGGGTCATTTTGACCCAACTGGGCAAATATGACTTTGACAATTTCTTATTGCACGCCAACAAAAAGTGTCCACTCATAATGATCCGTGATCGTGAAACATCTCTTATTGCACAACAACAACAAAAAGAGTCCACTGATCTTATGGTCCGTGATCGTGAAATGCTAAATCATCATTGTCCCTTATGCAAGACTATCAATCTACATACTTATTAATTATTGACTCGTGAAAATCCCTTGGATTAAACCATGTTTCATGATGTTTGGCAAATTTTTTTGGAAAGAAAATAAATTAAGATTATTGGGTATAAGTAAAGTAACGCTAGCTAACTAATGTAGCTAAACAGAGTTTGCTTAAAAATAAAAACAATAATAGGGTAAGGTTGGGGCAAATTTAGGCTCCAAATTTGGCCTTAATGGGAGAAAATAATAATAATAATGGTTCAAATTTTCATTTAGACAAATGTGTTACTAAGGCGTTACTCATAAAAAAATATATATAATACTAATAAAAAAAACTTAATTTATGATTTCGTTTAGCCCCTTCTTTCTAAATGCCTAGTCCACATTCGAAAATATTTATTTTCTTAATAAAAAACTCATACACACATTTGTTCTTATGAAGATTTAAACTTTCATCTCTCACTTAAAAGATTGAGAAAATATTACTAAGCCCCTTGGTGGTCTCCTTTCATTGTTATGCTTACAAAAACTTTTATTTTTATTAACAAGTATTTTTTCTTTTTTACATATTAACAACTATTCACACACAATAAATAGGTAATTTGAATTTTATTAGGTAATTTTTAGAGTTTTATAGAAGCTCTTTCTATAAAAACTTTTTTTATATCGATTAATAAATATTTTTTTTATATTTTGTGTTACAGCTTTATAGGAACTCTTTTAATAATAGTATAGATTTTTTTAGAAACAAATAGATAAATATGTAATTTGAATTTTATTAGATAAGTTTTAGAGTTTTATAGAAACTCTTTTTATATCAATTAATAAATATATATATATTTTTATATTTTGTGCTACAGTTTTATAGAAACTTTTTTAATAATAGTATATTTTTTGAATTAAACTCTTTAAATAAATTTTTAAGTACTTTTTAAAAAAATTTTGGGCAATTTTTTTTTTTTTTTAAACTCTTTTAATAATAGTATAAAATTTTTTAGAAACAAATAGATAGATAGGTAATTTAACTTTTATTAGGTAATTTTTAGAGTTTTATACAAACTATTTTTATAAAATCTCTTCTTAGATCAATTAAAATTTTTAGGTAAATTTCAAAAAAAAAAAAAAAAATTAGGTAATTTTCTAAAACTCTTTTTACATCAATTAATAAATATTTTTTTTATATTAATAAATAAATACGAAAATATTGAAACATTGAATTATTGAAACTCTTTGCACATTTAATAATAGTAATAGATTTATTTTAAATTTTTTTGTTTACAGAAACTCATTTTATTTATAGAAATTCTTTTATTTTAATTCATTTTATATCAATTAAAAAATATTTTTTTATATTAATAAAAAATACTAAAATACTGAAATACAGAAACTCTTTATATTTTTAATAATGTATAGATATAGATATAAATATAGATATAGATATTGATATTGATATAGATGTTACAATTATTCATTCATAGTTTTGATACTAAAAAGATGGACTAACGTTAATAAAGGCTTCAGTCGCTAGCGCGACACGGTCCATACGGACACATGTAGTTTTGTTTTTTCATTTGAGCTGGGCCAATGTTATTTTGATCCAAGTAAAGCCCAAATCTCAGTTTACACCAAATCCAACCCAAGCGTATGCTCAGCCCATCTAATTTTTATTGATGCAGCAATCTTTACTCCATATTACATACATCTCACCGTACCAACCAAAAACCTACAAAAAAATTCATTGAATACGTGTTTGTTTGGGGAAGCCTTGTAGGTATGGGCGCATGATTTGAATTGGACCCTCCTCCGTCTATACGATGACGCCTTGCGGCAAAGCATCGGGGGAATTCATGACACTTGTATTCGAGCTGGTTTGCTTTGTGCCGCAGGGGTCCCGAATCCTTCTCCCTGTAATTCAGCATAGTGGAGGTCCGGCTCTTTTCTACTGAATATCTACAAGCTCATGTTTCTACCATCTTAATCTGTTGCCTTGAAGGTTGCCCATTGTCCACTCTTTCTCCATACTTTTCAGACTTTTTTTGGCTTACCCATCCACTTCAGTCCACATTGTGTTCCTGTGTTACTCTGAAACCAAATACAGACAGGGCTTGGAGACCCCAATTTCAGGGCCGGTTAGGGTTTCAATTTCAGGACCGGTGTTAGGGCTTCAATCTCGTTCTCGGCTCTCCATCTGTGCTCGTTTTCAGGTACGATTCAACCCCTATATAAATTTTCACATATCATCGATATATACAGTTTTGTGTGCAACCATGGCTTCCGTCACCCAAGACGATGGTTTGAAGAAACTGGAGTACCTCTCACTGGTGTCCAAGGTTTGCACCGAGTTAGAATCCCACTTAGGGTTTGGGGACAAGGTATTGGCCGAATTCATCACCGACATGGGCCGAACCTGCGAGACAGTCGATGAATTCGACGCCAAATTGAAGGAAAATGGTGCTGAAATGCCCGATTACTTTGTTCGAACCCTGTTAACAATAATTCATGCAATTTTGCCTCCCAAACCCAAGTCCGATAAGGAGTCGAAGAAGGATGATGGTTCTGAAGGTAAGAAATCTGACTTTCCGGGTTTGGGAATTTCGGATGGTAGAGAGAGAGTGAAGGATCTGGAAAGAGAAATTGAGCTGGAAACAAAGGATCGAAGGCGAAGAGTAGAAGAACAAGAGGGTAAAAAACGCAGGGACGACTGGGATAGAAACAGAGACAGAGAAAGGAGAGAGAGGCATAGGGAGAGAGACAAGGATGAGAGAGGTGATAGAGGCGAAAGGCGTAGAGATTGGGAGGAAAGGCATAGAGATAGGGATGAAGACGATAGAGGTGATTATAAGAGCAGGGGAAGGTATAGAGATAGAGAAGACAAGCATACGAGGGATGGTTATGAAGAAGATGGGGATAACAGGGAGGATGATGGTAGGAGAGGTGATTATAAGAGCAGGGGAAGGTATAGAGATAGAGAAGACAAGCATAGGAGGGGTGGTTATGAAGAAGATGGGGATAACAGGGAGGATGATGGTAGGAGGGACCGGCAGAATGGTAGGAATCATTCAACTGAACCTGAATTGTATCAGGTGTATAAGGGCAGGGTGTCAAGAGTTATGGACACGGGCTGCTTTGTTCAGCTTAGTGATTTTAGGGGTAAAGAGGGTTTAGTCCATGTTTCGCAGATTGCAACTAGGAGGGTTGCTAATGCAAAGGACATTGTGAAACGGGATCAAGAGGTTTTTGTTAAAGTGATTTCAGTGTCGGGCCAGAAGTTGAGTCTTTCAATGAGGGATGTTGATCAGAACAGTGGTAAAGATTTACTTCCGTTGAAGAAGAGCTCGGGGGAGGACACCTTTCGGATTAACCCTTCAGGATCGAATACTGAGGGGCCAACAACTCGGACGGGTCTTTCAGGGATCAGGATCACTGAAGATGACAGTACTGTTCCGTCACGTCGGCCATTGAAGAGAATGAGTTCACCTGAGATATGGGAAGCTAAACAGCTGATTGCTTCAGGTGTCTTGGATCCTAGGGATTATCCCATGTATGATGATGAAGGAGACGGAATGCTCTATCAAGAAGAGGGTGCTGAGGAGGAGCTTGAGATTGAGTTAAATGAAGACGAGCCAGCCTTCTTGCAGGGGCAAAGTCGATACTCTATAGACATGTCACCTGTTAAGATCTTCAAGAATCCGGAAGGGTCCTTGAGCCGCGCAGCAGCCCTGCAGTCTGCTCTTATAAAGGAACGAAGAGAAGTACGCGAACAGCAGCAGAGAACAATGCTTGATTCTATCCCTAAAGATCTCAATCGACCATGGGAAGACCCAATGCCTGAGACAGGTGAGAGGCATCTTGCACAGGAGCTCAGGGGTGTAGGCTTATCTGCCTATGACATGCCTGAATGGAAAAAGGATGCTTTTGGAAAAGCCCTAACATTTGGGCAGAGATCAAAGCTTTCCATCCAAGAACAGAGGCAGAGCTTACCAATTTATAAACTAAAGAAAGAATTGATTCAGGCTGTGCATGATAATCAGGTTCTGGTAGTAATTGGTGAGACAGGATCTGGGAAGACAACTCAGGTGACGCAATATCTAGCTGAAGCAGGGTACACTACCAGGGGCAAAATTGGATGTACTCAGCCCCGTAGGGTGGCTGCAATGTCCGTGGCCAAGAGGGTTGCTGAGGAGTTCGGCTGTCGTTTAGGGGAGGAAGTTGGGTATGCCATTCGTTTCGAGGATTGTACTAGTCCAGAGACTGTTATCAAGTATATGACTGATGGTATGCTTTTAAGGGAGATTTTGATTGATGAGAATTTATCCCAATACTCTGTGATAATGCTTGATGAAGCTCATGAGAGGACTATCCACACTGATGTTCTTTTTGGATTACTAAAGCTGCTTGTGGAACGGAGACCCGACCTTCGATTGATTGTCACATCTGCCACTTTGGATGCAGAGAAATTCTCAGGGTATTTCTTCAACTGTAACATCTTCACCATTCCTGGAAGGACCTTTCCTGTAGAAATACTCTACACCAAGCAGCCGGAAAGTGACTACCTAGATGCTGCTCTGATCACTGTTCTACAGATCCACTTGACAGAACCTGAGGGTGATATCCTCCTTTTCTTGACTGGTCAGGAAGAGATTGACCACGCCTGCCAGTGTCTTTATGAGAGGATGAAAGGGATAGGTAAAAATGTTCCTGAACTAATTATTTTACCAGTCTACAGTGCTCTTCCTAGTGAAATGCAATCCAGGATTTTTGATCCTGCCCCTCCTGGAAAGAGGAAAGTGGTTGTTGCAACCAATATTGCCGAAGCTTCTTTGACTATTGATGGGATTTTTTATGTCATTGATCCGGGCTTTGCAAAGCAAAATGTGTATAATCCCAAACAAGGGCTTGATTCACTGGTCATAACTCCGATTTCACAAGCATCTGCCAAGCAACGAGCTGGGCGTGCCGGGCGTACAGGGCCAGGAAAATGTTACCGTCTTTACACAGAGAGTGCCTTTCACAATGAGATGTCCCCTACCTCAATTCCTGAAATCCAGAGGATAAATTTAGGATCTACGACTCTTAATATGAAAGCTATGGGAATAAATGATCTTCTGTCTTTTGATTTTATGGATCCACCTTCTCCTCAAGCTCTTATCTCTGCCATGGAACAGCTATACAGTCTGGGAGCTCTAGATGAGGAGGGACTTTTGACTAAATTAGGTAGGAAAATGGCAGAATTTCCCCTGGATCCACCATTATCAAAGATGCTTCTTGCTAGTGTAGACCTTGGATGCAGCGATGAGATCTTGACCATAATTGCAATGATTCAAACTGGAAATATCTTCTACAGGCCAAGGGAAAAACAAGCTCAAGCAGATCAAAAGAGAGCCAAGTTTTTTCAGCCCGAAGGAGACCATTTGACTTTACTTGCTGTTTATGAGGCTTGGAAAGCAAAGAATTTTTCTGGGCCTTGGTGTTTTGAAAACTTTGTTCAGTCTCGTTCATTAAGGAGGGCACAGGATGTCCGAAAACAGCTTCTTACCGTCATGGACAAGTACGTACTTCTGGTTTATTTCTTTTATTTTGGTCTCTTTATTGTTTCTTTGTTGTGGGCTTTTTGCCACTTTTTTGTTGTTTTTACATTTGTTGTATAATATCATAGCTGCATGAGATCTATGTTATTGCCGTATAGCCTTCTTTCTTGTTTCACTGCTTTCATGGGCAAGCTGTGTCATTTTATTTTGGGTATGAATTGGTTTGAGCAAGCTGTGTTTTCAAGGCCTATTGCTAGCCTTTTTCACTGCCTCACCATCAATTTTGCAAGGTTTTCCTTGGCAAAATATTAGTAGTGAATTTTCTTGAGGACCTGCTTTTCTAGAAATCTAGTCTTATAATGCTTTCCTTCTGAATGTCTTTCATTTTAATTAGACAGGCCTTTGCTAGATGCCAAATTACCAGCTAATGTTCTTTAAGTTTGATTTTTCTTTCAATGTAGCTGCATTAGGCACCTTAAAGTTTTTCACAGATGTGTTATGTGACCGTCCTGTTCAGTTCTTATTGATGTGAACAGTGAACCTGTGTAGTAGATATCCGTTCTTTGGATAATATGTTAGATTACCTGCAAAAAAGATAAAATATTTCTAGATGTTTAATCCGCAGTTGAGGCTTTTAAGCAAATGAGTCATCTGTTGCTTTTGTCCATAATTATGATAGGAAGAATCTGGAAAAAATTGATACTTAAAATTTAAGATTTAAATGCCTTGTATATTTGGTTCTAAGTTAACTCATTTTTGTAACGGCTCAGGTACAAATTGGATGTTGTGAGTGCTGGGAAGAATTTCACAAAAATAAGGAAGGCGATAACGGCAGGATTCTTTTTCCATGGGGCGAGAAAGGATCCACAGGAGGGTTACCGAACCTTAGTTGAGAACCAGCCAGTTTATATTCACCCAAGCAGTGCTCTTTTTCAGAGACAACCAGATTGGGTGATCTACCATGAGTTGGTAATGACTACAAAGGAGTACATGCGTGAGGTCACAGTTATTGACCCCAAGTGGCTTGTGGAACTGGCACCAAGATTTTTCAAAGTGGCAGATCCTACAAAAATGAGCAAGCGCAAGCGTCAAGAACGTATTGAACCACTTTATGACAGATATCATGAACCTAACTCTTGGCGTTTGAGTAAAAGACGTGCTTGATTTGTGCTTCATTTGCTATCAGTGGGTTGGTGCAGAATTCACTTCGATTTTGCTCCATGTGCAGCAGGTCTCTCTTTCTCTATATATATAATGCTTCAATTAATTGAACTACAGTTCCAGGAAAATTAGGTGTATAGCCTAATTTTTTTGTTAGATCTCATCATGTTCTCTGGATTTCTCACTCGTGTCGGGCTAACAATAGACCGGAAAAGGCTCGCGATCGACTGGTTTAAAGACACTCTTTCAGGTAATCCATCGATCTCTGTCTCTAACATTACGCAGGTTTTCTTGGTTGGATGGATCAATTTGTGGAATTTGTGGTGGATTTGGTTGGTTGGATGGATTTGGGTGTGGATTTGATTGTCTCATGGGTATTTCAATTTCATGGATTTATTTGGCTTTCTTTGTTTTGTTTTTCAAATTTGGTTTTGGGTCCTCATTTGATATCTGCTAATTTCTTTTTGGTTTATTTGCTTTGTCTTCATGGTCACATAAGATGTTCATGATTATGTTTTTTTGTTTGATCTCTTATTTGGTTTGTTTGCTTGGGTGGTAGCATCGTTTTATATACACTCAGACAGAGATGTATATATACATTGATGGCACAACTTGATTAGTTATACCAGAAAAGATTATTATAGCAATGACTTGATTCGGCCTAACTCTTGCTAGTGCCAGGATGACATGGGAAATTTTCGAATACAAGCTAGGATACATGGAAAATTTCCAAATATAAGCTAGGATGACATGTATGAAGTAGCAAAATTCTCCTTGACAATTAACAGGCTTAGACGAATATAGTTCATTTAGAATTTGAGTTAGTTTATATGAGAACAACTATTAGATGATAGCTCCAGGCGACTGTAAATGATTGATTATGCAAGAAAATGGTGTTATATATATATATATAGATGGCCTTTTAAAAAATCAGACCATGGACTTTTCCATGGTAATTTTGTTCTTGACAATGGTGCTATTTCAGGTTTTTGTGTAGATTTTGGTTTTGCGCTTATTCACTGTCTCAAAATATATATCTTAGTTAATGATTGTATTGATTGATTTGGTACTTTGTACGTGCGGACTTAGTTGAGAGGAATGTGACTTGTTTTGTTTTGTTATTGCAAATTCTGGTAGAATGCTCTTATAATGTATCAATCAGGAGTGTGTTCATTTGGACTTTCTGTTGTTTTGAAAACAAAATATCTTTATAATGGATTTATACTAAAGGAGTCATGGCCACAAATTGTAGGAAAGACCTGACAAGGTCGGTTTAGGGTGACTTATTGTGTGATATCAATAAATAAACTGGAATTCAAGTGTCAAACTTTTTATAAAAGATATTATTTTGCTTGCTTGGGCTGGTATTTAGGTTGACAAAATCCATCTTTGCTTAGTTGCATAAAATAAAATATTTTGCTTGTTTGGGCTGTCCAGATTTGCCCCCCATGTATTGGCAAAAATCAATATAAATCTTGTTATCACACCCCTATTTTGTACTGCAACTTACCTTTTTGTGTCTTGTTTTTGTAGAATGATCATGATAAAATCCTGGAACTATATCCCAGCAGCTGTCCATTAAGAAAAAAGTGAGCTGCAAATTTGGAATTGGTTTTTGAGCACATTAAAGGGCAGAGTCCTATAAAAGAAGATCCAATACATAGGAGATAGTGTGAGGGAGACAGAATCTAGAGAACAGCAAGGCCATAGATAGTTCTGACATTTTTTTTGCTCATATTTTTTTTGGTTTTAATGGGAGTCAAGAAATGTTATGCAAAATGATGTTGTGACTATTAATATGGTTAATAGCTTTGGCTTGCTATGCTATTGTGAACTGTTGGAACTCTAGATAGGATGGGATGGTGAAGTCACTGCATATAATTGGTTTTAACTTTTTCATCAAGTGATAATATGAAGTGTGTATTACTTTGAGCTATATGGCTCACATAAAACTTTAATTGGTTGTTTGTCTCAAAAGAAGCTGACATTGCACCAAGGATAGAATTCTGAATGCTGAACTTTGTGTGTCTCTATCCCTTGTTAATAAAGATTGCATTAGTAGGTTTTGACAAAAAAAAAAAAATCATTGCATTTAGCCATTTATTGTTAACATCTCAAAAGAAAATAAATAAGAAAGTGATGAACAATTTTTTATTTTCTTTTTCTTTTTCTTAGTTCAGAAAACTATTTTCGGTATATATATAACCAAGCAGAATGAAAACTGTTCTGTAGTGTAACTAGTGTTCTCATTCTCTTAACTGCAACGTGTAAATAGATCAGCATAGAAGCATGTTTGGAGGCTGTGAAATGGGACTATATTTTTGAGGATATTGATTTGGATCAGTGTAACAAGACGCAGAGTGCAATTTTTATAATGTGTTTGGTTGGTTACTAGAATCGAAATCATCTTGACTGGGGATGGGATGATCAAAATGTCTTGGGATTTTGTAAAATGGTTGGCTGTTGGCTGGTGCTCATTTTTATTGTCAACGTAGAATAGTATTGCCTTCTATTAGACAAAGTCTAAAGTCATCACTATCTTTGGTGCTTAATTGATTCTACTTTTAGGCTCTGTGTCTTTGTTTCAGAAGCAAAATATTTTTCTGGTAGAAGATTTTTCTTTTTCAGGTAAAATATTTATATTGCCAATGTAGAATAGTATTGCCTTCTTTCAGACAAAAGACTAAAGTCATCACTGTCTTTGGTGCTCAATTGATTCTACTTTTTAGGCTCCGAAGATTTTTCTTTTAGGCTCCGAAGATTTTTCTTTTTCAGATAAAATATGTTTTTATTTTTATTTTTTTACTTTTTTTTGTATTTGGCAAAAGTCGAGATTAAGGTCGAGGTCACGTTCATTAGGCGGAACATGTAAAATAACTTGTCAAAAATTGATGAGTAAATTATTATTATTAGATTTTAATAATTTTTTTCTTCGTGAATATTTTACGACAATCAAATACCAGAAAATAAAAAAAATATTTTACATCCAAACAAACGGAGCCAAGTCTCTACTTTGATGTATTTTTTATTAGTTGCAATGATCTTGACCTTCCTAACCATTTGTTCTTGAACAACTAATTCAGATTGAACAATGTTGGAGAATATCATTATTATAGGAGTGATTAAAGCCTTAAATCACTCTTCCTGAATATTGATTGATACGAAGTGCATTGATTTTAAAAATATTTTTTATATCATATAATGAAAGAGATATAGCCCTTTGGGTTTATGTATCGGGAATGTAGGTTCTAACGACTAAATCCGTTATATACTTGTGTTCATGTTTAATTTCTCTCTCAGACTTTTATATTTTTCAACAAATAACCATAGATGTTAATTTCGTTGGTGAAGAGACTGGTAGCCCAAGTTGACTGAATGCACTTACTTATACGATGAAGTGGCAGCTTATAGACACCAAATTGAGGGATTAACGTGGGCATCATATCTATCCAGATGAAATCATTTACTGTTTTGTTTTGGTTGTGTAAAATTGAACTTAATGTACATCTTTTATTAGATTTTAATTTAACCAAGCCACGTACCTCTCCTGTTCTATTTAAGCTTGTGTGACATTGAATTTGTGCAATTTTTATTAATTCAAGAATACCTAGATGAATCATTAGTAGAGAGAATTTTCTTTACATTAGTAGTTAAATTTTTTTTAAAACGAATTAAATAAAAGGGTGGTGTAATTTTTTTTTTCTTAGTTCAAAAAATTATTTTGAGTAGAAACAACCAAACAGATTTATCAGTTTTTATTCTCTCAAAACAATTTTATAATTTTTCCAACTAAATAGATTATTAGACTCTAAAAACTGAAAATTGAACCGGGCATCAACAACAGGGTATGTAGATGTTGTTAGTCTTGGAAGGGACACATTAGATACAAAACCAATCTTCGTACAGTTGGAACAAAGTAGTTAGTCTCATATTTCAATTGCATTTTTGTGCTTGATTCTTTAAATATTGTCTCAAACAATAATCCAATAAAATTCAACAATGAATATGAGACTTGAACTCGAAGTAGAATTTTTAATTTTCTACAAGTGGAATTCGTGTGTAAGAGTTTGGGCATGAGTTCTCCATTGTCTTGTATAGTTCTTTTATTTCGTTTCAATTTTGTTGTGAAGGCGATTTGATTATTTCCTCTAGGTAAGACCGCAATGATCACCTTTTATTTGAGAGGCGAGGACATATCACTAGACTACATTCTTTGATCATGATTAATTTAATTTAGAATAAATACGATATCAAAGTTCAAGATTTATATAATCAAATTGTAAAATATATCCATTTATCTTGTTTTTCTTCTTAACTAAATAATTTGTTAAACAATAAAAAATATTTAGTTAGTTATGCGTATATTGACGGATCGGATTCGCGAATTAAGATTTTCTCTAAATTTTCTAAAGTTATTTATTTTTTAACCATAGCCCATTAAATAAAATTTTAATTTATCAATATTAATTTATGTATATAAATAATCATTAACTAATACATTCTTAGATTCTATTAAATGATTATTAATTAATTGAATTAATTAATATATTCTTTATATATATATATATAAATATATATATCTCGCGCATAAATAATACGTAGTAGTATAATTGAAATAACCTAAAAGTTTGGGGGAAAAAAATTAAAAAATCTTCAATTTACCGTCGTCTCTTATCCGCTTCAATTTCATTATTGCCGTAAAGATCATAGGCTAGAGCAAACACGGGGTCTGAATCGTTTGATCCTCGCTTCAAGTCCATTAAATGAATCGCCAATAACATTCTAAAACTAAAAAATGGGAATTATTTTGTATAATTATCATTCACTGCTCTCAAATTCATTTATTACCAAAAGACCCACTTCATCAGATTTTTCTCTTCACCAGGTCCGCTCCTTCATTCCTTCACGCCCTCAGATCATCACAGGAACATTGAAGATGGCCCAGCAAAGTTCTACACAAAACCCAAGTAAGGAAATTCCTTTTCATATCTCCGTGTGTGTGTGAGAATGTTGATTTCATATTTTTTCAAAACAATTTTCTTATAATTTCTGTATGGATCAAATAAACATGGGAATAACTAACCTGCATATTAGGTGGGATTTTTTTTGTTCATAACTGATGTAGTTCTTACAAGAAACCAGATAACATCCAGAAGTGGATAATTACAAATACATGACTCTAAATGCTCTAACACAAGCTTTTATGAGTTGAAGCTAAATAACCTGGATATGCTATTGACACTTCAATGCTTATAATATGGTAATTGATTGTAGTGGTAAAAGCTTGTAGTGTTAAGCATTAATTGTGGGTTCAAGACTTCAAGTTTGAGGGCATGAAATGTGTACATGATGCCTAAGGTTGGGCTGGGATCTCATTCTACCTTCCTAGTATGCTGCATTGACGGGATGACACTGGGTAGTGAGTAGTGACCTTTGACCTTTTGAGAATAAAGGTGGACAGTATCATGGGGGTTCAACTTGTTTCTAGAAGGTGAAGAACATTTTATGGTCTTAAATTTGATTTATCGAATTTTTACTATTTGTTTTTTCAGTAAGGGTGGGTTGAAAAGTTAAAGAAGGAAGAATGTAGCTGAACGAATGCATCCGCAGATGAATTACCCCTCTTTTATTTATTAATTTTTTATATCCCTCATAATCTATTAAGGAGCCGGAATGATTAGGGATGCCTCTCAAACAAAATCATTTTTGAACCTTCAATTCAGTTTACATAGTTGCTTTAATTTAAAACAGGCTTCTTCCATATGACTTGTTATATAGAGGTGTCAGAAAAAAGTTCTCGTGCAACAATCACTTGATAATTCAGTATTTCCTCACCTTGAAAATCAATCTAGTAATAAACTTTCAAACGTATAAATTTATAAAGGTTGTCTTCCTTTTCTTCTTCCCAGATCTTCCACAAGTTTCTGTTATGTGTGATTTTGATGTGCTTCTCTGCCCGGTTCCAATTAAATGTTGATTGATCTTTATGTACATTTTAAACAATGTGTCCATGATATCAACACATCAAATATCTCACGACTGAAGAGCATCAAACTCCTTTATTTTTAGAAATGTTCCCAAGATATATTGTTAAATCCTTAGAACCTAATAGAAATAATTACTAATAGCATCAACAAAAATAATGAAAAGTAAGATATTGTAGTTTATAAAGTTGGAACTCCAAATATGATTTTTTTTTTAAGGGGAACTTTGATGAAGAAATTTTAGACTTTTTAGTTATGAGAACTGGTATGCAGTAAGTCCAGTCGGTTGCGCATACAATTATTACTAATTCTGAATTCTGACACATTGGAGATTACTTATGCTTACCTCTTAAAACTGGATAAGATATTTTCTAGTGCTAATAAGTTGCAACGTTTCAGTAATGCAGCAACAGAAAATCGTAATTACAAACAACAACAGTGAGAAACTTGTTGGTATATTGAATGAAACTGGATCTACAGAGATCGTGATCTTGTGCCATGGTTTTCGATCCTCAAAGGTTGGTAATCTGTGATACTTGAAGTGCTATTTTTCTTCTACAAAGTATGTGGGATGCTTCGGTGGTGTTATTGAACTTATTAACTTAAACCTCTATCCTTATGTTTCAATTTGATTATTATCCATGTCCTCCATTATTAACTGTTAATTTTTCCAATTAGCATATCAATCCTAGTTACACTGTCAAATGCCAAAAATTATTTCTACTTTGGTAGTTTAGTAAGAATGAAATCCTATTTTAGAGAGCAAAATTACTTCACGTGTTGTAGATTGCAGACTAGATCAGTAGGTGCTTTTGAAAATTTCAACTTATATCATAATGTGGATACACTGTTCACATTCAATGCATGCATGTACTCCTTGCTGCTCATCTTGTAGAATTTTCAGGGCGTAAAATTTTTTATTTGCTGTTTTCACCCTGAAGAAGTCATATATTGTAATTCTGCTGCATGCTTGAAGTGTGCAATCATGTTTACAACAGAAAAAGAGAAGTGTGAAAATGATAGGGGTAAACTATTCTTAGGTTTATTAACTTAGCATCCTTGTTGGGATTGGATATAACTTGAGCAGATTGTGATTGTGCATCGATATCATTCTCAACATACTACGGATCAAATCTAAAATGAGAACAATCATTTATGAGGCAATTTTTTTCATTAGGCTTAAACTAAAGGTTTAAGCCCTTAGTTATACTTATTGTGCTTGGATTAATTGAATATTTGATTATTATATTCAAGACTAAATTTATAATTTCTTTTACATGACTTATCAACACGAATTCTTATTTTTTTTGTTGGTTATCAATGACTTCTTGCCATGTTTAGGAAGAGCTGTGGTGTCTGCTAAAATTTCTGTAATTTTTTCTTTTTCATTTTTCATATGATGGGTTTACATTGGCCCCTAATCTTTTAAATTGGTTTTCAATGCATTTTTTTTTTTTGGCATATTAAGGAAGAAATCCTGCGGTTTATGTTGTTTGTTGATGGCATAGTTTTGATTCAAAAAATTGAAGTAAAATTTAAAACTCTCCTAGTTTAATGCTTGGTAGCTTAGGCAGGTGAATCAGTGGCCATTTGAGCATCTTGTTAGAGCTTAATACTTGGCTAAGCATCCAATTGTTGAACATTGGAATGCATCTAGTTGCTAGTGCTTGTCTGCTCTTGGATTGTGTCAAGATTTCTTATTTTGGACTGATGATAGTTTTGTTGAAGTTGTTGCTCTTGCTCTCTACTATTTAAGTGATTTTATTGAAACCAAATCCCCCATTCATATGGGATTAAGGAAAGGATGATGATGATACCGAACCAAACCATTAACTATTTGTAAATAGGTATTGGTTCATGGGTCAAACAACTGGATTGTCCAATCCAATTAGATGCTCCTGCTATGAACTACCACAAATTAACTTTACTAATAAACGAAACATACTAAACAATACATATTGAGTGTTCTTTTTTTTCTAAAGGCTTTTCCTAATATGCAACCCTGTGATGGATAGTGTGGAGCCTGGTAGATACTGTACACCAAGGCCCAATTCCACGGATCCAACTTACCAAAATACCCAAATTTTTTGGTGGGTATTTTGGTAATTTCTGCACTTGTTATGTTGCCCTAGTGAGAGGGTATTTATTCATTCTGAGCTCTCCATATCCGCTACTGTTTTGATCATAGTGAAATCCCTACAACCCTTGGACGTAGCCCTAGATTTTGGGTGAAGCAAGTAAAATTTGAGTTCTTGTTGTGTGCGTTTGATCCCTTTTTTGTGCTTTTTGTTTAATTTCGCAACACCCTGGTGCATGGAACTAGGGGTGGGCAAACCCTGGTTAGTGCGTATGTACATAATCACTGGAATTACTTTAAATTCAGCCAAGTACGCTCAGGAACAATAATGGCTTTAAACAAAATGAAAGACAATAATGCTGAGCTCATTGACTTTTTTGTGCTGATTTTGTGCAACCAAATTTGAGTAATACTTTTTTGAGTTGTACATCCATCAAGAGTTCACATAAAGTTTGAGGACTGATGTTTTGCTCGATTATAGAATTGATCTCACCACTCGTGTTTCTATTCCAGGAGAGCAACACTATGGTGAACCTTGCTGTTGCTTTAGAAAATGAAGGACTCAGTACCTTCCGTTTTGACTTTGCTGGAAATGGGTAAGCTTCTTTGAATTGTAGGGGTGTAGAAACCGTGACCTTCATAGTTACCACTCATTTGGTGGTGTTCATCCTAACTCTTAGCTTGGACCTTCGCCTTCTTTTTGGCTGACTTGTAGTTTTATTTCTTTGCATCTTTTTTATATATTTTTTAAAAGAATTAATTATGCTGATCAATAAAATTAAAAAAGAAAACATCACCTCTCAGGCAAAAAAGTATAGTCATTTTAGTAAAGGATGGATCCAAATTACCTATGTACATTTTATTCGTTACTATATAATAACTATGTTGAACTTGCTTTAATTATATTTTCCTAAAAATGGGATTCACTCCAAATAATCTGTTATGTCTTCTTTAGATACATGGATATTGCTTTACTTCAATGATCATGGTATAATTTTTGTTAAATCTTTTTTGAAGCTTTATTGATTATTAGCAGTGAGAGTTTGAAATAATGAATGAACATCTGTACAATTATCTAGATTCATTTAGAAGTGATTGAAGAATTGTTACTTGTATCCATTAAGACACACCCCAATAACTTCATTGAAAAATATACAAAGTAACATCACAAAAGTTTTGTTACATGGATTAGTGAGCTAGCATTATGCAGTGTTCCCATGGTTACATGAATTGTATGCCACAAAGGGTGATCAATCTTTGTGATGCTTATCAGAGTTGTACGTCAATAGAGTTGAGATGTATTGTAACCTTCAAAAAAAAAAAAAAAAAAAAGAAAAAAGAATTAAAATGTCTTGTTCTTTTCAGTGCATGGAAGAAAAGTAACAAAGTAAACAAAATTGAAATGACTTGTTCTTTTCATAACAGAGTTGTGAATCAATAGAGCCGAGATGTAATCTAACCTTCGATAGAGAAAAAAATAAAATTAAAAAAGGAATTGAAATGTCTTGTTCTTTTCGATGCATGGAAGAGAAGTAACAAAGGTACTCACACACACACAGATGAAAAATAAATAGAAAATAAAGGAAAAGAAAAAGAAAGTTGGAAAGGACCTTACTATTACATGGAGTTTTCTTAAATGTGGTGCATTTATCTCTTCCGGTTCCCTGGAGATGCAGTCACTTCATTTTTAATGGAGTATTTGAGAGCTGACTTCTTTAACTGCCGCGCAACTTCCGATATGTATTTTTTCTTTTCTAATAGGAGAGTATTAACCCTGGAATCTTCTTGTGGTTATTTGATGATTACATTAGTTTGGGCTGTTGTTCCTATCATCTTCCTAGTCTGCAGACTTCTTTGGAAGAGATTTCTCCGCTTGCACACCTTACTCATCAGTTAAAATTTAATAAACTCTCTTCTTCTAGAAAACAACTAAAAATCTAGTCTAGCAATATCTTTCAAGAATTTCCTTCTTATATAGATGTGTTTAGTCTGTAATTAAGCCAAAACCTTATAGAATGACATCATCGTGTAAATAAATAATGACGATGTCAAGCAACCTAAATTGAATCTACCGAACAAGTTATAACATGGTTAGATTGGGTCCATTAGTAAAGAAAATCCATTTCACCTTTTACTATTTGAACCATGGCATATCATAATCCGGAAATGATTGCTACAGTACTCCATCCATACTAGTAATGTTTTGCATAATGTTGGAGTTGTTAAGGCAACTTTATGATGCTTATATACACTTATATAAGTTTTCCATTCTGCATTATTGGAGTCATATTGCTGTGCACAACTTCACATTTGACTTAAAATTTATACTGAGTAATACTGTTTTTTAGGGAAAGTGAAGGTACATTTCAGTATGGTAACTATTGGAGAGAGGCTGAAGACTTGCATGCGGTAATTCAACACTTCAGTGGGGCAAACCGGCTAATAAGTGCGATTCTTGGTCATAGTAAAGGTGTGCTTGTTTATACTAGATATTCATCTACAAATTTTTCCCACTGAAAACACGGTTTATGCTTAAAAATAAATTTGTGATTTCCAAGTTAGAACAGTTGATTCAGTCTGTTAGAGGATCTAGAATAAGCAAATTCAAAGAAGATAGAAGAAAATAACTGCTTCAGTTACTTGGCGAACCCACGTAAAATGTTGAATTCTAATTTAATAGGAGTCCCTTTTTTTTTTTTCTCTTTCTTTTTTTTCAATACAGGTAGTATTCTGTTGATTTTGTTTTTATTTGTTTATTTTACTTTAGACATGGGTGTTTTCATGATTTAAAACTTCCCAAGACGTGTACTATGGTGGTCCATGTGTCTAATTTTAGGTCTTTTGTATGTTGTTTGTATGTATATATATATATATTTTATGTGGCCTCAAGTACTCATAAGATTGACTGTACTGGTCGAAATTACCAGTTAAAATTCAGAATACTTTGGAGCCTACATATCTCTATCCAGTTAGAACAAAATTTGGAGCAATTATGCTCTTTGGGAGTTGTCTGATATAAACTCTAGGTGTGTGGTGCTTATGGGATTCTAGGAGTGATTCCTAAAATATTTCCTCCAGCTCTTTGCAGTTCGCCAAGCAGATTCCTCTGATTCAATTTCAATTGTTGTTGTTGTTGTTGTTTTTTTTTTTTTTTTTTTTTTTTTAATCACAAAGGCTTATTCTTAACCCAAGCTTTTCTTTATTCTATAAGCCCTGTATTAAAATAAAATAAAATAAAAATGCCATCCACATCCTAAATCTTCTCTAGAAATCCACGAATGTACCTTTAAAACCAAGGCAAGACCATTGTTTTGCTATGTACACAACCTACAGTGCCCCCCCAAAAATTTTGAATTTTTTTTTTAAGTATAGGAAAAAAAAAAAAAATTAGTATAGGGAAAAAAGAAAATTTATATGGGATGGTCTATACTTGGCGCCCCCCCCCCCCCCCCCCCCCCCCCCCCAAAATTTTTTTTTTCTCTAATGGGCCTTTAACAAATTTAGGCCCAAATTCATTTGCAATATAATAAGATTGTGTGTATATATATATATATAATATACTCAAGCTTTGTATAGTTGTTTTTTTTTTTTTGATAAGTAAAATTTATTGAAAGACGCTCAAAAGGGGAGCGGAACCCAAAGGAAAACACAAGGCCAAAAAGCGCCTCAAGCCTTCAAAGAGGCCAAAAAAACAACGATCTCCTCAATAGATCTATACTCAAGCTTTCTATGGTTGTTGTATATGCTGATTGTAAGCAGGAGAAGTCTGATAGTGATAGGCTAGTTGTTTCAAATTGATGACTAAATAAGAATTTTAACTTTATTTTTTATAATAAGGCAAAACGGATGTGAATATGTAAGTTCCCATTCTTTCTCCTTTTATCTTCTGTTTTGCTTTTCCGTTTGAAGCTTCTGTCAATATTAAAAACCCTATTTTTTTTTTTTTTTCAAATACTCTTCTATACATTATTTCTATACCATAGATTAGGAATATATATATATATATATATAACTTATATAACATTATCAATCAATTAAACAAATCTCATTTTGTCAATATATACTTTTCCCCAAATTTTATTAATTGATTCAAAGATTCGGTTCCAACTTGCAAAATCAAAAAAATCTCTTTCACTCTTGAGTTGAGATCGAAATTGGGTAATGAATAGGTCAGATTCTCAAATACCATATAAATTACTCCATCTGTCCCAAAGCAGACAACTATTTTGGGACGATGGGAGTATATAATAATAATTTTTTATGCATTTTTTTTTTTTGGATAAGTAAAAATTTATAAAAGGCCCCCAAAAGGGGAGCAAATCCCAAAGAAACACACAAGGTCAAAAAACGCCTCAAGCCTTCAAAGAGGCCAAAAAAACAACAATTTCCTCTACAGATCTATAATCTCTCCCTGAAACAAAAAAGATGAAAATAATACAGAACTTAAGCATAGAAATAGGCTTCTCCTTTCCATCGAAATATCTCCGATTCCTCTGGAGCCAAATGCACCACCAAATACAAAGAGGCGTAACCCTCCAAGCATCTCGAATGAGAGCCCCCATTGAAAAACCTCTTCAAGCCTCAATCAACCCTCTAGAGGATCTAGGCATGACCCAGGGAATCCCAAATAACCCAAGCATCAAATCCCAACAGTCCCTAGCCAAACTGCAATGTAAAAAAAGGTGATCCACTGTCTCCTCATCACGCAGACACAATTTTTTATACATATAATATATGTGTATTATTAAAATTTTCAACATTTTCTTTTTTAATGTTGCAATTCATACTTTCTTTTTTTTTTTTTTTTACCAAATTGACAAAAAGTTGGCTAGATATATATTTGTATGAATATAACGAATAGTTTAAAAATAAAAATTGGCTTGAAATAGTCTTATGGTAATGTTGCTTCAAAGTTTGGCCCCTCCAACTGCAAAATCCTGGCTCCGCCCTTGGCGAGTCTTCCAATCTTTTAGATATATAACCTACACACTTTCCATGGCTTACACCATCATATGGTCAATTGTAGTTAGCATTATTGAGTTTTTGAAGTATTTGCCTACAACAACAATATAAAGCTGCATACAGCCTTCAATAACATCCCACTCCATTTGACACATTCTGGGTCAACATTGAGTTGTGTGTAGGGCACACCTTTTTCCTTAGTATTGGTATAACGACATTTAAATAAAATCCATGTCTTAGATTTGTGGTAAAATTCAAATATATTCCAATTATTGCAGCCCAAAAAAGATTAGGATTGTAGGCCTCAATCCAACCAAATCCAGTCACAATTCCTAAAATGAAACAAAACTCTAGTGAACTGTAGATACTTCACCCATGGTTGCTTATTTTTGAGGACTAGGATGACAATTACTTGTTTAAGATGAACTGGATCTCGATTACGTAACCATCAAAGGATGGGGGGATGCTTTATTTTCATATGAATTCATTGTGACGAGTAAAAACTCAATAAATCATGTGGGGTAATTTTTCAGTTTTGTTTCTCAAGGGGTCAGCTTTGAAATCCATTTCGGTAACCATTTACTTGTCCACATCATATTTTCTCTGCAAAAATCTGTTTCACTGAAATTAATCCATGCAGGAGGCAATGTCGTGCTCCTATATGCATCTAAATATCATGATATCTGCACGGTTGTCAATGTTTCTGGCCGTTATAATCTGAAGGGAGGCATTGAAGATCGCTTGGGTAAAGACTTCATTGAAAGAATCAAGAAGGATGGTTTTATTGATGTTAAAAATAGATCAGGTAACTTATAGATTCTTTTGTGGAGCTCTTACGTAATATGTATTTTTTCCTTTTGAATTTTAGTTTCCCCCTTCCTTTCTTCTGTCTTTGTTTTATGAAAGTTATAGGAAAAATTGTAATCTATTAGTCCATGTCCAATATATGCATGAATAATTTAACTGATTTTGTATGCCTCTAAATTCAAAGTTAAAGTAGTTCTGTTAGTTTTGCTCTCCTTAGCATTGTATGGATTTGATATGCTTTATTACCATGTTTTTACGTGTTTACTCTTAATTTAGCCCTATGCCTGCCAAGAAACTTTGTATTTATTTATATGTAATATGATAATGTTTATTCAACCGATTTGTAGTTCTTTCGATGAAGGCTGTAGGAGTATGTGACTTCCTGCAAATGGTTATAAGTGTTATGGAGATGATGGCGTGTCTGATTGATAACTTGTTTTTTCTCTAATTGAAATTGTATTAATGATAGAATGAAAACAATATAGTGCAAAGGCAAAAGTGAAAGCATACCTCCGCTGTACAACACAAAAGGAATAACAAATAAAAAAGATTACGAGTTTTGTTGATATTCGACAGTTGCATCATTAAATTATGTTCTCCGAAGGGCTGGCAATAAAAAATCAATAAAATGCATCCTAAAAAATTTATTAGCAAATCAATAAAATGAATCCTAGAAAATTTATTACGAAATCAATAAATTTCCCGTGGAAGACGGTTTGAGTCCTCCTTTTTCTGTCTCTTTGGGTTTCACGGTACCACTTTCCCGTGGAAGACGGTTTGGCATTCAAAGGCGCCTCTTAGGGTGGCTTTTTTTGTTTGGACTGCAGCTTGGGGTAGGATTTTAACTCTGGACAATTTGAGGAGAAGACAAATCATTGTCAATCGGTGTTGTCTGTGTAAGAATGATGAATGATGGAGAGTCCGTGGATCACCTTCTTTTGCATTGTCCTATGGCCCATGACTGTTGGAGTCTCATTTTGGGTCTTTTTGGTGTCCAGTGGGTCATGCCCCGGACCTCAAGGGATTTGATTGACATTTGGAGGGGCCAAAGGGTGGGGGCGCATGTTCGGGAGTTTTGGAGGGTAACCCCCCTTTGTGTTTGGTGGAGCCTTTGGAAAGAGCGGAATAGAAGATCGTTTGATGGGGAGGAAGCTCCCATTGGGGCGTTGAAGTTCTCTATTATCTGTTCTCTTTTTTGTTGGGGTTGGGAGAGAAATTGTACATCTTTAGATGATTTCGTGGACTTTTTGGGTTCTTTGGGTCCGTAGGTCTTCCCCTTTCTCTCTTTTTTGTTTTGTACAGCTCTTGGGACGCGTTCCCCTTTTGAACACTTTCTAATACATTTTTACTTATCAAAAAAAAATTCTAACATAATTTTAGGTTGTCTTCTGATTTTGCCAAAACGATTTATTATGCACTTATTGTGTATAATAAATATATATACATGACGGTTGACAGAAAGGCTCCTTTTGTAGGAGAAGTTGATTATCGCGTGACTGAGGAAAGTGTGATGGATCGCTTAAACACAAATATGCATGAAGCATGCCTCAAGATTGACAAGGAATGCAGGTCAGAACAAAGTCAATTCCATCTTATAGATTATAATTATGTTTATTCCATTTTTAAAATTATGTTGATTGGGTACTATCATGATCACCAGGTTTTTTAAAAATATTATATGTAGGAAAAAAATACACAGATCGAATGGAGTTTGTTATTGCCATCCTATCTTTAATCCCCAAGGCCATAATTTATAATCCATTTGGTAGGCAGGAGAGAGAGAGAGAGATCTCTGGTGGTGTGTGTGTGTGTATACATGTATATAATCAAACTTTATTCATCTTTTGCTTGTCACATTAAATAACTTAAGATCAGAACATCCTAAAACTAAGAGGGAGTAACCAAAAATATATCCAATCTCATGGTTACATATAAAACCTCAAATTTCATTCCTAGAACCTCTAAAAAATTTAAAAATGAATATTACGGCAAGGTTATAAACTCCTTATATTACTGGGAAAAAAACTTCAAATTGACAAACTTCCATGCAATATTCTTCGTGGATCTCGCGTCAAAATGCTCTAATCACAACTTCTAGGTCTTAATGTATTTTCTCACATCTTTTGACCTGTCAGCCCCTGTTCTTTTCACTTGTCTTGTGTTCAATTGGTATCGTACTCAGTTCAGCGATCTCTATTGCATGGCTAAACCGTTTCAGCTACTCTAATCTTGACTCTTGGTATAATTCTTCTCACAGTATGCAATCTTCTTTAACCCTATCGTCTCTTGCCTTGCCTTGTATTGAATCTCTAACACCGTCATGTCAGATGTGCATTTTATGGCTTCTTTTTTTTTTTTTTTCATTATCAGTTTTTATACCCCCATAATAACAATGCGATGTGATTTTTTTGCATCAAAGAAGAACTCATTTTTTCCGTTATAGAGAATGAAATTGCATTAGCTTCACTGACCAAACCATGCACTATTTACGTATACTGTGAAAAACAAGCTCGGAAGAAGCCATGGCCATGAATGAGCTCTCAGACAAACTCAGTCCAATAAGCTCCGTGAAGTTGGCTATTGCAATTAATAACTAGTACAATTGGATGTTAAACTATACCTTTTGATAGTTGTATATATATGCATGTGTGTACGTATCTATGGATTTGAAAACTTACTCACCCTTCTCAGTTGATTGTTCATTCCAGTGATTGTTTAGTTGGTTGTCATAGTTCACATGACCTTTTTATTTCTTTTATGGTTCGTGTTGAATGTTGTACATACAGGGTTTTGACGGTCCATGGATCTGCTGATGAAGTTATCCCGATCAAAGATGCATTGGAGTTCGCCAAAATCATACCTAACCACAAATTACACATGGTAGAAAGAGCAGATCATTGTTATACTTCACATCAAACTGAATTAGCTTCTGTTGTTATCCCGTTCATCAAGGAAGGTCTGCAGCAAGGCAAGGATATTTCTCAGTACTCTTGTGTCCAGTGACCAACAGACCTACATATTTAGTAGGATTTCAAGAGATTTTAGATCTATATAGAAGTTCAACTTCTTTAACTTTCTCATGATACTAACTCAATTATATATATACAGGTTCTTAGCGGAAACGACCACTGATTTTGTGAGAGATGTTTGAGCCAAACTGCATCTGGAGCTTATTAAGCAGGAAACTCCTCCTCCATCATCCCCATTGTTGGTTCCTGATAAACAGAATTAGGGTTTAAGCATCAATTGCTACTTGATACACGGCTGATTCGACCAACACTATGTTCTCTCTGACGCATAATGAATTAAGCAGGAAACTACTCCTTCCTCATCCCCTTGTTTCCTTGCAACATTTGTTGTGGTTAAGCTTGAATTTCAGAATTGTTATTAACTTTGTATATACATTTTCTTTTTCTACCCTCCATAGAATCTTCAACCAATAAATCCAGGGGTTAACCTCCAGAATGACTGGTTTTTGGTTATTTAATCTGATCCCCCATAAAAGTGACTTAGGTGCAGAAATGTTGTAGCCGTCGCGGCTGAATTTAGCCAAATCTTAAACCTTGTTTTTTACATTAGCCCTAATATCCAGTTTATTCACAAGAAGATTTAGTTAATGTAACACAAGTCTCCTGCTTCCAATGAAGATAGAAGAGAAACCCTCAAATACCAGTGTTAGAAATAGGCTTGCTTTCTCCCCTTGAAAGTTAAAACTATTCAACTGTAGAACCCTAAAATGATTGCCCCACTGAATATTTTGGCCAAATAATACTAATAATATATGTGAATGGCATAATCAAATTATTATGATGGAGGGAACAATATAGTTTTGATTGGCACTAATAATGGGAGAAAGCCACTGCATGTGATATGCCACCATACAAAAAGCAACATCGTTCCTCCATTCACACCTATTAGGTTAAAAATGGCATGCTTAAAAGAGTTTTAATATTGTCCCGCGGTTTTTTTTTACCGGGAGCAATAAAACTGTCAGAAATTTGCAACTATTTTCGACAAATTTGGAAAAACTGCCTGTCTATTTTGTCAAAATCCGCATTTCTTATGAACTATGGGTAGAGACTATCCCAGTAGTTTGTACGGCGGTTTTGAACGCGGGATAAAATTTTATTTTTAATTTTTTAAATTTTGCAATTTGGTAAAGCTACATCTTTTCTATTTAGGCTCCCTTTATTTGACTATAAAATATATTCTGTATTCTTTGTGTTTGATTATTGTAAAATATTTACGAAGAAAAAATATATTAAAACGTAACAAAAATAATTTATTTATCAATTTTCAGTAAACTATTTTACACGCTTTACTACTCACCAAAAAAATAAAAATAAAAAAATATTTTACCTGAAAAAAAAATTATTTTCAAGAAAATTATTTTACGTCGTGCCTTATTGTTCAATTTTTTAGAGGCTTGGATTGTGTCTTATTATAATAATTAACTTTACTAATTTAGTTGGGTTTCCAACTAAAATAAATTTTGAAAAAAAAAAAAATACTAAAATAAATAAAATACTAATTCACTTGCTACTTGGATTTCTTCTATATATCTAATTCTTTCCTTAATATTATCAATTATTAATTAAATAATATTATTATAATAATTAACTTAAGAGTATGACCTACCTAATTCACGCCTCCTCTTCCTCTTGTCGTCTTCTTATTTGAGTAATTTTGTCTATAAAATTCTTAAGAGTCGTTAAATGGTTTAGGATTTTATTAGTAATTGATATATATATTTTGGAATGAGTTTGTTTTTATATATTTATTAATATAAATAATATTATATAAAATTAAATATAAGAATAATTTTGCATATAAAATTCTTAGGAGTAGTTGATATAGTTTAGGATTTATATACTTTGAAGTTAAAAAATTAATTTATAACTTTGTTTTGAAGAGTTTCAAGGACTTTTAGTACATTATTTTATTTTTTTATTTGATTCTTTGTTTATACATTAGTTATTAATCGAGTTTCAGATTATTTTTTATTTTTATAATCCATTTTTTTATTCATACATTATTTATTTATCGAGATTCAGATTATTTTTTATTTATTTATACGTTATTTATCTATTGAGTTTCAAATTATTTTTCTTATTTTATAGTCTTAATAATTCTATACACAAAATTATTCTTTTTTTATTATTCTTTATAATTTTTTACTTTAAGATGATACAAATATTTTCACTCACGTATTGCACATGCGTTTTATTAGTACATATATAAATAATATTATTTTTGTTCTTTTATTTATTTTTTATTTTACTTATTACTTTTATTACTTTGATAATAAATTCATATGAAACCTGAAAGTATCACGGGATTACATCCTTGAACCTTGATCACAAAGAAAATTTTATAGTAGTTCCATTTACAATCTTGTTTTTCTTCTTTACTTATTGATTTGTTTAAGTCTTTAAGATATAAAAATTATATTTTAGTGGAATTGCACTTGTAAAGTGCGAGAAATGGTTTTCTGATCCATTTTAGAAGCCAGGAGACTTGGTTTCCTAGTTAGTTTTGGAAGTTAGAAGACTAAAAAAATATGCTAAAGATTTGAGTAAAAAGTTGTGTCTCCTATTTTATAGTTGAAGACTAATATTTGTAGTAAGTTATAAAACTTTTGTCCAACAAGAAATTGATTTTTTTTAATACTCTATAAATTAATAGAGATGTGTCTAAGTAGAGAGAGAAATTATTGTAGAAAGAAAAAGTGAGTTTAATTTGCGAAAAGAGAAAGCGTGTAATTAAATTTTTTGAAATAAATATATGTTATATTTATCAATTGTGTACGTAAAATCTGAACATATGTATTCATAACTAATGCTATGATGTCAAGACCCATATTTTTTTAGTTAAAGAAGTCAAGACCCATATTGTTTGAAAAACTTCTTATTTTTTTCAATTGGTGCAAATAAGGACAAATCATATTTTTGATAATAAAATTCCTAAATTAACCTTACTTTATTATTAACAAAAAAGAAAAAGAAAAAGAAGAAGCAAAAGGCCAAATGTCAAAAATAACCTTAAAGTCATATTTTTCTTCTTCGCTTGCCATAATTCTCTCTCTTCCATATATCTCTCTTCAATCTCAATTTTCAGGTCTCACAATCTTCTTTGTATATGTATTTCACGCACTCACCAACCTTATCTTTTATTTCATAATAGTAAATAAACTATTTATAAAAGATTGAGACAACATTGCTTGCATCGCATGTAAATGGAAAAATTTGCAAATAAAAACTAAACAAGTCAACACAAATGAAAATACTCATAGAATTGATCCAAACTTCCTAATATTGATGTGACATGGCCTCATCTAAATACAATAAGTAATTTTCTATCTAATTTTTCCTCAATTTTTTATATATTCCTTCTTCTTCTTCTTTTATGATTTCTATTTATTTATATTGAAAATTTGTAATTGATTCTTAATTTTTTTCTCATGATCTTCTTGAGAAGATTGAAATTGGATTGCTGATTTTTTGGAACGGGTCAAGCAACATCTTCCCAAGTTGTACTCTCTGACTCTCTACTGATTCCGAGTGCATTATTTTAGAAAGAGATAGCATAGAGAAATTTTAGAGAGAAAAATAAAATTTAGAGAGAGATATTATTATATTTTCTTATAGTACGAGAATAGATAGAAGTTATAGAATTAGAAAATAATATTTGCAAGAACGATCATGTTTCTATATATATATTGAAATAAATAATATTAAAAAAAACAAAATTAAAAATTAAAAATGATGTAGAGTTGCTAGAAACTCATGGACAAACCAAATAAAATATAGTATCATAACAAAAAATATAAAAAATAAAAATGATGTCTTCTTGGAAACAAACTGGCAAACGGCAACATAAACATATTTTAGAGAGAAAAATAATATTAGAGAGAAAGATTTTCTTGGATAGGTCTTTAAGTACATTCAAACAAATCTATTCACTTTTAAAATATATACAAAATTAGTAGGAGCGTTCTTGTTAGAAAAAAAAAAAAAGTACTTTTGGAGTTTAAGATAAAAAAAATTACATCACCAATGGCTATTTTTCATCATATTTATTCAATTTGATCAAAAAGATGAATAATATAGAAGTTAAATACTTTTTTTTTTTTTTTTTTTGGCACTTAGGCCCATAAAATAATACTGTAATAAAAAAAGCCCAGTGATATATCTTTGACTTTTTGACCAACGGGGAAAGTAATTTAGCAAGATGACAACATAATTAGGTCTTCAATTCATTCTCGTCTCTTATCTGTTCCAAGTCACTCTAGCGTAAAGACCAAAGGCTAGAGCTCAGTTCAGCACGCTGGGTCTGAATCGTCTGATCCTCCTTCTCGCTTCAACTCCATTTGCTTTTTCATTTAATGCTTAGCCACATTTTAATTAAAAAATGGGAATTATTGTGTATAATTATCATTCACTGCTCTCAAATTCATTTATTACTAAAAGACCCCCTTCATCAGATTTTTCTCTTCACCAGGTCTGCTCCTTCATTCCTCCACGCACTCAGATCATCATAAGAACATTGAAGATGGCCCAGCAAAGTTCTACACAAAACCCAAGTAAGAAAATTCCTTTTTATATCTGTGTGTGTGTTGATTTCCTTTTCTTTAAGAATTTTCTTATATTTTCTGTATATGGATGGATCAAATAACAATGGGAATAACTAATACTAACTAACTTTAGTATGCATAATATGTGATTGCAAATACATGACTTTTGATGTTCTAAATGCTTCGACACAAGCTTTTATTAGTTGAAGGAGCTAACCTGGGTATGCTAATGGCACTTCAATGCTTGTAATATGATAAATAATTCTAGTGGTAAAAACTTGGAGCGTTAAACATGAATTATACAGGATGACACTGGGTAGTTACCTTTGTTCGACGTATTGAAAATAAATGGCATTGGGTGGACAGATTCATGGGGTTTAACTTGTTGCTAGAAGTTGAACATTTTATCTTCTCAAATTCGATTTATAGATATTTTTACCATTCACTTTTTTTTATTAAGGGTGGGTTGAAATGGTGAAGAAGGAAGAATGTATTCAAAAGAATGCATCCTTGTGGTTCTACTTGGGAGCCTCAGATATGATTTGTTATTTAGAGGTGTTAGAAAAAAGTTTTTGTGGAACAATTATTTCATAATTCAGTATTGCCTCACCCGGAAAATAAATCTCATAGTAAACTTTCAAATGTATAAATTTATAAGGGTTGTCATCCTTTTCTTCTTCCACGGTCTTCCAAAAGTTTCTATTATGTTATTTTGATGTGCTTCTCTACTCGGTTCCAATTAAATGTTGATTGATTTGTACGGCAGGTCATCTCTATGTACATTTTAAACAATGTGTACGTCCATGATATTAACACATCAAATATCTCAGGACTAGAGAACATCAAAGTCCTTTATTATTGGAAAAGTTCTCTTGAAATATTGTTGAATCCTTGGAACCTAATAGAAACAAGTTAAATAACTACTAACAAGAAATATGAAATGTAAGATATTTTAGTTTATAAAGTTGGAACTCTAAATGTGATATTTGTAAGTGGAACTTGGATGAAGAAATTTTAGTTATGAAAAATGGTATGCAGTAAGTCGAGTCAGTGCATACAGTTATTACTAATTTTAAATTCTGATGCATTGGATGATGATTACTTGTGCTTACTTCTTAAAACCATTTAAGATATTTTATAGTGCTAATAAGTTGCAATGTTTCAGTAATACAGCAACAGAAAATCATAATTTCAAACAACAACAGTGAGAAACTTGTTGGTATATTGCATGAAACTGGATCTACAGAGATCGTAATCTTGTGCCATGGTTTTCGAGATTCAAAGGTCAGTAATCTGTGATACTTGAAGCTCTATTTTTCTTCTACAAAGTGCGTGGGGTGCATGGGTGGTGTTATGAAACTTATTAACTTAAAGCTTTATCCTTGTGCTTCAATTTGATTATGATCCATTTTCTCCATTATTAACTGTTAACTTTTCCATCTAGCATATCAATCCTAGTTACACTGTCAAATGCCAAAAATTATTTCTACCTCACTAGTCTAGCAAGGGTGAAATTCTATTTTAGAGAGCAAAATTTCTGTCAGATGTTGTAAATTGCAAAACTTCGGTGTATATGTTTCTGTTGCGTGCTTGAAGTGTAGCAATCATGTTTATGATGGAAAAAGAGAAGTGTGAAAATAAAAGGGGTAAACTATTTTTAGCTTTATTAACTTAGCATCCTTATTGGATTTTGGAAATGACTTGTGTGGGAAATGACAAACAATTGTGATTGTGCATTGACACCATTCTCAACATGTACTATGGATTAAATATAAAATGGGAACAATCACTTGTGAGGCAATTTTTTTCTTTAAGCTCAAACTAAAGGTTTAAGCCCTTAGTTTTGCTTATTGTGTTTGGATGAATTGGTACGACTTACGTCAAGTTCCACCGAGTACGATCAGGAATAATAATGGCTTTAAACAAAACGTAGCACAATAATGCTGAGCTCTTTTGACTTTTTTGTGCAGATTTTGTGCAACCAAATTTGAGTAATACTTTTTTTTTTTTTTTTTTGTTTTTTGAGAATTTAAAGTTGTACATCCCTCAATAGTTCACGTAAATTTTGAGGACTCATGTTTTGCTCGATTGTAGAAATGATCTCACCACTCGTGTTTCTATTCCAGGAGAACAACACTATGGTGAGCCTTGCTGTTGCTTTAGAAAATGAAGGAATCAGCGCCTTCCGTTTCGACTTTGCTGGAAATGGGTAAGCTTCTAGAATTGTAGGGTTGTAGAAACCATGACCTTTGTAATTACCACTCATTTGGTGGTGTTTCATCCTAGCTCTTAGCTTGGACATTGGCCTTCTTTTTGGCTGACTTGTAGATTCACTTCGTCTCTTCTTTTTTATATATTTTTAATTAGAATTAATTATGCTGATCAATAAAAGTAAAAAAGAAAGGACCACCTCTCTGGCGAAAAAGCATAGTATCATTTTTGTAATATATGGATCCAAATTACATATGTACACTTTATTCCTTACTATTCAATAATTATGTTGAACTTTTATTTTATTTCCCTAAAATTTTGATTCACTCCAAGATAAATCTGTTCTAGCTTCTTTAGATACATAGATATTTCTTTACTTCAATGATCATGGTATACTTTTTGTTAATATCTTTTTTGAAGAAATATTGATTGTTGGTAGTGAGAGGTAAAAAAAATGCACACTTGTACAATTATCTACTCTCATTTAGAAGTGATTGAAGAATTCCTACTCGTGTCCATTATGTTAGCAAGACACACCCCAATAATTTCCTAGAAAAATATATAACAGTAATGTCACTAAACTTTTGTCACGTGGAGGTAGTGAGCTAGCAATATGCAGTGCTCCAGTGGTTGCATGAATTGTAAGCAGCAAAGTGTGATCAATCTGTGTGATGCTTATCAAAGTTGTGGGTCAATAGAGAGTCGAGATGTAATGCAACCTTAAAAAGAATTGAAATGTCTTGTTCTTTTCAATCTATGGAATAGAAGTAACAAAGGTAAACAAAATTGAAATGACTTGTTCTTTTCGCGGCAGAGTTGTGAATCAATAGAGCCGAGATATAATGTAACCTTACAAAGAGGAAATGAAAAAAGAATTGAAATGTCTTGTTCTTTTCAATGCATGGAAGAGAAGTAACAAAGGTACTCACAAGCACACACAAATGAAAGGTAAATTAAAAATAAAATGAAAATAATAAGAAAATTAGATAGGACCTTACTATTACATGGAGTTTTGTCAAATGTGGTGCATTTATCTCTTCCGGTTTCTTGGACATGCAGCCACTTCATTTTTAATGGAGTATTTGAGAGCTGACTTCCTTAATTTTCTGCTGTGCAACTTCCGATATGTATTTTTTCTTTTCTAATAGGAGAGTATTAACCCTGGAATCCTCTTGTTGCTGTTTGGTGATTACATTAGTTTGGGTTGTTGTTCCTTTCATCTTCCTATTCTGCAGTCTTCTTGGGAAGGGTCTTCTCCACTGGCACACCTTAGTCTTCAGTTAATGTTTATTAAATTATTTTCTATAAGAAAATAACAAAAAATACAAAAAATCTAGTCTACCAATTTCTTTCGAGAATTTCCATCATATTAGATAGAGATGTGTTGTCTGTAAATAAGCCAAAACCTTATAGAATGACATCGTCGTGTAAATAATTAACTAAGCTGTCAAGCAACCTAAAATTACATCTACCAAACATATTATAACATGGTTAGATTTTGTGCATTAGTAAAAGAAAATTCATTTCACCTTTTCTGACGCGACACTATTTGAACCTTGGCATATTATGATCCGGAAATGATTGATACTGTACCTTGCTTCATGTTGGAGTTCTTAAGGCAACTTTATGATGCTTATATGTACTTATATAAGTTTTCCATTCTGCATTAGTGGAGTCATATTGCTGAGCACAACTTCACATTTGACCTAAATTTATATTGATTAATATTGATTTTTAGGGAAAGTGAAGGTTCATTTCAGTTTGGTAACTATTGGAGAGAGGCTGAAGACTTGCATGCTGTAATTCAACACTTCAGTGGGGCAAACCGGCCAATTAGTGCAATTCTTGGACATAGTAAAGGTGTGCCTTTTTATACTAGATATCCAATCTACAATTTTTCCCACTGAAATTGCTGGAGAAAAATGTGGTTTATGCTTAAAAATTTAAAACACGTGATTTCCAAGTTAGAACAATTGGTTCAGTCTGTTAGAAGATCAAGAATAACCAAATTCAAACAAGATAGAAGTAATAACTGATTAAGACTGTTAAGTTACTTGGCAGTCCCACTTGAACTGATGAATTCGAATTTAATAGAAGTCCTTCCTCCCCCTCCCCCCCCCCCCAATTTAGGTAGTATGCTGTTGGTTTTGTTGTTATTTGTTTATTTAACTTTAGACATGGGTGTTTTTGAAGCAAACAGAAAAAAGAAAGAAGTCTTCTTACAACAGTAAGAAAGACCAGAAATACTCCAATCACCGTTGAGCCTAGATTTCTATAGGGGAATCTAGGGGACAGCCTTAGAGAAGTATAAACTCTGATAATATCTCAAAATTATGTTGATAAAAACTTGATTATAGCAGATATAGAGGTCTGTCCTTTTTATAAGAATTCCCACACAACATTAATAAGACTTTACCACTGTCCTAAGTATACTTAGTAATTCCAAAGCTTGGTAAAACAAGAAGGACTCTTTGACTTTTCTTCAAGGCACTTACCAAGGCACCATTGACTGCCTCAATCCTGACTAAAGTACCCTTAATGATTTGCATCAGTTTTCCAAATATAAAACTTCCCAAGACGTGTAATATAGTGGTGGGCCATGTGTCTAATTTTGGGTCTTTTGTATGTTCTTGTATGTATATATATATATTAAGTGGCCTCAAGTAGTCATAAGATCAACTGTGCTAGTTGAAATTTCCAAGTTCTCCATACTTTTTAAATTTGGAGTACTAGTCTTGTTAAAATTCAGAATACTTGGGAGCCTACTTATCTCTAACCATTTAGAACAGAATTTGAGAAATTATGCTGTGTGGGAGTTGTCTGATATAAACCCTAGGTGTATGATGCTTATGGGGATTCTAGGAGTAATAACTAAAACATTTCCTCCAGCTCTTTGCAGTTCGCCAAGCAGATTCCTCTGATTCAGTCGCGGTTGTTTTTTTTTTCGGGCCCAAAGGCTTATTTCATAACCCAAGCCTTTCTTTATTCTATAAGCCCTTTATATAAAAAAAAATATGCTGTCCATGTCGTAAATCTTCTCTAGAAATCCAGAAATGTATCATCTTAAAAACCTAGGCAAGACCATTGTTTTGCTATGCACACAACCTACAGCCAGTCTTCCACTGTTTTAGATATATAGCCCACACACTTTCCATAGCTTACACCACCATATGGTCAATTGTAGGTAGCATTATTGAGTTTTTGAAGTATTGTCCTAGAACAACAATATAAAGCTGTATACAGCCTTCAATAACATTCCGCTCCATTTGATACATTCTGGGTCAGCCCTGAGTTGTATATAGGGCATACCTTTTTCCTTTATCTTCATTTAAATAAAATCCATGTCCTAGTTTTGTGGTAGAATTCACATAGATTCCAACTATTGCACCCCAAACAAGAGTTGGATTTCAGGCCTCAATCCAACCAAGTCTGCTCACGATTCTTAAAATGAAACACAACTCTATTGAATTGTAAATACTCCACACATGGTTGTCTTATTTTTGAGGACTAGGATGACAACTACATTTTAAAGATGAACTGGGTCTGCATTACATAACCATCAAAGGATGGGGGATGCTTTCTTTTCATATGAAACCAGTGTGATAAGAAGTAAAAACTCCATACATCACGTGTAGTTTTTAGTTTTAGCTCGGTAATTTTTCAATTTTGTTTCACAAGGGTCAGCTGTGAAATCCATTTCGGTAACCATTTACTTGTCCACATTATATTTTCTCCGCAAAAATTTGTATCACTGAAAGCAATCCCTGCAGGAGGCAAATTTTTCAATTTTGTTTCACAAGGGTCAGCTGTGAAATCCATTTCGGTAACCATTTACTCGTCCACATTATTTTCTCTGCAAAAATTTGTATCACTGAAAGCAATCCCTGCAGGAGGCAATGTCGTGCTCCTATACGCATCTAAATATCATGATGTCCGCACGGTGGTCAATGTTTCTGGCCGTTATAATCTGAAGGAAGGCGTAGAAGATCGCTTGTTGTGTAAAGACTTCATTGAGAGAATCAAGAAGGATGGTTTTATTGATGTTAAAAATAGATCAGGTAACTTATAGATTCTTTTGTGGATATGTAATTTTAATTTTGGTTTTTAGTTTCTATTAGTTCATGTCCAATATATGCATGAATATTTTAATTAATTTTGTATGCCTCTAAATTCAAAATTAAAGAAGTCCAGTTAGTTTTGCTCTCTCTAGCATTATATGGATTTGATATGCTTTATTACCATGTTTTTACATGTTTACTCATAATTTAGCCCTATGCCTGCCATGAAACTTTGTATTTATATACATGTAATTTGATAGCGTTTCTTCAACCAATTTGTATTTCTTTCGATGAAGGCTGTAGGAGTATGTGACTTTCCTGTAAATGGTTATAAGTGTTATGGTGTGCCTTGACTAACAATATATATATATATATATATATATATATTTTCCCCCTAAATAAAATTGTATTAATGAAAGACTGAAAACAGTATACCCCCTAGTACAAAGGCAAAAGTGAAAGTATACCTCCACTGTACAAAGCAAAAGGAATAAAAAGTAAAAAAATATTATGAGTTGTGTTGATATTTGACGGTTGTATCATTAAAAATATAAATGCTCCCGACAATAAAAAAATATATATATTACAAAATCAATCAAATGCTCCCAACAAGATAGGAAAGTTCTCACATAATTGCAGGTTTTCTGATTTTCCCAAAATGATTTTTTATGCACTTATAAATATATAAATGACTGATGACAGAAATGCTCCTTTTGTAGGAGAAGTTGATTTTCGTGTGACTGAGGAAAGTTTGATGGATCGCTTAAACACAAATATGCATGAAGCGTGCCTCAAAATTGACAAGGGATGCAGGTCAGGACTCAGAACAAAGTCAATTCCATCTTATAGATTATAATTACGTACCATCATATGATCTCATGATAACCAACGGGCCAGTGGCCTAGCGGTATCAGCCTCTTACTTCCCAAAGGGAGGTCAGAGGTTCAAGTCTCAGAAGAGACGTGTGTGTGAGTACCAACTAGGAAAAAAAAAAAAAAAAAAAAAAAAAAAAAATTATCTGATGATATTTTAAAATATTATATGTTGGAACAATTCCAGAGAAAGAAAAGTATGTGCTTAATTATTTGTGTTTATTGCTAGCAATTTTCTCAGCAGACAGATTGAATGGAGTTTGTTATTGCCATCCTATCTTATAATTCCCAAGGGCATAATTTATGATCCATTTGGTAGGGGGGAGAGAGAATCTCTTCCAGTATCTATATATATGTATGTATATTATCAAACTTTATTCATCTTTTGCCTGTCACATTATACAACTTAAGATCAGAACATCCTAAAACTAAGTGGGAGTAACCAAAAATATATCCAATCTCATGGTTACATATAAAATCTCAAATTGCATCCCTAAAACCTCTAAAATTTTAAAAAATGAATATTTCAGCAATGTTAATTAAAACTCCTCATGTTACTAAAAAAACTTTAAATTGACAAATTCCCATGCAATATTCTTTTCTGATCTCATGTCAAATAGCACTAATCACAACTTCTAGGTCTTAATGTCTTTTCTCACTTCCTTTGACCAGTCAGCCCCTGTTCTTTTCACTATTCTTATGCTCAATTGGTAATGTATCGTTCTCAGTTCATTGGTCTCTATTGCATGGCTAAACCGTTTCAGCTTCTCTCATCGTGACAGAGCTTGGTATAATTCTTACTTTGGAATCTTCTTTAATCCTATCATCTCTTGACTTGCCTTGTATCAATCTCTAACACCCTCATGTCTGTAATGTGCAATTATGGCAAACTTTTTTTTTTTCATTATCAGTTTTTTTTACTGCCATAATAACAATGCCATGTGATTTTTTTCCATCAAAGAAGACTCATTTTTGCTGTTGTAGAAAATAAAATTGCATTAGGTATCTTCACTGACCAAATCATGACATATTTTCATATACTGTGAAAAAACACGCTGGAAGGAAGCCATGGCGAGGAATGAGCTCTCAGACAAACTCAGTCCAACAACCTGTTGTTTCCTCATAAGCTCAGTGAAGTTAGCTATTGCAAATAATAATAACTCGTACAGCTGGATTTTAAACTATACCTTTTGATATATGTTTATATATGCATGCATATACATATGTATGTATTTGAAAAGTTACTCTCCCTGCTCGGTTGATTGTTCATTGCAGTGATTGTTTAGTTGTCGTCATAGTTCACATGACCTTTTTATTTATTTTATGGTTCGTGTTGAATATTGTACATACAGGGTTTTGACGGTCCATGGATCTGCTGATGAAGTTATCCCGGTCAAAGGTGCTTTGGAGTTCGCCAAAATCATACCTAACCACAAATTACACATGGTAGAAGGAGCAGATCATGGATATACTTCACATCAAACTGAATCAGCTTCTGTTGTTATCCCGTTCATCAAGGAAGGTCTGCAGCAAGGCAAGGATATTTCTCAGTACTCTTGTGTCCAGTGACCAACAGACCTACATATTTAGTAGGATTTCAAGAGATTTTAGATCTATATAGAAGTTCAACTTCTTTAACTTTCTCATGATACTAACTCAATTATATATATATATACAGGTTCTTAGTGGAAACGACACTGATTTTGTGAGAGATGTTTGAGCCAAACTGCATCTGGATCTTATTAAGCGGAAAACCCCTTCTTCCTCATCCCCATTGTTGGCTCCTGATAAACAGAATTAGGGTTTAAGCATCAATTGCTACTTGATACACGGCTGATTTGACCAATACTATGTTCTCTCTGACGCATAATGAATTTTGTGGGAGTAATTGGTTGTCTGTTATTCACCCCAACCCGTGTTTCCTTGCTACATTTGTTGTGGTTAAGCTTGAATTTCAGAATTGTTATTATGTATTTACATTTTCTTTTTCTACCCTCCATAGAATCTTCAACCAATAAATCCAGGGATTAACCTCCAGAATGACAGGTCTTTGATTCTTTAATCTGGTCCCCATAAAAGTGGCTTAGGTGCAGAAATAATGTTGTAGCCGTGACTTTGAATCCAAGCTGAATTTGGCCAAACCTTAAAACCTTGTTTCCAGTATCACCATATTGCTTCCTCATTAGACATTATTTCTTTTTTGGTTCCACAGAAGAGCATCTGGTAACAATTCTCCTCATTTAGGAACGATATTTGTGCCTAGTTACAGATCCAACTGCTATAGCAGTACGGCTACAAAGTACACGAGGTTAACAAGTTCTAAGCAGTACAGCAAGGCTCCTGCTTCCGATGAGGATAGAAGAGAAAACCTCAAAATCCAGTGTTACAAATAGGGACCTTGAAAGTTAACTATTCAACTGCAGAACCCTACTTGAATGCCACTGAATATTTACACTAAAAAGAAACAATAATAAATGTATATGAATACAAAATCAAATCATCGAGCAGAGAACTATATATCATATCAGGAATTGTATGTGCTTCAAGTAGCCTTGAGACATATTCAATAACTCATAATAACAGTGGCATAACACAACAATTATTGATGAATTCAGTGGTGGATCACTTCCTATTTACAAAAATGGTTAGATGCATGCAAGAAGCTAAGAAATTTTCAATTCTTACGAGTGCCAATAGTAATGGGAGAGACCCCTGTGCATGCCACTTACAATAAGCAACATCATTCCTCCATTTTACACATTAGGTTAAAAATGGCATGTTTAAGCATGAATCTGCTATTCATATCTTGTTCTTGTAGTGAAGATCTCTCAACAAAGTTGTTAAACTTCCTTCACACGTCTGCAGTGCTTAATCTTCTAAGCTCCAGTCACTGGCAATTCCTAAATGGTTCTCTTTTACGCATGAGCTCTTTGTTTTAAATATTGCCATCCTCGTGCTCACTGTCATATATACCAAGGAACGACTCTTCACCATCATCCTGGTTAAGAAACAGAATTTCAGTTAGGAAATAAAAATCAAGCTGATAGACCTGTGTTTGGTCCACAAGTCAACATGTGTGAATTGGATTATCGATGGGTAAGCAAAGCTTGTAAGTGTGACAAAACTTCAAGTGTTAAAAACTTTTGGCAAATGCAAGATGAGTCAACTGTGGAAAGAAGCATCATAGTTCAAATGATTGGCATAGGGTAAGAGGCCATTCTACTGTGAGATTTTTTTAACTAAGTAGCATCTTCCATAAATGCTGCCAAAACCTACTGTGATCAATTCCCAAATGTCATACAGAATATTAGTTGCCTACTAACCTCTCCCATCTCATCATCAGACGAATATGCATTATCCATTCTCGAGTTAAAAGTCTCCTCATCAATCTCCTTGGCATTCTTCATTTTTTCCTGCAAATTTGATCGCATAGGTATAAAAGTTATGCAAGAAAATGTATTTAGTCTTTCACCAATTTGTCCCTAGATTTGCATATTATTTATGGAAGAAGAAATCATACTAGCTCAGTCTTCAGCTTCTCAAATCTTTCTTGTAAGTCCAAGATATGATGCTTTAATGCCTGAAATGTTTCGAGTTTCGACATGACATTAGTACAGATCAATAGTTTGTACAGAATCAGATGACAAATTCGAGTAAAATGCACAACAAAATAGAATATAATGTTACCTCGCGCCTCTGAAGTTCAACTGACCTAGCTAGTGCCTGCCTTTTAGTTAAGAGATTCTTGGGCCTCACTGCATCAGGACGTTGATAATTCTTCCCACGATAGACTATAATCACATAGCCTTTAGTAGTTTTATCTACAGATACTAAAATTCCACCACTCTCAGCCTCAAGAGAGATTGCAATTTGCTTGACTTGGGGGAAACTTTTTCTCTCCACAATTATCTTCACCAGCTCCCGATATTTCCAGTGTAAGTGCATATTTTCTATTGTCCCATCAAAAATTCCTCGCCTCCCTATAACAAAAGCCATATACATTCTTGACTGTTTCCTTGAAATCAATAACCAAAAAATCAAAGTGGCAATCCTTACCTAGAGGCAAAAAGGGTTTCATACTCAGGCCCATCTTACGAAATAAGAATCGCTCCTCGTCACTTATGGTTTCTAAATCAGTTGGGAGATCTGCTGGTTCCAGACACTCTTGTACTTTTTCTAAAGCCTTCTCAGCCCTTTTGAACTTGCCTTTAGCCTGCAATTAGCCAGAATGATAAATACATGGAAAGTGTTTATTCATGTCCCGGTATTTTTTTTAGGAGATTTCTAACTTACAAGAGCAAGCTTCATCTCTAGATATCTGACAAGTGAAGCATGTCTTGCCAAAGCTGAATCTCTCATCATCTTTTCTATATCTTCGCTGCTAGGTTGGTTCCCCCAGCGTGAGGTTGCTGCCATGGTCTCTGCAAGGGTTCCTGCAACCAATGGACCTTTAGCAGCTTTGGCATTTGAATATATCATTGATGCATTCTGTCGTGTTTGTTCTTCATCATCCTGTCGAAGGGCAGTTAATTTTTGCGCTTCTTCCAACGTCTCTGTAACTACTGGTGGCAAGAAGTCATTACCCCTGTAGAAGACAATATAATCCTTGTTCCTAGAGAGCAGGGTTCCCCCAGTCAATATCTGCATAAATGTGATGGAAATTGGTCATGAACAAGAAATTATTATGTCACCTAAAATTTTTAGAATCTAAGACTTTGAGGACTATTGGGATTAGTATAGCAACTACTACGAGGAGACTAGAAGGCATTCATTCTCTAAAATCTTTAAGGAATAAATTTCTCAACTGCCTTTAAATAATTTAGGCAGTAACTGTATTCAAGCACCGAAAGAGAGTCCAGCCGGAAGCAGTGGCACTTTATATGCAAATATGTCATTAATTGATATAGAACTAAGGAATAGGTTTCTATCACTTTTTTGTTTGTAAATCTGTAACTTCAGAACTAAATGCCATGTTAGTTTAATGGAGAATCAAGGATTCAACATATATTCACACCCATTGTAAAATCTATCCCATTGCAATCTTTACCGTATTATAGAAGCACCAACCTTAAAAAGTATAAAATTCGCAATTGGACAACATTAAAGGAGAGGATTAGCTGGTGTAATGTTGCATGCTTAACAACAATCCCAGTGCTGTGTCAATTAAGCATGTAACTTAGGACAAGATTTCAGTTCTCCGCATCAGACTGGGGGCTTGGTACAGACAGAATAGGATGACCATAGATTTACATTGTCATGTAGAACTTCAAAAAATATGAGAAAGAAAAATTAAGTGATTGACCTAGCTCTGAATTATACAAATAATTAAGAGATTTACATTTCCATGTTTCCCGACTTTCTACTTCAAAAAATATGAGAAAGAACAACCAGTAGCAGTTCTATCAATTTCAACTTCAAACAATCAAGTGTTTCACATTTCTCACCTTGAGTTCTTCTGCCATCCTCTCATTACAGGTATTCTGTACGCCGCGTTTGATGGCTATCTTGGCAATCGCACTTCTTTCCCATAGCTTCACCATAGCCATAGCCAGACCTTGCAGTTCTCTGTTTCTTCCTGTGGCAATAAATTGAAAAATGAAGTCCATTAGAAACATGATGATGAGTCTGAAAGCCAACACAAAAATACCATTAGGCACATACCCAATGCAAAATGTGGAGGCATTGTTCTAGCAGTCCTACGGAAATATGTCATCTCCTTGTCTCGTAAACCCTGTCTTATCCTATAAGGAAGAAGTCTGAATGGAGTTTTATATCCAGGAACCACAGCAGGAAGCAAGTCTGCATCAACAGGCGGAGGATCGCGGCCTGACCAATCTTTAAATCTTGGACCCAGCTCATCTAAAAGATAGTTGAGCTCACTTAAGTCCATGAGTTCTTTTTCAGATAAATCCTTCAAAGACCTTACTGAACCAGTGGTCATTGATTCTGTAGTCCTAACTGAGCCTTTGAATTCAACTCTTTGGGTGACTTCATGCACAAATTCTCTTGAAGAGTGTGAATTATTCAAGTCAACTAGATTTTGTTCCGTATATGACTGAACACAATCAAGCTTGTAGGTCATTCCCCTGTATAACACTACTGAACTGCCTGATCTCCATATTACCAAACCTCCAGTCCTACTCTGATTGAGAACAACGTATAATATATACAAGGGTTAGTAAACTTAATTCTGAAAATTCACGAGGGACAGATTGCGAAATGAAAATATCAATATGCATAATGAGTAATAACAAACAAGAAAAGTCATAAATTGCAGAAAATGGCAATAGCTATTTGCTAATCACTGATCAATCATACTCAACAATCTTGGTTCAGTTTCAACAAATAAGTCACATGACAATTCATAATCATTGATATGGAAATAATGCAAGTACACTGACCTCTAAAATCTCATGGGTTCTTCTCATGTTCATTGCAGGAGGCCCTTCAAATTTCAATTTCACCACCTCATCCACCTTCCACTTCTCATGTATAGAGTCCACCAATTCCTGTGTAATACCCGCCGCACCAACTTTTATTCTCTCTACCATTCTCAAAGCGACATTTCTAAGCCTTTTCAATTCATTTTCAGGAATTAACTCCTCTGCCAACTTGGTGCTGCTATTCCTCAACCTTTCTCCTTCCACGGATTTCATATCACTCTCTGTCTTCCATGGCAGCCACGTTGAGTCCCTGTCATCACTACCCTCAAAACTATGGAATTCTCCATCAACCTTCGATGATTTTCCATCAAACAAAACGCCATTATCGGCCCCAACAAGCGCAGCCTCCTCCTCCTCCTCCTGTAACCCAACTGGGTTTGAATTAACTTGAACTCTTTCTTTACATTCGCCATTATAATTAGCTCCTCTTTCTAAATTCTTGGATTCCTGACCTACATTATGATACTTGTTTTTGGAATTTCTGCCAAATTCATTAATAATTTCGCCCTTTTCCCAAACATCTTGTGGATTTCTAGTTTCAAAATCAAACTGGGTTTTTTTGGGATTGCTTCCATGAATCCAAGGAGGTGAAATTATGCGAATTGAGGAACCGAAACTCACCGGGTCACTAACGGGAGATTTCTTCTCAGCTTCCAACTCAGACCCAGAAAACTGCAGGCTCTGTTCTTGCACTTCTTTAATTGGCTCTCTCTGTTCCTGTTCTTGCCATGGAAGTTTCTCTCTCAAAGAAGTGGGTTTGACAGACCACTTATCGCGAATTTCTTCGAAAAAGCTTGGTTTGGGCTTTCTCTTCTTCTTTGTAGGGTTGAATTGTCGTGTATCAAGTTGGGCGTTGTGATGAGAACAAGAAGGTCTGAATTTGAGAGCTATAAAACTGATCGAAGATTGGGTTTGTGAGTGATGAGAGAGAAAGTAGAGAGATGGTGAAGAAGAGCAGGTTGAAGAGGGAGAGTATAAATTGAGTGGAAATGGTGTGAGAACCATACTGCCGATACTGGATTGGTGGTGATGTTAATTAAATACATGGTTTTATATCTATAGCAGACGACAAGATAATGATCCACAATGGTTTTTTTGGTTCAAATAGTGTCCATTTAATAGGCCCAAATTAACAGGTCAGGCCCAACATTCGAATTAAAATGGCTTTTAAGAGCTCTAAATAATAAATTGATCGATTCTAAAAGTTGATTTTTTATATGAATTGAATTAAGTAAAATAATTACTAGTGTATCAATATCTATTGCTCAAGTTCAAAATGTCTTCACACTCTTATTCCAAAATACCAAAATATCCTCCTTAAAATTATAGTAGTAATTTTAATATAAAATAAATAATTAAAAATTGGGCAAATTGTAAAAAATCCCCTTAGACTATTAGCCAGTTGCGAAAATCACCCCCTTATGAATATTTCTGTCCGTTTAAGTGATTGTTTGAGGGAATTTTTCAGACGAAATTACCCCTTAACAGATCATTCTTTAAGACAATTCATTTATTTAATATTTTTCTTTTCTCTCTCTCCGTCAAGCAAGTGTCTGAAGCAACAACAAAAATTTTCCAAAAATAAAAATAAATATGGAAAGTCAATAAAATCATATTTAAGCTATGTATAATTAATAAAATAAAATTGAGTACAATGGCCAAGAGAGAAAATCCACCATGGCGTTGGAATAGAAGATGGAAAATTAAGCAGAAACTCCTTCATTGCACTTGATCTTTAGCATAACAGTTAATTATTTTAAGAAAAATAATTAAAAATTTACCATGTTTCCTTAGTCCAATTTCTTTTTTTTTTTTCCTTAATTGAATTATGCTACTACAAGGTAAGTGGACTAAAATTGACAATTAAAAAGCAACATAATTTTTTTTTTCAAATTTGATTTTTTTTAAAAAAAATTTCCTTACTTCAAGATCAAATGCAAAATACCCCAAAGTATCTTTTTTAGAATAAATTGTTGTACTTGATATAATCAAGTTAAAGACCTAAAAATATGACGCTTTTAATGTGAAAGGATATCATTGCCTTCTATTCAATTAACATGAATCAAAATATAAAGGACATTTAAGTCATTTAGTTTAAGAGTAATGCATTTATCATCTCATTATATATTGCTTTGATTCCACCACCTACTAATCGAAAATTGTTTTGATTCCACCACCACTCGAAAATTACATACCATGTAGACGAAGTATAAGGGGTAATTTTTGAAAAGTTTACTCTTTAAGTTATTTTAAAAAAAATTCTTATCATTAAGATGGTAAGAATAAAAAGGAAACATAACATTTTTACATGCAAATGATTCGTTCAATTACATGGATGAAATCATGACCTCCAAAAAACAAAACAAAAACAAAAAAAGAAGAAGAAGAAGAAGAAGTAAATAAACAAAAATAAGTCATAGATTAAATAAATATAGCTGAGTATTCTTGGTGCCTCAATTATTATTTACATGTGTTATATCATGTTGTCCAAACAGTGTTGAAAGATGAATTTTGAACAATTGGGTTTCTCAATCTACTGTTAGCTTTGTGTTTAAATGAATAAGAAGGTTTGCCTGACACCGAAAAATGAGAGGAAAAAAAATAAATAAATTGTCTTAAGAATAATTTGTTAAGGGGTAATTTTGTCAAAAAAATCCCTTCAAAAAACCATTTAAACAGACATTAATTAAAGAGTAATGATAGGAGAAATCCAAAAGGAATTCCGAATTTGACGTGATTGGCTATACTTATCGCTTATTAAACAATTATTTTTGAAAATTGTTTAAGTAGATGAGGTATACAAAAACATGTCAGATTCAATACTTATTCGGAAAAATTATTGAGTAACCTTATCATTTTCCTTAATTAAAAATATCCCTTGAGATAGTTGAGTTAAAAGAAAGGTTTTTCATAACTGAGCAATAGTAAAGAAGTTTTTTTTGTAATTCAGCCTTAAAAATTAGTTTGACTAACAAATAAAGTCTCATATAGTTTGAGCCCGGTGAAAAACTCAAATGTTAAGTTTGGAAGTACCAAATGAGCATCCCGAATTTCAAATTGATGGATTTAGTGTTTTTATTATTTGGTGAAGGAGTGTACCCTCGTCTTAAAGAGACAGGACAATTGAATTCATCTTCTACACACGTATTATACACACACACACAAGTAAAACACACTTGCGATGTATGTGAACGGAAATGTGCGTATAACTATATGATAAAAAAAAATTATAAATGATCAAAAAATATACTCGTGTATATATATATATATATATATATATATATATATATATATATATATATAAAGAATAATTTTGCTTAATTATTTATTTTAGATATATATATAATATTATAGAAACATATTATTTATTGAAATAAATAATATTATAAAATTTTAAAATAAATTATAAAAAATTAAATATAAAAATAATTTTGTATATAGAATTCTTAGTTTAGGATTTTATTTGCATATTTTGATATAGAATTGTATTAATGCATTTATTGAAATAAATAATATATTTTCTCTTTAATTAGATTTTCTTTTATTGAATTTCAATATTTCCTACTACTAATTATAATTATTAGCATTTCACTTCTAATTAGATTTTCTTTATTGAATTAAATAAATATATTTTTAATATTATATATTTTCTTTTCTAATTACATTTTATTTTATTGAATTTCAGTTATTTAGTTTTAAAATACTATATATTTCCTTCTCTAATTAGATTCCTACTACTATATTATTATTGTTACTATTAGTATTTTATACTACTATATTATTATATAAGTTTTTTTATATTATATATTTTCTCTTCTAATTAGATTTTTATTTATTGAATTTCAGTTTTTCCTATTACTATATTATTATTATTAGTATTTCATTCTCTAATTAGATTTTTGTTAGTGAATTAAATAAATAAGTTTTTTAATATTATATATTTCTTTCTAAGAATAAATTTATTTTTATGAAGCTTCAGTAGTTTAATTTTTTAATATTATATATTTTATTCTCTAAATTAGATATATATATATATATATATATATATATATTTCCTTCTATAATTGGATTTTCTTTTATTGAATTTCATTATTTCAAATTTTTTTATATTATATATTTTTTCTTTTCTAATTAAATTTTCTATTACTATATTATAATATTTTTTTTTTAATTAAATTTTTAATATTGAATTTTAGTATTTCTTATTATATTATTATTAATATTTGTTAATAGTATCTTTGAACCTATAATTAAGGTATAGACAGTAGTGTTCAATTGCTCCCTGAGAGTAAGAAATTATATACTCATTTTTTATTGTAGCCTTAGTATCTAATCATACGGCAATTACTCAATTGACTTTTATTTTCTTCATTTTAAGAAACTTACATTTTCTTTCCATATTCTTTCTATACCATTAAATAGAAATAAAATAATCCAGTAAAAAAACACTTCCCCATTACTACCAATTATTTATTAAACAAATTTGCAAACAACAACATAAACCAAAAAAGATAAATAAAATAGCCATGAAATAAAGATTGTTTGAGAAGTTTTGATTATAATCAAAACTCAAATTTTCATATTGATCCATGTTTTATAATCAACTTAATAAAATATTTTGAATTTATTCAGCAACTAATTTAGAATTAAGAGACTACTATTGGCTTCATAAATTTTTTAAAAAAATCATGCAAAACAACTCTTAATATATTATTATATATATATTTAAATGTTCTCAGTGTTTTTTTATTTTTTCTGTTTTTTGGTAAATTAATTGTTCAAAGTATTGATCGGTAAAAGCATGCCAAAATATGTATAATATCATTACAAATCCTAAGTTTTTTCATAATTTATCAATAGAATTGATAAAGTATGGAAAAAAACTAAAAATGATGACTTTTAATTTTAAATTGATTTTACTTCGTCTTAGTGGCTGCTTTCGAATTTGACAAAAAGTAGTCAAATTATTTTATTTTTGTTTCCATTAATAATGTAAGTTTCTTAAAATGAAGAAAATAAAAGTCAATTAAGTAATTGTCGTAAGATTAGATCCTAAGACTATAATTAAAAGTGAGTATATAATTTTTCACTATAGAGAGCAATTAAACACTAATGTAAATATAGATATAGATAGACACATATATAATTATATATAAATAAATCAGCAACTATTAAAATATTCCGTAGCTTTACTTGATTTGATGGTAAAACATAGTATCCAGTGAAAATGAGTGGTATACAAGTAACGACAAAACAGCCACCTAATATAAATAACGACAAAACGTTAATTATCTTGACAGAGATTAAAGTGACATGTTTTGAAATTAATTAGAATGTTATTTAGACTCTTCATGAAATAAAAATGTTTAATCATTACTCATATTGCTTTGTCTAATTGGGGGATGGAAAAAACCAAAAAAAAGACAGAAGGCCTTGTGCACGGTGGTGTTTTGTCTCAGCTACCTCCCAAAATAAATGATAACAAAGTTACTTACCCTGCTTTAAAAAAACAAAAAAACAAAATAAATCAAAAAATTTATTCTTTTTTTTGTCTAACCAAACATAAAAAAATCATTTCATTTTTACCCCTCCTCTCACCCATTTCTCCTTAATCTTTCCATCCAACCAAACCCAACATGATATAAAGCCACATGTTAAAGAATCCGAAAAGAAAAAATATACATATTATTCATTCACTAGTTTGCATAGTCATGAAATTATATAAAACCACATTTTATCATATTTATTTATGATTAAACATGGCGTATAGTAACGGCATATATCCTATGACTTTTTTTATTTATTTTTTATTTTTTTATGGTTTGGCACGTAGAACAATGGCGGATTCATGTTTGGACCATTATGGTTTGCAATTACGATCACAATGTAACGAATTTGGATTAATATCGGTGTAAATTGACTGATTCATGAAGATGTATAATGGTATCGAACCTTAAAACTAATACGACGAACCATGGTTTGGACCCACTAAAATTTTCAGTTATTTATATTTTTTATGTACAAATTTTGATAATTCTTAAAGTGTCCCCACTGAATTTTTATAAAATTCAAAAAAGATCCTGAATACTCTCAAAATAAAATAAAATAAAAAATCACTACTTTCTAACTCATTTGTCCAGCAAAAAAAAAAAAAAATTAAAAATTAAAAAATAAAACAATGTTTTTTTCTCCTCCAATGAATCCCAAAAAAAATATTCAAGAATTAAAATTCAAAAAATCCCCTCCTTACTATTAATTTTTTTGAGCAAATTACACTAATTATCCTTGAGGTGTTGGCAAATTACACACGAATAGACCGTTGAGTGTTTATTATTTTGACCTCCCATTAGATTTGGCACATGTGCTCAACGACACCTCTACCGTTTTCTTTGAGCCAAACTTGTTAACCAAATTTTATAAAAGGGTATTACATACACTCAAAGTAACCTTCTAGCACTCAAGCAAACGAGTTTAGAGGAGGTTAATGTAATAAACGCCGAACAGTTTACCGTGTGTAATTTATCCAAACATCAGGAGAGATCAGTGTAATTTACCCTTATTTTTTCCTAGTTTAATTTGCCCTTATTTTATTTAATTCAAAATTTCTTTTCACACTATTGTTAAATAGTCGTCAGACTCAATGTGAGGCTCTATGGGCGAGAGCAGGCCTGTGAGAGATAAGACTCTAGTGCAAATACGTGAAAGAGACAAATGTTATATGTAGTTTCAACATCTATGACAGAATGTATTGCAAAACCGTAATGACTGTAAACCTATCGAAACTCCGGATTTATGCCGCGTCAAAAATATTTTCACACACACAAATGTAATTAGTCCAACCTCTCACTCTCTCCTTTATAAACCAAAGAGAGGTTATACTTTTTCCTTCTGCAAATGCCTTATTTTGGACTATGGTTTGTAACACCTTAGAATGGCATCTGACTACTCTTGCACAACAAAAATGGTGGTATCACCATATATATATATATATATATATATATATATATATATATATATATATCTAGCAGCACCATCCATCACGATGAAACCACATCTTATCACATGAAAAGCCACAGTGTACTCACGTTTTTTTATAAGGGCCAAAACAAAACTAAACGTACCACATCACCACCCATCACCTTGAAACCACATCATATAGCACATGAAAAGCCACAGTGTACTCACGTTTATTATCATGGATTTATTCTAAACTCAAGTTAATCACCTTTAATTACTATCAACAATATATTAGCACACTAAACTTGTGACTCCATTTATAAACCATCAAAAACATATATACAACTATACACACATACATATATACATATATATGTATGTATGTATTTATTATTTTTGTGGCTACAAATAGTACTAATTACAAGTAACTAATTAAGCGACAGCTAGCAAAGAACTTACATAAGAAAACCCATAAAGCTTGTAACTTTTGGTCTCCATTTCACATACAGAAATCACCCAAAGTCAACAAACTACACATAACTTTTAAGTACATATATGCTAAACTAATAGTACTTTTAAACCTAATCAAGCCACTTAAATCCCAGACCAAACATATCTAACTCGCCCTTAAACAAGACTAATTAAAAATTCGTTGTCCTGGAGACAGTATCATTTTTGGATCAAACTGAGCTTTCCTTTTCTGAAAAATGTCCCATTTTTTCGAGCCAAAATGATTCATCCACTCCTCTTTGGTTCTGTAATGAGTAAGATATTGCTTAGCCTTGATGTCACCCTTATCACAAAACTCCAATATTTCTTTGTTTTGATTCTCCAAAACTTCCCAATCATTACTATCATCACTTGATGAATACAGTAATCCAATGCAGTAAATAATATCTTCCTCTGGTATAACAGCAGACATCCTATCATCCCACCTGCAATTAACATAATATATATATAGATATATATATAGCAATTAAATCTGATTATTTGATTTAACTTTATTAAAACTTGGTAGATTATAAGATTTTAGAGTAATTACTTGTTTCGATGCATCGGGTACACAAGGACTGGTCCTGTGGTCTTATTACTTTGTTTACTGATCATATTGATGAAAACACCTTCATTGAATTCCATAATACGAGATTTTGGTACGAAGAGATTTAGCCATGGATGAGGAACATCCCACAGTCCTTTTGCTTGAAGCTTTAGCTCTCCACTTCGAACTCTATTGAGAAACTCTACCAACGTGACATCTTTCTTGAAGATGAAACCAGGAAGGAAGTTCAACCCTTTGAGCAACACTTGGAGTTCCTATATATATAGAAACAAAATTAATTAATTATCCTCACACACACACACACACACATATATATATATATTGTCACACATACATATACACAAATATTCACTTACCCTCTAGCTTACTGAAAAATATATGCACGACTCAAGTATTAACCATCATATCCCATTAGATAGTTGAAAAGGAAGTTTATGTTTTTATATCTACGCCAGTGGGTAGATGAACAGTTTTATATATATATATATATATATATATATATATATATATATATATATTAGCATGTGATGATGAGAATGGTAAGATGTGATGATGATAATGAGATTACCCCATCTAGAGTATCGGCAGTGAGATCATCATAATACTTGACTACTTCTAAGGTGTAGACTATGCCGTGTTTGGCCAATAGAGAAGCGATTTTGGATTGATCGGATGATGAGAAAAATGAGGACCTCCAGTTATTTGGAGGGCTTTGCTGCAAAATTAGAGAACCTTCGACATAATCGAGTCCATTGACAGAAATCAGGTGTTCTTGGTCTCTAGTGAAGACAGAGAAATCATGGTACAGCATTCTGACCCACCTCACCTACAATACAGAAGGTCAATAATAGGTAGATGAGGACATATTAATTAGATGTCGTTCAAAGGATAGAAGAACACAAAGTTCGAAATATGAAAATCCTGATTTTTTTTTGTCTTTATAAAAAGTAGATGAGGCATATTAATTAGCTCTTTTGGTGTTATCTGAATGGAATAGAAGAATACAAAGCTTGCAATATGAAAATCATGAAAATATTTTTGTCATATGTGTGTGTGCTTTTTCTGTTAAGTTCCAATATGTAGTCAGATAGAGGGGCCTTATTAATGTGTTTGATACTTACCCTGTTTGGCGCCTTCTCTAGGGCAATTCTTGCTCTGGTTATGATCCCAAATTGACCTAGACCTCCTAGAACTGCATAAAACAGCTCGGAGTTCGTGTGTTTGGAGCAAGTCATCAACTCCCCTTTTCCTGAACCAAACAAATTAAAATTAAACAAAACGTAAGGAAAAAAAAAAAAGACCGGTCTACCTTTATCCTGATGGCTTTGAGTTAATTTTAACCCTCATGTCACAGGGCTCAGGTTAAAGTTTCGAGAGACAGATAGAGAGAAGAGACAAAAGCCTTTAAATATGGTAAAGGCCCAAATAATTACATGCATGCATGGGAAATTCCTTTTTTTACATGGAAGAATAATATATTATATATTAGTCTATATATAATTAAGTAGGATGTACCTAGCTAAAATATACTACTATAACTATATATAGACCTCAGACTGTACAGTACTGCATGTTAAGGTGAATCCTACCAAGAGTATCTCCAAGGTTGAAAACCTGGCATGGCACCTTCTGAACTATCCTATATAGAGTATAGATACATACATATATATGTGTGTATATATAACCCACGACTGATCACATCATATTCTTTTGACATCAAGATGGAATAAATTCCATATCATACTCTGGATCACAATGTTAACTCTATCCTAGGATGCTTTGAAGGCCAGGTAGGACCAATATAAACATGCCTTGTCAAAATTAACTATTGTATTGAAAGGACTATACAAACACACAACAAAATTGTATATATTAAAGAGAGATACCAGTTATAACATCCATTTCATAAACATTGCTGATCTGAGGACCATGTCGGAACGTTTGACCGCTAATTCCAGCATTAGAGAGGGTTCCACCAACACTTAAGTACAAATAGTCGGTCCACGAAACTGGTGCAAGTCCATGCTCAAGCGAGTCGAGCAACACATCAATCCACAGTTGGTGACCTCCAACATCTGCATAAAACCCTAATGAAGGGTCCCGAGAAACCCTAATTCCGGTTCCATTACTAAAACCATTCAAAGAGGTCATGTCCACCACAACCCCATTAAGGGCCATTGCTTGTCCCCCAAGGGAGTGTCCACGGCCTCTGGCCGCGATAGTAAATGGAACTGAACTATTGTAAGACGTTTTTATAAGCTTCATGATATCATTAATGGATGAAGGATGAAAAACTGCAGATGGATTTAGGTGAACAAGGTGGCCAAAGTCACTAGAAGCAATTCTAGTGGCTTCACAATCCACACGAAGCATAGTCGCGATATCAAGGGATAAAAGCTCAGGAGGGAGTGAAATCCCTGGGCTTAACTTGCCTATGATGAACATCAGACGGCTTATAATGAAGAAAACAATGACATGTGTTGGAATTGGACAATTCCCAGCCATGTGAGTGTGTGTGTGTGAGAGAGAGAGATGGAAGTTTTGGTGGTGTTTGTGTGGAGAAGGGGATGATAATATATCTATATATAGAGAGAATGAGACATATAGAGAGAGAGAACTATATATATAGAGAGAGAGAGAGAGAGTGAGAGAGAGAGCTATATATATAGAGAGAGAGGGAGAGAGAGAGAGGTATATATAGAGAAAGGAGGTGCATGCAAACGAGAATGAGATCTTGGATTGCAGGGAAGAAATCTTGGTGTATGGTGAGTGATGTAAACTTTCAAAGATAGGAAGGACGAGAGAATTATGATACTTCTTTGTAGTTTCCAAAGGTTGTGATTTTCGCGTGTCATGAAATAATTTTTTTGGTGTGTTTTAAATGCATTATTAACCGAAAGATTCCAAGACCACCCATAGGTTTCCTTCGTTCTTGTGGGCCTCTTAAAGATGCTAGGCCAAACCACTATAATATGGGCTGTTGGATCATGATCAAATGGTCCAGAACCACCTTCCCTTTCTATAAAAATATATATAAGGGTTACTAACTAATTTACTATGGTTGTCTATTTTCCAATTTTAGAAAAAAATAATATTAGTACATGATAAGCATCAATTGTGATGAGTTCGACACATCAACTAAATTTATGTGGGTAGGTAATTTTTTGTAGAAGATGACGTTATAGTATCCTGATGATACCGTCCCCATTCACAACCGTCTGATGCATCTGATTTTTGAATTTCGTGTCGTTATTCTAGAAGCATTCATCACAAGGATCTTTGAAATTGAAAAAAAATAGATTTGATGAGATATTCATGTATCTATGCATTGTTTTCAATTGAGATTCATATGTAAATATGAAATAGAAAGGTCGTCTAGGGGATCCATCAGCAAGATTCGTCCTTATATTGTAAGATTCATTCATATGTAAATATGAAATAGAAAGGTGGCTTGGGGGAGACATCAAGAAGATACGTTCTTCAATTTAAGATATTGGTTGTTGTTATATGAGCCTACATATAATTCTTCAAGTCAAATTTTTACTATAATTACCCAGCCAAATGTTGTCCCAACAAATCACCTTTGAAGCTCTCAATTTTTCCAAGTTGTACTAAATGATGATGCCTTCCAAGCACTTTCCAATATAAATTAAAGAATAATTTTTAATTAATTCATCATTGTGTTCCTAATCTTTATTTCATATGAACTGGCTTTACACGTGAATAGAAAAGTTTTTATCTTTTTCCAATCTCTTTAATCTTTTTTCATTTTCATTTAACTTATTCTAGACAAATTATAAATAAAAAAAAATATCTAATTACAGATTGTAGCTTAGCTGTACTTCTCACGTTCCAAAATAATAGTTCAAGAGTTCAAGTTATCGTAAGAGTAAAATTAGTATATATACACGGCTTGCAAATATACTATATATTGGAACTTAATTATGAAATGAACGCAGAGCATAAACTATATGCATGGATGTTAAATTAACCAGAAAGAAACAAAACCGTGAAGTCATCAAATATGGATATGGTCATGTTGGTCACGCGACATTGTAGTTGTATGATAGATTTATATATATATATATATATATATATATATATATATATATATGCAGTTAACAATTAATTTTCTAGTAATAAGTTATCAAAGACATTTCTATGCATGTTCCTAGCGAAGACTTAGGTTGGAAATTAGAAATATCAAAGTACAAAATGTTCAACATATAATCTTTGACCTAAAGATCGCGCAGGTAGAGTAGGAGGTGCCATCCTATATAGACTACGCATTGCATGCATATCATGCATATATCTGTTGCTAATACTAATATTACTATATATATTATATATATATGCATGTGAGTGAACCCTTACGAATATAAAACTCTTGAAAAGATACATATATGTATTAAAAATAGTTTATAATAAATTAATGGTAATGGAATTATAACATAGATTGCCCATTTAATTAAACTTTTTTGAAACTGAAAATTAGGAAGCTTCATGAAAATAACCAAGTCGCCACTGCCTCCTCACATGTATAAACAGCAACTGTTAGGTGTTTTTCACCTAACAACAATAGAGAGATATATGGAAAAAGCAACAAAAGCTTGGTCATGCCAATATCCCAACAGTATATCCGAAAAGTCCCTCATGCCTAAAAAGTTCAATCTAAAATAGTAGCAAGATCGAACAAATTCCTTGCTTCTAGAGGAAGAAATAAATTTATAATCCTCAAGATTTCTCATACAAATTAAGTCATATAATTTTTCTAAACTTGTATGACTTTTAAGATTCGCGCTCTCACTACATTCTATTTGACTCTAAGTCACATAATACTTCTCAACGAATCTCGCTCTCACGCTCTGATTGCGCTCTCGCTCAAATTCTCACTATTTTTAACTTAATTTTGTCGCTTTCATTCTTTTACTCTTGCTCCTGCTCTAGCTTTATGTGACCTAAGTTTGACTTAGATTTTTCCAATAACCCCAATATATCCCGAAAAAGCCCCCTCATACCTAAAAGCTCAATCTAAAATAGTAGCAAAATCAAACAATTGCCTAGCAAGTTGAAGGAAAAAATAAAGTTATAATCCTCAGGATTTCTCATCTAAACTAAGCCGCACAATTCTTCTAAACTTATATTGATCTCGCGATCTCTACACCTCTCTCTCCCGTTCCCACTCTGTATAACTTAAATTTTATTATTTTCGTACTCTTATTTTGCTTGACTTCATAATCTAAGAATTATTATCTTTTATTATTATGATGATGAACTAATACTGTTATTTGGATTTTGTTTACGTTGTGTGAAACATATCCGATTTCAAATTCAAGTGACACTCCAAATATACCTTTTATTATGTTTGGTAATTGAGAAAATTGAATCAACAGTTTAAGTTTAGAATTTGATGAATCTTAGTTATAATTTTAAATTAAATTTTCTCTAATTATAAATTCAAGACACCCATTCAATTATCCTGAACACAATTTTTTTTTATTTTTAAATAGAATGAAAAGTATATAATGGTAACAAAATACTATGATTTAATAGAAACTAGGATTTATAAGCATAATGATAGCATATGATGGTTAATAAGATGTGATAGGACAAATGTACATATAGTATATACATATGCGCATATATGCTTGTTTGTATGTAAGTAGTTTGGGTAGACTTACAGAGAGAGAAGAAGAAGAAAACACTCGTCAATGGGATTGTGGAGGGACTATTATAAGATACTGGAGATCTTTATGGGGATCAGACGAGATAGCCCACGAGATCACGAGGTCCAGAGCACAGCCCCACCACCATTATCACCAAATCTACTCCGCTTGATTGGTCACGTAACACTGCAATCTTGTCCCTCCATTCTTGCAGGACATTAATCATCGTCAATAGTAAAAGAAAAAAATGTCATCATCTATATATATATACACACTTTTGTGTGTGTGTATATATATATATATATATATATATATATATATGTCGTTATGTATATATATATATAATATATTTACACAAAAAAATTTAGATTATTTATTTTTACTCCAGCAGTTGTTTTATATTTTTGTGTAAAAATATATACCTCAATAATAACCGATCATTGTTATACATAGGCCCCCACATAATTTTTATAAACTTATTTAATATAGGATTGAGTTGTTAATGGAACGAGGAAGAAGGAGGAAAAATGAAATATGTTGATGTGACTGTGTAAAAAGGTTGTGTAAAATACATAACAATTTTACACATTGATGACGTGGCATTGTATCTTAAGAGACTGGTGGAGATAAAAAAAAAAATTACACATCATATGTGACTGTGTATATTTTACACAAAAGAGTATTTTAATATACGACTTGAAATGCTCTTATATGATATCTCATTGAATATATAAAAGGATAAAGTGAGAAATACATTCGTAATTTTTAAATTTTAGACAAATAATACTCCTAACATTTATTTTGAATATATAATAAGCCTGTTAAAATTTTAAAAATAAATAAATAAGGACTTAATTTGTATAATATGTCAGAAAATTACATTTAAATAGTCATATGTGTTTTACATGCCTATATTAAGTAAAAAATTCCTTGCAATGCTATTTTGGTCTCTCCAAAATGTCGTTATATCATTTCACATATAAACAGGCTAGGGTACTTTGATCATTTTATATTTATTTTTTTGACCTTTTCTTTTTCAAATGCATAAGCACTTTAGTTTTTTAATTCGCTCTATTGTATAAACGACTCGTGTATTGACCGTCATCTCTCATTGAACAGTTTAAGAAAAAGAAAAAGACGATTTTGTGTTTTGTGTTGAAACAGTTGTTTTTATTGAGAGAAAATAAATGTATTAATGTTGAATAGTTGGTCAACTGTAAGGCAACGTATAAATAGGGGCACATTTGAAATGGTTGAAAACAAAGTAGTTGTAATAAAATGACGCCATCTTGGGTGAGTTGATGCTCTTCGTTCACGTCACATCTCTTGTGGGTTTGGATATGATCGGGTTGGGGTTCTATATTTATAGAGACAAGCAAACAGAAGGCAGCATGGAGGATTCTTTCGTTGATACTACTTCATAATCAACCCACACTCGCTCCCTTCTATGCTTATAATATACTCTCCATCACTTCACACACACACACACTTCACAAATTGCCCCTTACCAAGCTCCATTCCCTCGCCTTATCTCCTTTTTAGGGGATGAGATATTATACCGTATCACAAATTGTCTGTTACCAAATTGACAAGATCGATTCTCTCGAATCACCTCTTTTTTTTTATGGATGAAAAGTTATATCATTTCACAAATTACTTATTGTAGTGTTCCATCCTCTCACCTCTCATTTGAAGGAGGAGAGGTTGTGTCATTGTGCTAATGACCCATTGATTACTCTTTATCAATGTACTTGGAACACAATTGAAGGGGAAGAAAAAAAAAAAAGTAATTTTTAAATTCATTCCATATAACCTCTCATCTTGTGATGAAACCATAATGAGTGAAGACTAATTTTTAATTGAATTTTCATAAAACTAAGAGGGAAGTAAGTTTATGTAGAAAGGATTTTAGCCTGAAGGTACTTCTGAAGTACAAGCGTGAGGATTCAAGCCCTTAAATAGGTAAAATGGATGCATAAGTTTCTTGTCAAAATAAAATAAATTTATGTACAATTCTCTGAAAATAAAAACATCTTTCTCACAAAACTAAACCAGAAATGCCTAAAAACCAAAAAAAATAAAAATAAAAACTCTTCTCACAAAACTAAACCAAACATGCCTACTATATGCGTGTGTCACACACACACACACCCACACATATATAATAACGTAGTTAAAAAATTGTAATTACAAATATTAAGTAATTTATTAATTTTTCATCACTATATTGTATAAAAAAAGGAAGTATTTTTCTACGGTAAAAAAATTTAAACCGAATATAATAAGTTTTATTATAAATGATAAAAATTTTAATAAGTTAATTATTTTAAAAATAGTAGTTACAAATCTATTTATTTTTTTTCATTTTTATGATAAATTAATACTACTAATAAAATTAAGGTAAATAGTATAATTAATATTTACATAAAAAAAATAATAATGAAAATAATTTAATAACAAATGAAAATTTTAATAAGAAATGGTAAAATAGTTTTTTTTGCATAAATTTGTCCTTAGTTGCAACAAATTAATATTTGCAGAAGGGTAAATAGTTCAAAAGAGGGTCTTTGCAATTTATTCTAATATTTATGAGGGTGGGCTTGACGTAACGGTAAATTTGCTTCATTGTGACTTGAAGATCATAGATTTGAAATTAAAAATAGCCTCTCCATATTAAGATAAGACTACATACATAGGACATCCCAGAAGTATAGTGCAAATAAGGGCCAACATACTGCCCAAGTCGAACCTTTGAAAATAAGTCATCAAGGATCAAATGACTAGAATTTATTCACTCCGATAAAGAAAACTTACTAAAACAAATTGACAGTAAATAACATTATTTTACCAAAACATGGATTACTGTTGTGTGATGCCAAGATAAAATGCACGCGCTAGAGGGGTGAGATGTTCATTAGAATCCAACAATTTAGGCAAAGATCTCACAAGATCAATAATCAATCAATCAAGCTGGTCATTTCCTGGGCATTTATGTTCTGCAATCAGTCCTAGATACTCTGATGACACTGTTCATTTCATGGGCATTTATGTTCTGCAATCAGTCCTAGATACTCTGATGACTTCTCTCTCTCTCTCTCTCATGCATTTTCAAAGTAAACCTCTGTTTCTCTCATGAATTTTCAAAGTACTGTGTTCTTCAGTGAACCTTGGTGAGTGGTACAGGATAAGATACAATCAGGTTCAGTGAACCTTGGTGAGTGGTACAGGATAAGATACAATCAGGTGGGCCGCATTGGAACTTATATTCTATTGACTAATACAGCAAAATTATGTTCCCAATCAATAATCAACATATTCCACTGATTCCAGAGGTGTGAACCGTTGAAACACAACAACTGGTGGTAATTATAACATTCCAAAACCAAGTCATTTCATCAAATCCTTAAGAAGATGTAAGTATCTTTTGCACATGCAAGAAATATACGCATTACACACACACATTACACGTGTGTGTGTGTGTGTGTGTGTGTGTGTGTGTGCATGTGAATTATAAATTTATAAGTAAGATGCAAGTTAATGGAAACACAATGGTATGGGTCAATGACGGTGGGGCAACCAGACACACATACTCAATTACTAGATGCACTTTTGGTTAAATTTTCTGCTGAGAATGCACAACTTTATGCGACAAAAAGGGGACCCTCAAACAAAGAAATGAAATGAAATGGATATCAGCAAGTTGCCCTGAAAACCTGGTTGAAGCCTTTCAAGATCCCAGCAGGGTGTGTGTAGTGTTCACATAATACTAATAATACAACAAGTCTTTGTGAGCCTATGCATGTGAAACAAAAATGGTGGTGGGTCTGGGTGGTCTGGACCAGGCTGTTCTTAGGTGTCAGATGGCATTGGTGGAGGACAGTGATAACAAAACTTCGGAGAAAGCTGGCCCAAGGATCAGTACCACAATATCCCCTCGACCCCATGGAATATGTGGATCTTGCTAATGAGATTCCATGGACACTTCAGATCATCCCAAATCCAACTTAGTCTCATTCCAAGGGCCAACTTCTTGTCTTTTACCTACATGCTAGTTATCATGACAATGTGTGTGTTTGTGTGTGTGTTTTCTTCCCAAGACACTTCTTTATTCTCTAATAAGTATTTTAAAAGATAAATATGCTTAAATGTTCACTCTGTAAAAGCTGATCCAAGTTCTTGATCACAACTGTCCCGGGAAGAAAACAAACACACACACACACTAAAGGCTCGCTGAAATAAGAGCATTGTACATCATATAGACCCCACTAAATTGATCAGAAGAGGAATAACATTACTGTAGACAAATAAAGGGAATGGCAGAGGTGTCATGGGGAGCTGGAATAACAGTTGGGTGTGAAGTAGAGAGAAATTAGTGGTGGAGGAGATGGTGATTGATGGAGTCAAAGAACCTTTGTGACCGATAAGACAAACTTTGCGACACCCTACACTAGACTTTGAGACCAATGAAACTACCGTTAGGCCTTAAAGAAGCCCACAAAGAATTCACGGCTTTGTAAAGCATTGGTTTCTCCCAAGCTCTCACGTAGGGGTGGCAATATTTGACACGACATGCTAACACGACTCAAACACGACATGGGATAAGTTGGTTTGGGTTTGGCTTCATCGTGTTCGTGTCATAAATATAATTGTATCAACCCAAATTGACACAGTAATTAAAGTGCCGTGTTCGTGTTTACTATTTATAACCCGATTAACTCGTTTAACTAAACGAGTCATATAACCGTGTCGTGTTCGGGCTAAAAATGACCTATTTAGCTAAACATGTTGTGTTCATGTAAAAAATGACTTAAATGTGCCTTGTCATGTTGTTTCGTGTCGTGTGAAGCCTTGACCCATTTAGTAAACGGGTTACGCGTGTTGTGTCATGTTACCCGTGTAATAATCATGTTATATTCGTGCCAAGGTTTCTTCACACGATTAATAATCATCTCGTGTGAACCCATATCCTGACACGCACAAACACAACCCACGAATACATGAATAGAAGATTAGCCTAGATGGAATCTATGATGAATAGAAGATTCAGTGATTCACAGTCAGTAAATCATGACTTGGTACAAAAACTGCTATTCATAGGAAAACAACATTACCGTAGACAAATCAATTTTCTATATGACTAATTTCTTATATGGTTTACCTTCAAAAGCAGTAACATAAACGGCAAGAACAAAAGAAATGACCTGTTGCACACGAGGGTTTCAGTTCAGACACTACCGCTTTGGATCCTTTGATGTGTAAACACACAAAGAAAGCAAACACCACTCTGCATTGCCACTTTATAGATAAATTTCATCATTTTGGGAACAAACTTTCAACTGCAAAAACACATACTAAATTTGGTAGTAAGTATAAAAAAGCGTGAAAAAGGAAAACAAAATGTCTCTCTGGGATTCATCACTTGGGACTTCAACTACTACGGCCCTTTCACCAGAGAGTATACTGAACATGGGAATAGTATATTAAAAAAGGTGAAGAATAACGCCAATGGGACAGGAGGTACCACGTTTCAACACTACCATTCATACAGCTGCAACCTTTTTTCCATCCTCAATAAAGAAAATTGCTGTTTCTTGAACCTGAAAACATGAGTGCAAGATATATTTAGCTCATTAAGAACAGTAACCACAATAAGTGTTCTTTTGTTCTTCTTTTTTGACACAGACAAATGTAATGGTCTATGAAAAAAGGATCTACAGATCTACATAGAGAAATCGGTCAAGCAAAAAAAAAAAAAAGGAAAAAAAAAAAGTGCAAAAGAAAGCATTCCTCATCCAAAAAATTGATAAGAAAATTCCATGCAAAGAGCCTGTTAAGGGTTAACCAATCATCAGATTCCCATTGGCAAGAACAACACAAGTTACACAACTTTCACAGCCCAGGTTTTTCATTTCATATGTGAGTTGTGACACCAAAGCCATCATCAAAATTAAAATAGATACTAGACTACTAAAAAATTCAGATATTAGTTTTATATAGGGGAGGGCCAAACACGGTCAAAAGTTCAAATAGACCTGATGAAGAAACCATGTGCTTTTCTGTGAGTTTATTTAGTTAATCCAATACAATACATATAAAAATTTGAATTAAAATTAAAATTTTGACCCTTCGGGAGTGGAATTGATCAGTTGAAGTGCAAAAACCAAAAGATCAATGGGTTTCAGACTTTTGACTTCTAACTATCACAAAAAAATAAAAATAAAAAATCAAGTCCTCACAACTACTACAATAAAGAAATGGGTGAATTACTCTGAACCCTGAGGTTTGCTTTTATTACCTACGGATTAAAGTTTTTGAAATATTACTCTGACACCCCTATCAGAATTAACCGCAGTTAGTTTTGTTAACTGTGTGGTTGATTGTACCATTACACCCTCATTTAAACAAGAATATGCATAATGCTGATGGAAGAGACTCTCTCTCTCTCTCCCTCCCCCTCCCTGTCTGGCAATCCACACTCTTCATGAACCTTCTGAAATGAAATTTTTTAAATATATATATATATATATATATCCACACTCTTAGTCTGAGAGTGTGGAATGACAGAGGTCGGTAGCAGAGCAGAGGGCAGCATCCAAGGTTGGCAATGGTGGCGGAGTAGAGGGCAGAGTTGGAGGTAGGTGACAGTGGCAGAGTGGAGGGCAGCGTCAAGGACAAGGTCATAGAGGAGGGTGGAGAGAGCGCGCCGGTGTCGGTGACAATAGGTATCAGAGTTCATCTGTGGGCATCCAACATTCTGCTCGAAGAAATGCTCAATTGCAAGCTCTGATTTTTGGTCCGCTAAGATGGGGTATTCTTCCATTATTTTGCCACCATGGTTGTCGGCGACAAAGCAATTGATGATGGGTACTCTCAGATATGTCGATCCTTGGCCAAGCACAACTGCACAAGATCTGATGTAACATTTCCCATCCCATGAACCCAATTCAACCCCCTTTTCACAATATCAATTTTTTCCATCCTAATTCATCCAAGTCAAGCCTGATTTGCAACCAAATCCAACTGATCAGTACTTGAATTTCTTCATCACTCCACACTTTTTTGTCAGAAGAAACCCTATTAACTTTTTTTGTCGGAATAAAACCCTAATACTGTAACTCTCTCACACCGCACAACTTTGAAATACACTCGCTTACTGCTATGCTCTCTTCCTAATACACTCTTGACGTTAAAATCTTGTTACGTTGAATTTTAATAACCCATTTCTGGTTATTAAACCCCTACAACATCTGTTTTTCCTTTAATCAACTTCTTGGTTTTGAACTTTGGGTGTTGAAAAGTTTCCATGAATCCCAGTTGAGAATAGATGAGAGGGAAACTATATTACTCCGTAATAAGAGTATTTTAATATAATGGGTAAAATTATAATTTTAATAGAAATATTAATAAGGTTAATATAATTAATATTCACATCATAATATAATTAATAATTGATTAATATTATAACTGATTTGCCCCTTATAACTAAACCCAGGCTATTAATGTGTGTGAGAGAGAGAGAGAGAGGAGCAAGGTTTTTTGGTCATTTGACAACAAATAAGGGTAGTCTTGGCATTTTATTTTGTTATCTACTTCTAACTTTACTAAGGTTTAGTTAACTGTAGGGGAGGTCAGGGTAGAGTCAACGAAACCTCAGGGGAGGTTGACCAACTTTTTTTCACAAGTTTAAGCTGTAGGTAATAATGGAAAACCTGAGGGGGTGTGGGAGTAATTCACCCTAAAGAAATTAGTCACTCGAAATATTTTCCTAGTAGCCGTCAGAAAATGTCAGCAAATGGTAGTCCTCAAAAAATGTCCACATTGAACCATTTATGTTTGAAAGACATGCCAAGAAGTGTCATCATGCTTTCAACACGTCAAAGACAATATCAGTTAACCCTCGTGTGTCTCAATTAATACGATATTACATATCCAAGTTTTCAACAACAATTGTCAACAAAGGAAGGAATTGAAACCATAATGTGCACCATGAAAGAACCAAAATCATACATGATAATGCAAGGTACTTTTGCCTCGATTCTCTCTTTCATTTTTGTTGGATCAGTGTAAATATTACCATTTAATAATGTTAGTACCTTTATGTGCTATATTACACACACATTTAATTTCACGGGTACATTTGAAATGATAGCAGCTAGTGAGCCATTTATGCTTACATTTGAAATGATAGCAGCTAGTGAGCCATTTATGCTTAGTTTCTTATACGACTTGACCCTACTTTGAACTGTAGTTCTCCAAATGTAAAGGCGTCGCCTTTCCTAGGGTTTTAAAGCCATTCATGAAGGGCTTGAACTCAGTTGTCTATTGGCTCATTCAGGCTCACTCACCTAATAAAATTAGTGGAGCTCAAGTTCCTTTCCAATGACCTGAGCTTGCTCAGTTCGCTCATGAACAAGTTCAGTGGCAAATTTGTAAAACATATAAACTCATGGTCATTCACCAACCTTAAAAACATATAACAAACAGTAGCATAAAACCCAAGAAACCAGGCATCTAACCTTGCATGTACATGTGATAGTTGCTTACACAACCCTGTCATATAGCAGCTTTTTAGCTCTTACACATTTGAGCCAGAAAACAACATTTTTCAAATTTAACATAAAACCGAGCTTGAACATTCAGATAATCTGCTCGGTTTGGTTCCTTTGTGACCCTAACCTCTACTGGTGAGTAATTTGAAAATTTTATTCAAATTTAAGGCAAAACTTGAGACAAAAGCTAAAAAGAAACTAAGCAGAATGCATAAATATTTTTATTTTTACAAGGTTTTTTATTTTCCCGGTAATTAAGTGGATATTTTTATAAGCTAAACACAAGTAATATAAAGAGGAAAGATAATGTCAAGAGTAAATTACATCAGGCCAGGTGTCTGTAATAAACTCTACGACGTCATATGATATGTCTCCTTGAACATCAATATGCTCCTTCTCAGTGGGCCCCTATCACCAATCATTCAAAACAGTGTAGTAAGAAACAGCACACTTTTAGCAGAAGAGATTTCAAATTGCCATTTGTAATGCACCTTAACAACAGAAGCTCCTGTAGCAAATTTCTTCCCAAGCTTCTTTGAAGCATCACTAAGCTTAATACCTGAAAAATTATTGCACAAACTGACTTAAAAATAATTTGATGTAGAAGAGAAAAGGAATATAATGAACACACAAGAAGCACAGTGCTCACCAAAGAGTTCCAGGCCTTTCACAGTGGTGATACATTTTCTCTTGTTTCGTACTAACTTTTCAATAACAACTTCCTTCTTCTCCTACAAAAATTACATACAAAATTGATTACACTGAAACTGACATAGAAGTTCAAAACAGTGGATTTATACATAAGCAACTATGCTGGTAACTTAAACATATGCCAATAATAATAATCTGCCAAGAATCTACGCAAGAAAACCTTACTAATTATCCCTTCAATCATAATTTCAAAATAAAAAACTTTACTATTTATTATTAGTACAGGCAGCAACAACATACCAAGGCTGAAATTGGAAAGGCAGCTCAAGGAACAACTCAACAACCAGAAATAATCATAGGAATTCCAAAAGATAAGCTTTTTCAAAGTTACTCCTTATATGCATTACAAATCCAAGCGTATTCTCAACCAATTAAATATGCACGTTAGTAACCCCATATAGAATCAAATAATTCAAATGCACTCAATAATAAGCTGCATAACCAGTGCACCAAACATCATTCATTCTGCAGGGAAATAGTAACAGTGATCGAAGAACAACTCAAGAACTGGTGTAACTGATGCCAAAGAAAATGTATCTCTTCCATAAACAATATAAAACCACAAAACTATGTATAAAGAAATTGGACCTTCCATGTATATCAGCCAATTGATATTACTGAACGATGACGTGGTCATATTATTATTACCTATTTAATAAATGGGTCGTGTTTGCAAAGTCTTTTGACACGATTATTAAATGGGTCATGTTCAGGTGTTTAACTGAACATTCCTAGATTGACATGACAAGAACACAACTCGTTGGCACAAATTGCCACCCCCATATCAGATTATAAAGTTCAAATTGTTAATGGGTTATCAAATTAAATATCCAATATTCCAATCCATATCCTATCGGATGCGAATCAAAAACCCGATCAATTGACAGGCCCAGCTACAAGTTTGGAGGTGGTTCCAACTTCTTTGAACGAGATCAGGGTAAACAAAACTTATTGCAGATAAAAGATGGGAACAAAATAGTAGAAATGATATATAAGGAGAGGAAACACACTAGAAACAATGAAAGAAACAACAAACTTTAAAATCTGCCGAAGGGTGGAATAAATATACCTCTAATATCTGAACCCAGAAACAAAACTGGGAACCAAAACAATTTTATTCATTTTTTCGTCAATCTCATTAATTCATACTTTTAAACTTTATTGTAGGCTTCTTACTAGATCCAAAACCTTTCAAGATACTCCTGACCAATAGGGAAACTTAACACGACTCACAATATACTTCTGAAGAATGTAACAATTTTAAATATAAGTTGTCATTTCATAATTGCCAAATCCACTGTAGCATTGTTATAAAATTACTGACATGGCATCTTAAAAGGGAGGGGTGGAGTCGGGTTAAGGGTTCAATTCTAATCAATTATCAATAAAAAATGAAAATTATCAACGGCTATCTAACTTACGAGGAAAACAATTAACACCAAACTCCACATTTTGAACGTAACTTTTTAAAAGAACCTTAAATTCGTAAACTAGGATGTAGCACTCTTGGATACAAAGCGAACAATAAGACACAAAAAGTGAGTGCATTCTGAAGCTACAGATCAGTTAAAAAGGAGATCAACAAAATTTTGATCCCTGCACCACCACTCTAGAACCACATCTCCTTCATCCATGGTTATTCATGCTCCTTTGCAATTTAAAATTACAGAAATTTTACTGCCAAACACCCAGGGAAAAAAAAAATTACTGCCAAACCCTGCACCACCACTCTAGAACCACATCTTCATCCATGGTTATTCATCTCCTTTGCAATTTAAACTTACAAAAAATTTACTGCCACAATATGTGATTTTCTTCCTGCGCTCAGGCTTCCACAAAAGCTAATAAGTTACTAGTCAATAAACCTGCTAGTGGAGGAAGGCTTCCTAGGGATAAGAGACATAGGGCTACATGATCAATATAATATAGCCTATTAGTCCAGCATGAAACTAATGACTACCATGCATTAGTAAATTTTTCAATATGCCACCGAGTCTTTAGTTCAAAACTTCAAGTGGTAGGGATATAGTAAGAAAAAGGTTTTCTTTATGCACATTTGGTGAACAAAATTTCTCAAATTGCTTACTTTCTTTTTTATCTTCCCACCGGGAAGACGTTTTACTTCTTCTTGCTTCGATGTTGATGAAGCCCCTGCAACCAAAGAAGAAAAAGGTAAAGAACATGAATAAGTTTGGATCAAACATGGAAGAAAAATTTTGCCACTGAAAATAAGGCATGTAGTTTGCTCAAATATAGATTGAGTGGTCGCCGAAAACAGCTGCCAGAGTTAATAAAAACTTAGCACTATCATATAATCACAGAATCTGTAACTATATGTGAATAAAAGAATTTTTCTTTTTTTTTTTGATAAATATGAAAACACTAAAGAACACCATATGGGCCAACGCGAAACAGATGCAGTATATACAAAGTAACCGGGGAGGGAGGGAGGGAGGGAGGGAGAGAGAGAGAGAAACTCATAACTTTAGACAACTCCCCTAAGAAACAATCTCAGGAAATTTTTATTTTGCAAACAAAAGTGCACACTGTACACAAAATAATAATTCTATATTCATATAAAGTCAAACCAAGTGATGCTACCAGTATACTAGTTCTCATACAGTCCTCTTTGAAAATGAGAAAGGGATCATCAATATGAGACCATAACTCAAACATACGGCGCCAATAAATCATTAGGTCCATTGTAAAGAGTAAAGGCTACATAATTGCTATACAAAGAAAATTTAAAAAAAAAAAAAAACATATCAGACTTCAGAAAGGTGTTGTTTGACAACCCAACTAGGTGCTTCAAATCAAACAAGTCAAGTGATTCTTCAACCAAGTGTGCTTGTGTAATACCCCTAATTTTAAAAGGATAGTCTCGGTATTTATTTATTTATTTTTATTGTATTTTTTTTAATTGTTTAATTGATTATTTGACTAATTGTTTATGTGTTTAATTAAATTAAGTGTTACTTGATTAATTGGCTACTTATTTATGTGTTATTTGTATTTTGTCTAGGTGTTATTTGTATTATTTGTTTAATTAGATTGTGTGCTTAAATGATGTATTTGATTAATTGTAATTAATTGTAAATTAAATGATTAAATGTTTTATTTTATTTTATTTTATGGTTATGGTTAGTGGTAATGGGCTAACTAATTGGGTCCCATGGACTACTTGGATAGGAGGTTGGATGGGTATGGATAATTACCCATAGATAGTTCTATATGTATATATATATATATATATGTATATACATATATATAAAAAGGAAAGTAATTTATTAATATTATAGTAACTTTAGTATTAATAAATAATCTGATGTATATATTTTATATATTTATATAATAAGGATACGTAACATGTTTTAAGTTACCTTTTTAATATTATGGTAACTTTAGTATAAATAAATAATCTGATGTATATATTTTATTTATTTAATGAGGATACAGATAGATTATATACGTAACATGTTTTAAGTTACTTTTTAATATTATGGAAACTTTAGTATAAATAAATAATCTGATGTATATATTTTATTTAATTAATAAGGATATACATAAATTATATACGTAACGTATTTTAAGTTACCTTTTTAATATTTTCATTTTTATTTTTCTTTATTAAGTTGACTTGGATTGAGAAAAGGAATATGGTTATTATTTAGCCTATAAATACACAACTATAGGTTGAGAAAGGAGTGAAAATATATCACGTAATATATTCTAGAGAGAGAGTTAGAGAGAGAAGGAGAAAGAGGAAGGAAGGAGGAGAAAACCCTTTAGAGAGAAGATCAAGGAAGAAGAAGTTTAACTTTCAATCCGAAAGTTTAAGGCAAGTTCTTCTTCTATCTCTTTCCCTTTGATTCGTGTTTCTGTACATGCCTAGGAAATTTCAGAATTTATTAAACACATAAAATTAAATAATTATGCATGTTTAATTGGGTTAGAACATGGGTTTTATAAAATTGGTTCATATCTGTTCTTGTGTTATGAATTGATAAAATGCATGATTTTGATTTGATTTCTTATGTGAATTTTTACATGTTTAAAGTATGTATTTTTCATATCTGTGGAATGATGGAACGTAGAAATATGCCTAAGATTCCTGAACATTAAATAGGAACTAGGTTTGGGTTTTAATAAATTTAAATAGACTCAATCATAATGATGCTTGCTATTTGAATGTTTTAAACAAACGAATGGATTTAATCTTTTAAAATATTTTAGCAATTGAGATTAAATGTGTAGGATGAATTGGATATGGAGAATCCTTATTTAATGGTATAATAAAATATCATCATGTATAAGATTCAGTTTGTGTAGGACATATAATATAGGAAGTTTAAAGAAATAATAAGTCATTCATATTATGTGATAACTTGATATCATATTTATCATAGTTATTTATGGAATGTTTGATGTATTTCCTTAATTGTTACATCAATTGTTGGATTGTGTGGTTTAATGCACCGGTATGGGACGGTGGCATTCTAGGGATGGATTAACTTATCAGTTAAGTCCTACCTATTTTATATAAGGGAATGGATTAACTAAAATGTTAAGTCCTACTTATATTTAAGTCAAGTCAGCTGAACAAGTTGAATGACTTATGGAGGATTAATTTATTATATAAGGGGATGGATTAACTAAAATGTTAAGTCCTACTTATATTCAAGTCAGGTCAGCTGAACAAGTTGAATGACTTATGGAGGATTAATTTATACTGGATAGGATAGTTACTAGATTTTATATATATAAGTATGGTGCCATGATATAAGCTTGAATCTCAGGATCAATGGTTAGGGCGCGTATATCGCCAGGGATGTGTAGCTAGATATAGTGTAGTTGTGTACCCTGGTAGGTCTAGGTACTCATGCCCACTATATGTGCGCTTTGCATGTTGCCTACTATTCAGGTTGAGACAACCCTATAGTCTAGTGAGGTTCCTTTAGTGTGTATATATATATATACGGACTACTAGTTACTGTTGGATTAACTAGGATGTATACGTGTATCGGATCTCTGTTTGGACTGTAGTAGAGTAGAACTTGTTTGTGGGCCTGACCCACCATTATTTTTCAGGTGTTCGTCACGAGTAGAGGTTGTTCGTGCTGAGCGGGGATCAGTCTATTTCATTTTTCCGATGCTACATAGGAGTTCCTTTATGATTCAGTTTCCTGTTTTAGATTACTGTCATTTGTTTAGTTTGGATTTTCTAGGGGTCCAAACAGTATAGATTCCCGAGTTGTATTTTGGAGGATCAGTTGTATCAGAAGATTTTATTAATTAATGGAAATATATTATGAGGTTTATTATTAGATTATCATGTTAGTATCTTGTCAGCATTTTATTTATCCTTCTTTATTCTTTTGTACTCTGTGTTCGTTTATTATCAATTTGTTTTGATATCCTCGGGTATTCGGGCGTGGGCCTGGCCAACCCGCATTCGGAAATTCGGGGGTATCACAGCTTGATAACACAATTTAAGTGTCACTTAGAAATAAGTGTCACTTAGAAATAAGTTGCACTTAAAACTCAACTCAACTCGACTAAGCAAAGCCTGTTTCCCAACTACATAAGCTTCACTTAAAAAAGGATCAAAATTTAAAAGGAAGAGACTTATCATTGAACTCAGAATCTGCTTAGTAAAAAGAGTTTTAGGATTTATATTTAAATCACAAATCACAAATGTAACCTTAAAACAAATCATACTATCTACTTTCTCTGTTATCCCTTCCTTCTGTCATAACCTGATGATTTCTGCGATTCTTAGTAAAATCCCTTCTTTTCCTGGACCATAAGGCGTCGATTGCCGCATTTCAAAACAATAGTCAATCAAATTTTTCCCTAATTCTCCGCATCACCCAGAACATAAGATACTATCCCTGGAAAAACAGTTCTATTGTCAGTTTGATGTTCAAAATTCATCAACCATCGAGTCTTTTAAGCATTCATTGCTGCGGAAACCACCTGCTCATTCACAATCATGTCATCCATATCAGCATCAATCAATCAAATCCCAATTCTCCTCCCAATCAGATTGCTCAATACTGTCATTGTTTATCGATCTCCAACCACATCATGAGACAAAAGACCATCACGTATCCCTTCAATGACGAAGATATCAAATTCTTCTATTTGTCTACCTCGTTATGCTGATTTTGAACCTTGTAACAACATAGCAAATGAAGAATATGAGGTGTTGATAACAAGGATGTATCCCGAGAAAAGCTCCATGTGTAAGAGATTTGGTGGTAGAGGTTGTGTTAGATTTGGGGTTAGGTTGCACTTGTAAGAGTTTTAGGGAAAGTGCTCAGTCAGATTGGTTAAGGGGCTATAGGCTGTGCCAGGTTAGATGGAACTCAGTATGGTTGGGCGGTACTCATATTTGTTGGTTGTTACAGTGGCTCGCTGGAATTTATTGTATTGGAATTATTATTAGTAAAACCAATGTTGTTCTTTAGGCATGATCATTGTGGTTTCTGATGTAGAAAATTAAAGACATAATGAAAATTATTAAAAGAAACAATAATTTGTTTAATCTACTTTCATGCATTGGAGCTTAAAATTTATATGTTCATATTAAATCCCTGCACTGTCTTTATATACTTTTGATAAGTGCACCAACTTTTATATATTGCAGAGGAATGACCTTCAAAAATCTTAGCCTTTTGCCTTCAATAGTGCAAATGATACCAATCAATATATAATTTGTTAACATTGCAAGAGATATCATTAAAATTGGTTTGCTTTTCATATTAATTAAAATACAGAAAGTTTATTTTCTAAAGCAAACTCATTTACTAAGATGAATAATTAAAAAAAAAAATTAGAGAAAAATTTTGAGGATGGAAACACCAAGGAAATAAAACGAGTCTATAGAGCTAGGGCTGCAAATGAACCAAGCTGCTCATGAACAGCTCGGGCTCGACTCATTAAAAGCTCAGCTCGGGCTCGTTCATTTAGAAAAACGAGCCAAGCTTGAGCTCAATTTCTAGGCTAGCCGAGCATGAACATCATTGAACTCGGCTCGTTAGGCTCGTGAACAAGCTCGTTAAGGCCCATTTCTATTTATCATTTTATAGTAAAAAAGTGTAGCCCAAATCAATATAAGTTTGACCCAACCTCCATCAATTCATTAATAAGGCCCAAGAAATATACGGTATAATTCATTAGGCCAACATCCAAATCAAATTTAATCTCAGCCACTAGACTTCAATGCATCTCAACCGTTGGTTCTGTTAAAAGATAAATAAACCTAGAACTAGATGTCTCCAGCGGCAGGACTTCTTCTTCAGATTTCAGCTATGCCGCAAGATCGCTGGCAGCCCTCCTAATGCAACACAGAACTCTCTCTCCCTCCCAAACAGATCTTAAGGTTCAGCAGTGCAACAAACGTGTAGATCGAGTTGAATGTGTGTAAAGAGTTGATAAAACATTGTAAGCTTTGATTTTATCTTGAAAATATGTTATGTATTTTTTCTTTTTCTTTCTAATTGGAGATGGAGATCCGATAAGTTTCTTTCTTGTCAACGATGATTGGATTTCATGGAAGAAATCATGCTGATTTCTTAAATCGATAGTTACTGTGTATGTAACCGAGCCTGAGCATGTCGAATCTCTACTGAGCCCGAGCCCGAGCACCTCTCTGAAGTTGATGAGTCGAGCCCGAGCAAGCCAAAGCTCGGCTCGGCTCAGCTCGGTTCATTTGCAGCCCTATATAGAGCAATGAAGAGTCTCGAGATTCAAACGCCAAGCTCAAGGAAAAGTGAATTTACTATGCAGATTGTTCAGGCCTGTACCATCAACTATTCGAATGTGTATTGCTTTCTCTAGGATTACTGTTATGCTCCTTCAAACTACAACGATTCAAGATATGGTGAAATATTCTCTTTCAAATTTTGTGCAATGTTCACTTTTACAAAACGAGTCAAAAATATATACAAAAATATTTGATACTTGGACAAATTTTCGTCCTGTGCCAAAAATAATCGATAATTTTAATATTATAGATATATATACCAGTTACATGACAAATGAAGTGTCAAGCACTCATACCTCCATAAACAGAAAATTAACATTTAAGCACAACCTAATTCCAGAATATAGAAAATAAATTCTTATGATTGATTAATTATGTACAGAAGAAACTCTTCAGTAATGTTCCTAAGTAATTATTAACAGTCAAAAATATATACAAAAATATGTGATACTTGGACAAAATTTTCTTCCTGTGGAAAAAATAATCGATAAATTTTAATACATATATATATATACCAGTTACATGACAAATGAAGTGTCAAGTACTCATTCCTCCATAAACAGAAATTTAACATTGAACCACAACCTGATTCCAAAATATAGAATTTCTTATGTTTGATTAATAATGTATAGAAGAAACTCTTCAGTATCATACGATCCATGAGGAAGAAACTCTTCAGTATCATACGATCCATGAGGAAGAAACTCTTCAGTATCATAAGATTTATGAGCTTTCCGACTATTTACTCAAATATATAAATAACACATGTAATTGTACAAGTTAAAGTACATAAATGTATACTATTACATAGATTTTAATACGTGCGATGAGCTACGGTATCTCTTATGTTCTAATTTTCAACTAACAAATTCCACGTAGGCACGTATGTAAAACTTCACCTTCAACTAACATGTATAGAGTTCAAGAACTATCGAACTTAATAGAGAGCAGAAAAAGAGAGCAGAAGGGGAAAAAAAAAATAATGCTTTCTTAAGGAATCCTAGAATTACTCTCCAGCAATGAAGATCAGTAAATTAAGATAAGTAACAACCATGCCTAAACAGCCTCCTGGATGGAAATGTGGAATCACTACTTATGAAAACATAAGTCCTCATACTTCTAGAACAGCAAAGCATTCATTGTAAACTGCATATTCAGGAGACTCCTTCCAATTTGCCTACTCACATTCAACGTTAACACCGAATTTTTCACATTAGGAATGTAAATAGGAATCCCTTCTAAGTTGCTGACCAGCATGTTTCACCTTGTCTTGGCATATTTATTCAGTCAAAAAGGATTACTATTTTAACTTCCCCGAATTATGACCTCATCTTAATACAAAATAAATCCTAAAAATAGTACAGAATTGCAAAGAGACCAGACCAATGTGTACTAACAAAATGCTCACTTTACACCCATTGCTATGAGGGCAAAATGAACGTTCAAAGGCACGAGCGTGGCTCCCCTTTATCTTACACTAACATAGTATGTTTTCTCCAAGCGTCAGCCTGACCTCCAAGACTTAAGAGCAGGTTCCCCAATGATCACCAGACATTTATAAGAATGTTTCAGCAAAAACGTAGTACTCCTATTGAAAATAGAAAAATTGTGTTGAAAATAAACATGTAGTTATGTAGCCAATGAAGTATTACTGTTACTACTATTATACCATCAAAATTTAAAATTTTAAAATACAAATCCATCCTATAATCCTTCTCTAACAATATGAAGTCGTTAAAGTTTAACCTACCACAACATTCAACATAAAACTAGGGCAAATATAAACTTCTTGTTTCCACATACTCTATAAACGCAGTACATAACATATGCATTCATATTCATATATACGAAAAAGTTACACTCAGAAATTAAATTACCAGAAGGGGCTTTGCCCTCGGAGATTGAAGTGGACTTGAGTTGGTCTGAGACTTTATCAGCTTCCTTTGAATTTGCCTCTGAAACATGAATAGAAAAACAATCGTATAAAAATTATTTTATATATCAAGATACATATATATGTATATATATGAATAATTGTATCATATTTACGATTAGGGTTTAGGAGGTTGTGGATGACCTTTGAGAAGATCAGGGTAAAGGTCGGGTACATTTTGGATCAACCAGGGCTTGCATTTCTCGAAATCGGGTCCGAATTCACAGTACTCTGCAGGTAAACCGCACACCCCGCAGTACAATACGCGGACTGGTTGGGGTTTCTCCGCCATTTTCAAATCTCTCTCTATATATATATATCTGTTTATCTATCTAGATCGAAGCCCTTCTTTCTCTCTCTATGCTGCTGCCTATGTGTTTCAATGGCGAATCGATTCTTTGACTGACACGAGAACGCCGCTGTGGATGTTTTTTTACATGTAACACGACATCGTGTACCCGTGTTCTAAAGGTACAATGTGGGACGGTTAATTTGAACCCAGTCCGGCTTTTTACGGACATTATTCTTTAAAACCTCGGGGCAGTACTCAATAATTGTCGGTAGCGGTTTGAAAATTATCCATTTTTATTATAATAATTAAATTCAGAGTGGAATAGCCATATAATTTAAATAAAATAATTAGTTAGAAAAGAAAATTTAATATCATAGTGGAATAGCCATCTAATTTAAATATAAATATAATAAAATAAAATAAATAATAACATTAGTTAGAAAAAAAAATGTAATAATAATGGATATTTAAGTTTGGATAAATTATGAAAATATTTTAATTAATTTACTGTCATACCCTCATGTTGGGGTGGGATCCAAATTTCTTTATTTTCTCCTTCCGGAATGATAACAGATGAGAAATTGGTCTCCAAAATATTTATTTTCTCTCTTTATTAACAAATCAAACACAAAAATCATTATCCCTCCTTTTTCTTTTATTTTCATTTCCTTCCAATTCCATGAATCTAAATGAAGTCTAAGGGCCTATTTGGTTAGATGGAAATAAATGGTGAAAAGTAAAAGTGAAAGAAAAAAAAATTAAGTTCATATGGTGCATTTGGTTATCATAAAAAATTTTCAAGAAAGTTGTGTGAAAATATTATGTTGTTAGTTTGGATAAAATGAAAGAGAAAATAAAATGATTGTATTTGTCAAAATTGCTCTTTTAATTTTAAATACTAAAAATACAAATAAATTTGAGTAAAAATTAATTCATGCATCAAATTGTGTTATTGATAATAATATTCTAAACTTTTACAAGACACTAAGGTCACCTGAATTTCGTTACTTAAAATATATATATATATGATTTTGACAATATAATTTATATAGTAATTGTAAAGACTTTATGAAATCGAATAAGATTAGGATTATTTCACTATATGTTTGTTTATATTAGAATAACTAAAACCAATAAAATTTTACATATAACAACCAAGTTTACAGGAGTTTTCTTTTTGAATTCAACTAGAATTACTGTATATGACTATAGAATATTTTGTGTTATTCTTTTTAAGAAACGTATATATTCCCTAAAACTTATAATAACTGTAGTATCCAAATTCTAAAACATAGTTGATATGTATATATACATATTATAAATTAATATAATGCACTTAAAAAATACCCACCATAATATTTTATATGTATATACGTATTTGGAAGGGAAAAAAGAAAAAGAAGAAAAAAGGAGAAAAAAAGAATAAAGCGATAAAAATAGATATTAAAAAAAAATGCTAAAAATAAGATCTCTTCAATTTCATGAGTTCATTTACGTTTGAAAAAATATATATATTATGAGTTCATTTACTAATAATTATGGATATAATAGGAATTTAAAATATAACATACAAGTTTCCCGAGAAACAAAAATTTTCGCTTGTTTTATACCGGAATTGTTTTAGAGAAAATTAGTTATTTGCGAGAATCCAGTTTCCCGAAAACAAACGCACAAAAAGTTTAAATATTTTTTGATTCTTCTTGTTAGTTCTATCTGACCAAACGAACCCTAAAAGGAAGAAAACAAGTTTAATGTTGAATAATATAAAAGGGTCCAAAACTCTTACCATTATCTTTTGAAAAGGAAAAATTATGGAGACGTTTCATCTTTCTCAAGAAGGGGCGCAACTTGGGCGGCTGAGACCTAGCTTAATTTGAGTTCAGTGTTATATTTTTTACAGGGAAGTTGCTCTATGTGAGGAAGATTGCATGACATATGTGAAAATTTGGTTTTAGAGTTTTCTACATTAATTTATGAAAGAAGTATAACGTGTTGTAGAGAGATGAAAATTTTTAAAACGTTAGAAAGTTTTCTACAGAAATAATAATAGTCAAGTTTAATTAGGCCTATGTTTAAGTTTTTCTGTCCCATCCAGTTTAACAAATTTCCCTCCCACCTCTTTCACACCTCATCTAAACTACTCCCACTCAATTTTTTTCCCTAATTTCTCTACTCAATTTTAAAAATGCATGTATAAGAATATAAATAAGACAAACATTCTTTAAAACCAAATAACATTAACATCGATAAGTTTGAAAGTTTTAACATGACAAAGTAAAATTTTCAAATTACAATCTTCTAACATTTGAGGAATGGATTTTTTTTTTTTTTTTTTTCAAAATCACAAGGGGTTGGTTCAAGTAGATAAGAACTTAGATCTGGTGCCTCACGAAGCATCAGGTATAAAGTTCGAATCCTCTTGGATGCAAACAATTCTTTGAAGGAGGTGTATGAGTACCACCAACTAGGAAAACAATGAGGGGTTTTTAAGGGATATATTGTTGAGGAATAGAAACAAGGCAATCACAAAACACAATCACACACGATTTACATCGTTCAGCAAAATCTTTTGCCTACGTGCACAGAGCACACTGAAAAGTACACTATGAATAATGATGGTGTTTACAACGGAGAGCTCTCTTTACTCTTTTCCTCTATATGGCGATCTTGTACACTACTAGGGTTTATACAAGACTAGTATTTATATGGAATCGCATTTAGGTTAAAAAAAAAAAGCTCCAATAAGGAAACATATCCCAAGTTTTGTAATAACTTGTGATCGAAGTCTCCGTGACCAGCGATCAATCGAGCTTCACTCTAGTTATTGTGATTCAAAGTAACACAACTGTGATCAATCCCACTTCGATCGTGACCAACAAAAATTGTCTCCAAAAAGAGAAATTTCACTAGGGGTGTTACCCTTTGGAGCTCACGAGCTTATAACATGGCAACTCTACCCCTTATTAGGATCTGTAAATAAGTAACATAAACCGAGCCTGTGATTAAGACTACATAGGCTCAAATATATATATATATATATATTACGAATAAAATGGTAAAATTTTAATATAATCGAAGCTAGTGACGTTTTCTAACCCTATCCCACACTCACTCAAATTTGTTAAACCGACCTCATAACCGTTTTGACGGTCAAGTAGGGGCGGGGTGTTTTGTCATTCTCAAGTTTGTAAAGAGTTGGTAGATTGAAGAAGTAACTAAAATAGTAGAGAATTTTATAGATAGATAGATATTTTAAAGGAGTATTTAAGAGACTAGATTTTCAACAATTAATTGTTGTAATCTATCATAATGGTCCACTAGGGAAATAAGTTCTAAAAAAAGAAAACAGGACTAGCCTAGCTGTTTTACATGCCTCAGAATAAAATTAAAAGTGGTAATTAGTTTTTATGATAGAGCAAGAATAATTCTACTGTTAAATAATCTATTTCATTCAAACGTGGTAGGCTAATTCATGCAAACATGGTAAGCTGTTTATCTACTATGCATCTTTCTACTTAAAACACAAAAAAGAAATAGAAAGATTGGTAAGGAATGTAATCTGGCCTAATTAAATTTAGAGATTGAATTAAATCTTCTAGAAAAACGTATCCAATTTCACTCCTCTCGTTTTTTTTTCAAGTGTTTGATAGCCTCTTCTTCTTTGGCTTTATTCCTTTGGTTCTGTATTTTGTTAAGTTTTCTTCTGTTGCTTAATTTTTTGTTTGGCTTGCTAGCTTTGATTTGGGGTTGTTCCTCTGTTTGGCTAACTTAGATTTGCTCCTGTATTTATTTCTTTTCAATAAAGCATTTTACCTCTATATATATATATATATATATATCCTAAAAGATGAATGAAGATGCAACTGTTATGTATCAGGGAGCTTGTGCTGCATGCAAGCACCAGCGAAAAAGATGTGACATCAACTGCCCATTAGCCCCATATTTTCCGGCTAGCAAACATGAAGAGTTTCAAAATGTTCACAGGCTTTTTGGTGTGAATAACATGCTAAGGATTTTAGATTCAGTCCCCGATGATCTCAAAGACACAACTGCTGCAACACTGATCTTCGAAGCCCAGATGCGGAGGGACTATCCGGTGAAGGGCAGCGGCACTATAGAAGCGAAAATCCGAACCATGATAGATGACGCTGAAAAGGAGCTTTTTCTTGTGAAGAAACAGCTCGCTTATTGGAAGGAAACCACCAAAATGTTGGACCAAAAGGAGCAACTCGAAACCGTAGTAAATCAATCTTCATTAGCCCATTTACCACCTCATTTGGAGCAAAACAATGATGTTTCAGTACTGTTTCCTCACTCACAGCATCAAATCGGCACTCCATTTGATGCTGGTTATTATCAGCAACCACTGACAGCACTCGGACCAGTAAGACTACAATTCCATTTTTACTTTGTATTTCTATTTTTGGAGAGTAGAGTAATTAATTTATTATACGTACATTTCTATTAATTTGAATTTAGCGGAACGAAACAACGTTCGATTATCAATCCAATCTGGAAGAAGGTGCAGAGATCAAAGCCCTTGATGCCCAGCCTATGGATGAAATGATGGGTTCTTATCAGCATGGTTATGGTCTTGGCGATTCTGCAGAACCAGGAGGATCCAGGTTGTATATATACATATATATAAACTTAGGATTCTTTGTTTAATTCAAATATATGTCATTTTGAATTTTGAATGATATGTAAATGTTTAGTTTGATGAGCTTATATTCGATTATTTGTTCGTAGTTCATGAAAATGCAGGTATGAATTCCGGGATCGTGGGAAGCTGCAGCTTGCTGTAATTTCTGATGAAGATGAAGCAATGGAAGATGGAAGATGATTCTAATAATAAAGGGAAGCAAAGCATGGCCATCAAGATGGAAAGAAATTGATGGGAAATTTGCTTAATTTATAGTTTGTTATGTTTCTTTTCTAGGGTACAAGTGAACTGTTGTGTGTTTTGTACTTCTTATCTTATGTTTAATTTGAAAGGGATGTTTTTAATCATGCCTTTATTCATGTTGAATAAATTTGGAAATTCCGTCCAAATTGTATTTAAATAACATCATTAATTATGTTTTCAAATTGAGAATTAGTAATTACAATTAGAATAGAAATTATTTGTGGAGGATCGCTGTCTAATAAATTGAGGATCGCTGTCTAATAAATTTTACTTTGGGACTTAATGTTTAATTAGGACTAACACGAGTGTTTTTGTTACGGCATAATGTGTGTCTAAATATAGCAACAATTCAGAACAATCTCACATAGGAGAAAGTATTGAGTGTGCCCGGCACACCGTGCAACGGATTCTTTCGAGCCATACGCATTGTGCATGTATGACTCGGATGAATCAGTACACTATATATCTGGGACACCTAATATTTGTTCCTTATGCAGGTCGTGAGTTCCCGTCAAAGAGAGAAGAAATTTATTTGGTGGCCGAAATGGCCAAATGAATGGGAAACTCATCGGCTCCTCATCAGCTCGCTTCTACGGCCAACCTATCATCACTCTATTTATTGGAAAAAAAAAAAAAAAAAAATTTGGAGTTCAAGATCATATTCATGAGGTATACAGCAACTTATGATTTTTGTGGGTGGGAAGAATTTGAAGATATCAAGTTGGTGTCTTTTCTAGGGGGTTGTAAGTAAACTGTTGTGTTTTTTTGTACTTCTTATCAATGTTTAATTTGTAAGGGATGTTAATCAAGCCTTTATTCATGTTGTCCAACATCGTATTTAAATAACATTCTTAAAAGAAAATTTCAAACCAACTATAGTAATTACGATTAGAATAGAAATTAATTTTTTTGTCAGAAGCCAGTCATCCACTCCAGATGTTGTCTTAACAAATTTTATTTCTTAGGACTTGATATTTAAGTAAGACTAACACGAGTGTTTTTATAACTACATAATGTGTACGTCTAAATGCAACAATAATTTCGGACGGTCTCACATAGGTTGTTGGCTCTATTTATATCTTTATAAAGTTTTACTATGTACTAAAGATGTTACGAAAAAGAGAAGAAATTGATTTTGTGACCAAAAATGGCCAACCGAATGGAGGAGCACTTTGGCTCCTCATCCAGCTTGTCTCTTCCCGCAGTCTATCATTACCACATTTATCGAAAAATAAATAATTCGAAAAGAAATAAATAAATTGGAATTCAATATCATATTCATGATTTTGTATAACTTCTTATAATTTTATAGGGGAGATGAGGGGCAACAACATTTTTGGTCAGATGGAATTGCTTATTGGCATCTCAGCCCAGTGGGTACATGAAAAGATTGAACCAGAGATAAAACTGGCAGCTAGGGAAGAATTTGAAGATATCAATTGTCAAGTTGGACATATGTAACTTCCATAAAAATATATATATATATATATATATATATATATATTCAAAATTTCAAACAATTTATATATGTAAGAGTATTTATATGCGAATAAGCTCAGCAAACCAAGAACAAGCCCAATGGACATAATGCTAACTTACCTATAAACTAAGCCTAAGTTGGTCCATTTGATGGCCTAAACATGACTAGATGATGCCCCAAAACATGACAAAATAACAATGGGTACAAATAATCTTGTACTCTCTAACCCAAAATAGTTGTCTACTTTGACAACTATCACTCATTAAGGTTTTTCAAAAAGTTATTCGATCTCTTCTAGAAGCATGGACATTGAAAAATACTCGGAAAAACATTTCGAAATCAGTCTAATCAAACTCTAATAATCAGTAATCACAATCCGGGCAGCATAGTTAGTACACCGTAGTAGATAATGTAGTGCAGTACAGGATTGATAAGACAAAAAAATTGCATCCAACAAAGCAGTTGATGTAGTTTGAAAAGAAGGCATGAATGTCTACATATGTCCAAATCTTAAACAGCACAGCTTTTGAGCCCTCAAATTAGAAGCAACTATTGTGTTCAAACCACAATTATTACTATCTCGATACTGAGCAACCCCAATATATTGCATCACTAATAAAGTCTTTGATGGCTAAAAATATATTATAAATAAATAAATAAAAATAAAGACTTTCCAATATATGTTTCAAAATTACGTGTACGTGTTAATGATAATGTACCAAATAATTCATGTGAATGTTGAAAGCGTGAAAGTCGGAAACCACACTTTGAATGTAAATGCAACTGGTCTAATCATCTCATTTAATAATGATAATCATTGAAATTTCTGTGTAAAAATCAAATAATTAATAAAGAAGTTATATTCTTTACTGTCTATGCAAAAAAACAATAGATACTGTTTATTTATGTCTGAGCCCGGGTTCGAACCGGGGACCTCTAGTGTGTGAGACTAGCGTGATAACCAACTACACCACCCAGACGTTGTGCTAATGTAACAAAAAATAATATATATATATATATATTGTAAACAAATAAAGGGCTGCGCTGTCATTTTCCTACCCTCTCTCTCCCTCTTGTTCGTTGTTTTCCCGACATGACATGAACCGAGTGAGGCTCGGTTGTAATGTCAATTATAAAGAATCAAATTAGCCATAATAGTTTTCTTTGAGTGGCTGTCAACAATGACATATGTAGCTTTTTTGTAGGGTTGTTTTGCCACTTCCATCTAAGGAAAAAGACCTTCACTTTTTTATTGGCTAAAATATTTATTCAATATTCAAATATGGACAAGTTTACCATATGCAATTTGGGTTGACTAGACCCGCCATTTTATTTCTTTTTTCTAAAATAAGTAATATTATAAAGATGATATTAGTCTCCATCACTTTATCAAATAATAGAAATCCAAAAATAATTCTCTTTTTAATCTTTTCTTAAATTAAAATAGGTAAGCAGCATTAAGAATTATTAATTTGTGACAAGGACAATCCGGATCCCCCTTACAAATTGGAGGGAATATTGTTGTTATAAATAATATTTTATAATTATAAATAATAACATTAAATACCATTATATAATTACAAATAACATTATTTCACATAACATTAATTAAAGATTATATTTAACACAAAAATATAGTTATAAATAACATTAAATTTTGTAATTTTTATTTAGTTGCATACATGATGTAATTAAGTACTCTATTTTCTACTTTTGTTATCCCAGTTTGAAGTTTAAACTAGACGCATACAATAACATGAATTATGTAAATTTGTTGTGTCATTAATTTTCATCTATTCTAATCCCGATTTAGTGTTGTTGTAAGGTCAATATATAATTGTTACATAGACAAATGTAATTTGTTGTATTGCCAATTTAATTAATTTTTTTAAATATATATGTAATTTTTAATGGGATAAGTGCAGAAAGTATACTTTTTGTAGCATTTTTAATTTCTATTTTAAAAATTGTATAATAAAAATTCTTAATCTTTTGATATTGTGCAAAATTCCCCTCTGTCAAAAATTTGACATAAATTAATGTTGAAATACTTATTTTGTCCTTTTATTCTTCTCAAAATGCCCATGCAATCATCTCAGTCAACAAACACTGTTCTCTCTCTCTCATTTCTGCTTGAAGATTTGGCCAGAGGAGACAATGACAGGTTGGCCATTAAAGACCCGAAAATTTGGCAGATGACTCGTTGGGAGGTTTTTTTGATGGTCGACGAAAACCGGTGAAAGGTGATGGAAACTTCGTATATATTGGTATTTAATGTTCAAGATTTTGATAAATAGTAATAAGATCTACCTTTCTACTATATTAAATGGATAGAAAGTACAAACTCATAATCCTCACAAAATAAATTTAAGAATTCGGTCTAAAAATCATTCCTAAAAAAAAAAAAAAAAAAAGTTATACACACAAACGAAGGAGGATGTAAAAAATATTTGTTTTTGATAAATTGATGTAGACTTGACAAGGTTGTTTCGAAATTAACCCAAAAGAACTTTTTCTTTTTACGATTACCAAGACACACAAAAGTAAATTTTCAAAGTAAAAGCTAGCGCATTTGTTGTAACTGGGAAAATGCCCCACTTCTAGACAGTGCTTTTAACTCAGAGTCTAATAAACTGGTAACCAGATGCTGCTTTTGGGTAATTAATGACTTTTGATGTTTGCTTAAGTTGCCCATTAAAGAGGTAAAAATGATGCTAATTAGTAGAAAGAAAAAAAAAAAACACACGATACCAAATGACTGAAAGACACAATAAATTCCAAACAAGAGTAGCAAAAGAGAGGTCCACGTTCGTCATTATATTACAGAGAGTTGTGTGTCTTCTTCTTCTTCTTCTTCTTCCTCCCTACATCGATCACCCACCACCTTTAACAACAGAATGTCAGATTATGATCTTACCAAAACGACATGCATGTGATTCTCTGAACAAATTAAATGACCGAAAACCCGCAACTTTTGACACCTGAGGGGCATATTTGGCAACAAACATGCAAAAACCACGTTCAGAAATCAACCACATTATTTATGGAAAACCCACATTATTTATGGAAAACCCTATATAGAAAACAATTAGCTCGATCTCTAACTCTAAGGACCAAAAGAAAAAGATCAAAAAGCCCTTTCAGTGCCCGGACCCTCTGCTTAGCATATCCTTGAACCTCTTCAATGAATCAAGTCTCTGCATCTTCAATTGTTGCCTAAACCTGTTGATAAAATCATCAGCTTTTGCATCAACCGCTTCGTCTTCCTTTAACGACGCCGTATCACTACCCTTCTCTTTCGTCTCCGGCAGCTCATGATCAACGACCTCCACCTCCTCGAATTTCGGAAAAACTGACTTCTCGCTCGCCGACTTCGTCACCTTCGCCGGAGGGCTGGACGGAGTCTCGCCGCTCGCGTCGGACTTGCTTCTTTTCACGTGATGGTCTGGATCCTGCTGACTGGGGTGTTGGTCCAGGGTTTGATGGTGAGCTGGGTTGGTGTGTTGGGTATCGGGCGGTGATGGTTCGGGCTGTTCAGATCTGTAGAGAGGGAAATCGAATGACCTGACTCGGTTTAGCAGAGACGGGACTCGGACGAGTTGGGGGGAGTCCCGTTCACCAAACTGTTGTTGTTGTTGATGATGATGATAGTCTTGGGCTCTGTAGAGAGAGAAATCGAATGACGACACTCGGTCTAGCAGAGACGGGACTCGGACGAGTTGGGGCGAGTGGCCTTCGCCAAACTGTTGTTGTTGATGTTGATGATGATGATGATGATTGTCTAGTGCTCTGTAGAGAGAGAAATCGAATGACCTGACTCGTTCTAACAGAGACGGGACTCGGACGAGTCGGGGGGAGTGGCCTTCACCGAATTGTTGATGTTGATGTTTGTTCAAGTTTGAAGTGATGAATATTGTGCCGATCACGAGGTTCAGTACGCAGAAGAGGACGGTGGGTGTGAACCAGCTCATCATGAAAGCCCACATAGCGTCGTCGTTTTAGCTGTATATTGTTGCAGTAGAGAGACAGATCGATTTGTAACTTGTAAAAGAGAGCGGAGTGATATGGAGAGAGATTTATTAGAGAGAGAGAGCGAGAGAGAGAGAGCAGAGAGAGGTGAGTGATAGTCTGATAGAGAAGTTATGAAGTATTTATGCTTGGGAGTGGAAGAGAACAAAGAAAGGGTAGGTACAAGAGTCCGCAGAGAGAGAGAGAGGAATAGAGACATATGGAAATGGAAATTGTATTAATGTGATAATGTCAAGTCGATACATCAAGTGAGAAAGGGATGGAGAGAGAACTAGGTTAGGTAAAAGTGGCGGTGGTGAAAAGCAAATGGAAATGCAAAATGTCAAGTTTATCACATCTACAGTAATTAAGAATAAGGGGATGTATTTTACCAATTGCGGTCATTAATTGTTGTTAATGTAGTCATTGTTGTTAGTGTAGTCGCTTCCGTTGTTATGAAATTGATGAATTCAATAAATTAAACTTGGAAATAACCTCCATCACTTGGATATATCTGTTTCTCTTCACACACAAATTTGTTGTAGTAACGTGTATATATATTAATCTGTACCAAACACAACATTTCTAATTCCCTAGTAATTTTATTTATTTATTTTTATTATTTTTGTGGACTTTTCGTAAATGTATCTTGTCATTACTATCAATAATTTTTCTTGATTAACAATAATTATAAGGGCAAAGTACAAAAAAACCCGACTTGTAGCCATTTTCAGAAAACCCTACTCGTTTAATCATCCGTAAATGTATCTTATCATTACTATCAATAATTTTTCTTGGTTAACAATAACTATAAGGGCAAAGTACAGAAAACTCGACTTGTAGCCTTTTTCAGAAAACTCTACTCGTCTAATTTTTTACCAAATAATCTTCCTCGATTTGTAACTCTTTCCAACAAATAGTATACTACTTAATCTTGCCAATGACAGCATGTTTTTTTTAATTTTATTTCTTTTTTACAGAGAAAATAAGATAATTAAGTGGTATTATGTATATTAAAAATATGAGTCAGAGATGCATGCATGAATATATCCATTTGATGTCAAAACAGAACCATGAATCTTTTTAAAGAATCTCTTGAAGAAAGATTATCATAATTGGTACAATAAATTTTTTTTTTTTTTGGATGGTAATAATTGGTACAATATTGAACACAAGTGATCTTCCATGTCTATGTAAAAAGCAAAGACGAAGACCTGGTGGTCATCCGTGCTTCTATGTTGAAGTTCAACAGTATCAGAAAAGATATATATAAATATATATACGTCATGAGAGTGAGATATATACACGTCATGAGAGTGATTTGGACGTAGACGACGTTGATTTTAATAAAGGTCGTCCAATGAGTAACATTATTAAGTGTACGGGACTTGTGGCCCGACATGTCAACGTGTTCACACTTAAGTCGTTAAACCAGCATGTGGCTAATGATCGCGTTTTGTGCGGGTTGGGCCACAATTTCTCCTGGATTCTGTAGAATTTCTTACATGTTTGACTAATGGAATTGCCATTTCAAATTTTACCGAGTACTCCTTCTGAATTTATACATTATCTAAATGCTGCGTAGTATATGTTTATGAGATATATTAGGATTGGAGAAGTACCAATGAACTAGGTGTTACAACTTACAAAAAAAAAAAAAAAAAAAAAAAAAAAAAAAGAAGAAGAAGAAGAAGAAGAAGAAGAAACCCATATAAATGGTCGATATACAGGATTATTTAATAATTTAAATTTTTAAATAAATAGATAAGTAACTACTCGTTACAGTTGGTATTAGAGTCTGACACAGTCTTTGATCCGATGCCACGCCAAGCGTCAGGCCCGAAAAGCGTCCGGGTAAGCAAAGTGGCTCGACCGTAACGAGGGCATTGCGAGTTTAGATGGGGGAGAATATTACAAGACGTACTTGTCCCATGTTGGATCCGAATAGAGTGTGAAAGGGGCATAAATAGATGAGCATACAATATTACCGAATAACTTAAGTTTTTTGATAAATGGATAAGCGTCCACCCATTACATAAGAGTGTACACCGTTTAGATTGGACCCATTTTTAATAAAAATTAAAACCGAATCAAATAGGAAAAGTACTAATGAAACCAAAACATAATAAAATGATTATATTTTTTACCCTGCATAATATATATATATATATATATATATTATAAAATATAATAATCAATTGTGATATAATGTTTTATTATATATTATAATTTTATAGTTTGGTGAAAAAAGACTAATCTTATAATTTTTATTATTGATAGGGTTTAATACAAAACCGAAAAAAAAAAAAAAAAAAAAAAGACAAAACAAAACAAAACCTTGAACTATGGGGAAACCTGCGACTAACTTCATGAACTTCCAAAAATGCAAGAAACCCCCTGAACTATGCAAAAAAGTTACAGATTAACCCATCCGTCACTGTTTAGATCGGATCTTGCTGTTAAAGTAATCACGTGATGGTCACATTGCACATACTATATTTTTAATGACCATAATGCCCTCATGACCATGAAAAATACACTAATGCCCCTTATTTTAACTATTAAATCCATACCCCTTTTTATAAACCCCAAACCCAAACACACCCTTACACTGTTGATCTTCTTCCCAGCGTTGCCTAAATGAAAAGAAATAAAAAATAAAAAAAATCAACTCACGAACTAATATTTCCTTTTCCCATTCCACTTAATCTTTCTCGTCCTCGATTAAGGTCCATCCACGATCAGCCCTTAAACCCAACCTCTACTCTCAACCTCTCCATTAGCGTCCTTCACCTTTCTATTCTTCTCTTTTGCGGTACAGTGGGTGTCCAATTCCGGGGTGCAATACCAGGTTCGGGATTCTTTTCCAACCACGGTTGATTGGGTCTGTCGGGCATCGCGGGTAGCATTCTTCTCCGGCCACGGTTTGTTGGTCGCTGTTTTGCATCGCTTACAGGTTTGGTGCTGGAATTGTGTTCTTCTCTAGTTGTGGGTTGTTGCGCCATCGACTGTGGGTACGGTTGTCATCTTCTTTTCTTTTGGTGAAGTGGGTGCAAAATCCAGCGTGTTTGTGGGTCGAGGTCAAATTCCAGTGCCATGGTTTGAGTCCGATTCCGGTTGGGATTCATCTCCGGCGGGATTTGTTGGGTCCTGCCGGTCTCGGTGGTAGCCATCGTTGTCGAGTTTGTGTTTAATTTGCAGGGCTGTGGTGTTGTTGCAAGTATGTTTTGTGACTAATTTGTGATGATGGTGGATAGTTGTTTGCTGCAATAGTGTGAATTTACAGCTCTGGATTGTTGATTACATGGTCTGATTTTATGAATTGGGGTGTTGATTGTGGGGTTATGATTGGGTGTAAGATTTGGTTTGTTTGATTGATTACAGATGTGGTGGTTTGTGGGTGTTTATGCATTTTTTGGGGGTGAGCACGATGATCGATTTGGATAGTAACCAAAGGGTCGAATGAGCAGAAGGCGATGAATTTCGGCCAAGGGCTTTCTTTCCAATGCCGGAAACCAGCATCATCGCATCCTTGCCTCCAGACTAGAATCATCGCCATCATCATGTCTGTAATGACCCGGTCATTTTACTTCCTTTCCTTTTTTTGGAAATTTTCTTTTTTCGTCTTTTCCTTATTTCGTCCTCTTCTCATTTTTCACTTTTACTTGCATAACCTCATTTTTGGTGCTCGGATTTGATTCCGGCCTTGCACACATCCATGATATTTAATTTCCAAGGTATCTACATTTTTACTTTTGTAGAAAAGCATATAAAATGTTTACTTTTCTTGTAAAGGGCAAAAATGCATTACTTTTGGTAATTGCTCTAAACTTGAGGGGGTTTTGTGTAATTAAATAAAGTAAATATTTTTCGTCTTAAGGTCCATTTTGTAATTTAATTTGGAAGATATTTTCAAAAAGAACCTTTTTGCAATTTTCCAAAAATGTAACAGTAGGCATTTGGGTGGAGAGACTTGGAACCATAATCTATTGACACATGGAGGGTGGAGATTCATCCACTTGTTGGCCTAGGATTGGATCACTTATTGGCTTGGATGGTTGATAAGTGTAGGCATAGGATTAAACCTAGAAGGGAACCTTAGGATGATGACAAGTGTAGGTCTCACATTTAGTCTTGCAAATTGTTTTTGGGCCACTTTGGGATTATGGTTTTAAAGAAGGGTTTTTGTGCAATTGACCAAACTAGTGTGTGTTGACCATGGTGTAAGACCACATAGTGAGTGGAGGATTTCTATTTCCTCCACTCACGTTCTCTCACACTTGGCTTCATCATCTCCCTCTCATGTAAAGAAAACCCTAGTCTCCATGGAAGAAGCTTGAAGCCTTAAGCTTTGACCTTCATTTTTGGCTACCTTCCACTCACCCTAGACCTTTAAACTTGGAACACTTTAGATTCCTCTCACTCTCCTCTACAAAACCCTTGTTTGGTTTTTCATTTTTGAGCTCGGTTGCCTTGGATTCAAAAGGAACAATCCTCTTGTGAGGTAGGGGGTCTTATCATTTATCTTCCAAGTAATTTAATTGTTCTTATAATGATATCAAAGTTATATGCATGTCTTGTATTGAAATAAGAAATAAATGACTAATTGTAACTTGTATGAAATTCACTTTAGACTTGATAAATGGCATGACCATGACTTGATCTTTATTGTGTATTAATTTGGCATGATTTAAATGAGCTTTTAAATCTAGAGGATTAATTGATTTATGTTGATTTAAATTCAAATTAATTATACCATACTTGTAATTCATTTGTGACTTGATATAAAGCATGGCCATGAATTACTCCATGTCATATATTAAATTGGAATCATTTGGACAATTCTTGAAATCTAGAGAAATTACCTAGTTGGTCTACTTAATTTCTACCATGTTAAACTAATGATTTAATCATGTAATCCATGGAACTCATTATGTTTTATCACATATCGTGTAACGACCCAGTCATTTGCCTTCCTTTCCTTTTTCCTGAAATTTTACGAATGAAATTTTTTCGTTTAATTTTCCTTTCTGAGCTCTGTTTTGTGTCGCTTAGTGTCATCTCGAGTGCTCGGAATTAGTTCCTGAGACTCTTTTCCATGGATTGACAACTTCATTTGAGGACCGAGTCATTTTCACATTTTTCGTTTTTCGACACTATTCACTTTTCGTCATTTTCCCTATTTCGTCCTTTTCCCTATTTTGTCTTTTCCCCGTTTGACACTTTGTT